AAATGTCGATCCCAGTAGCTCCGTCCCCTCGGGAAGTACTCCAGGTTTTCACGCCGCACCATGCAGAACTGAGGGTGACCCAAAAATGTGTCCTCTCCGGCAATAGGCATCCACAGATTGGACTCCAACTGTAATAAAAACATTTGGAACGAATTTAAAAATGGCTTCAATCCAAGTCCAAAGATCCAAATGGTGACATTTGGGAAAGTTAGTTGATATGCAACTTCCTAATATGATCTAAATCAATTTTGGTCAATAATTGACAAATATTGTAGAAAAAGAGTCACCAAATTTCTGCTCATTTAAAAATTACGGAAAGGCTTGTCGAGGACTTATTTTAAAGATAAAAAGATAAAAATTAATATTAAAAACGACCAAGGAAATCAAAAGAATCATTATATTTAAAAATTGTGAATGTTGGTCTAAGTATAACATAAACCAATGTTGCTAATTTGAAAAATGCTGAATTTTTTTTTTTCCCAGAAATTATTACAAATTTTTTGTAATGATTAAAATAATTATATATATATATATATATATATATATATAATAAACAAGATATCATGAAACTTAATTGGTCTTTAAGATGTATGGAATAGCAACTATTGGAAACTATAGGATAAAATTTGCACACATGCAAGCACAAAGATAGCGGTCCAGACTGAATCTTGATACCTGTAGAGGCACGATCAGACAGGCATGATCAGCTTTGACCACTTGCAGGTCGTCGAGCAGTGACCCCGCCAGCATCATGTCTCCCAACGGCATGTCTGGGTGTTTGGAGTGCAGGAAGGCCTGGATCTCTGTGGATATATCTAACGCTCGCTGCTGTGCGACAGACACCTCCTCCTCTGACAGACACACTCGTGTTCTGAAGTACTGCTGCAGACGCTCTGCAAACGTCATCACGCACAGATCCAAGCGTTTCCGCCGTTGAGGTGGGTCAGCGTCACACCGCTGGGGTTCAGGTGAGGGTAAGGGGATGGGCTGAGACAGTTCTGCTAAACACACAAAAAAGGTTTTCTACTTAAAACCGCATTGACAACCCATTTTACTTGCATATCATGATGAGTTTTAGTGAAACAGGATGTTCAGTGATATCAATGCTCAAATTTCCATGGGACAACAAGGTATATTCCATACTATTCATTAAATTGACATTCACCGGTAGCTGTAGAAGTTGAGCAAGTCAACATTCTGATAAAAGATTACAAAACTCTTGGTTTGGACTAACATGCACTGCTTAATTGTACACAATGAAACCATAAATAGGGTACATTTAGATTTTTTGTTGTTGCCTTTCAGCTAGATGGGAAATACCTTCATTTAAATATGTATGTACCTTTCTTGGTTGCGGCTGCAATCTGTTTCATGACTACTCCTTCAATACCCTTGTGGAGCAGTTTGGGGGAGGCACTAACCAAACCTAACTCCTCCCAGCTGTCCGTCATCTTCTGTTCAGGCTTCTCATCAGGAGGCCTGCCAGCACGTTCTATCAGCTATGACGTCACAACAAGAAATAAGAGATAAAAATCAATGAGTAATCAAAATAAACCATTACAGAGTAAATGTTGAGTTCCATAAATAAAAATCACATTCATTATCCTCCACTGGGAATTTTTTTTTTTTAACAACAACACATTAAAGACAGACCTACAGTGAGCTACAAGCTTTTTTTTATTAATTAATGGTATATGCTTCTGTTGAAGTCATTAGACTACACTTTTTCTTCTTCTTAAAAAAAAGTTAAACAGTGCATGTCAATCTCCTACACTCTCAAAATACTTATTTGTGTGTGTGTATACATATATATATATATATATATATATATATATATATGAAAAAGAAAGTACACCCTTTTGAATTTTATGGTTTTGCTTATCAGAACATAAAAAAATAATATGTTTGTAAGCAGGTCTTAAAATTAAACAACCTCAGATGAACAACAACAACAACACATGACATATTAATTGTGTAGTGTGTAATAAACTAAAGAAAACAAATTGTCACCCGTTTCACTGCTAATGTGGCGATACCCAGCATCGCAGCTCCGCCCACCCCCAGCACCAGCCGGGCGTTGGACAACAGGAAGTCAATGACAGCAGCAATTCCATCTTCTCCCCGCCTTTTTCCAGAATAATACATCACTTCCTCTGTGAAAGTGTCTGAAAAGGTCAACAAAGATTTACATTACCATTTGATTTCACACATGCTTCCTCAAAGTCCAAAGTCTGATAGCTTTTGAGTTTAGAGACTAGAAACAAAATAGATAATTGTTGTAAGAACGCGTCATCTATGATTTTTGGACATGTATCATGATATTCATAGTACTAAAAACACTACAGGGCACATTGGTGTACCATAAATAGTATATTAAAGTGTAATTATTATTGCTTTAGGCATTTGATATTGTTTAAGTCACAAACAGAAGTAGCAACAGATCTTCTCTATTGCAACATACATCCAGAGTGTAATGGATTATTTTGAGTTGTGGGTGTTTAACTCCGTCATAAGTGGAGGCAGATGAATGCAAGCTTGCAGGGGTGGTTTAACTGGACTTAATGATTGAAGAAGTCCTGCATACATCACAAGAGAGAAACATGTCGTTTTCACTGGAAGGTTCAGTTGTGACATTGTTATTAAACATTTTGAGGTCAAAACATTCAAAATTGAATAGTACACAATAACATTTAGAAATTTAAAGGGTGAATTTTCATTCAATTCTGGCTTTAAAGCACCACCACAGGGATCTTTTATGAAGGTTATTCCAAACACACATGGTGCTCATGTGTCCTACGTGACAGGCCAGGCATCTGAAGCTTCACTCTGACTGTGGATCAGAAATAGCTTTGGTAGCTTCATGAACTCAGCCCCAGCAGGGTGGTTTACCAGGCCTAAATTTAGACCCATGTGGCTTAGTAACTCTCCACTTATTCAGTTGATAATTTTATGATTTCTCTGGCTGTGATCTACAGATTACAGTAGTCTGACATGGATGAATATAGTATCACATAGATACATTTCAGGCCTAATATTATGTTATTGCAAAAGGTGCTTGAAAAGGAACAGTAACAGCATATTGGTCAGATCCAAGAAGAAGAAGAAAAAAAAAAAATCAAACAAAACAGCTTACATTTGTACAGTATAATCCTGGTTATGGAGTAAAAGGCCAACTGGGTTAATAGACATTAATGACACAAGGCCTGCATACACATGGACTTTAAAACCCAGATAACATGGATGTGTTTTCCAGAAAAGACAGCTGATGTATACAAAACTGATTTATGCTATCAGTGGTTTAAATGTTAAACAGCACGCCTGCATATCACACGTATAACAATGTATGATGTTTTTCCTCCCTAAATATTATATTAAATCCCATGCCTACCCAAATAATCGAATACTTATTTTCAGTAATTCACAAAGGGCATAAATTAAACTGAGAACAACAGTGTATTGCTCAGTGTATTGTTAGCGTTTGCTAACTTGTTAGCTGTCTGTTGAATTCAGAAAATCGACAATCTTGGGGATATATTAAGCAGTCAACAACTTGTAAACACGACTTAAACAGTTAACTTACCTTTTTAAGGTGGTATCAAATCAGAGCCATTAGCGTATAGTATCGAATTTAGTACTTTTGTCTAGTACGCATTTGCTCTCTTACCTATAACAAACACATTCTACGTCACCATCCCGTTGATTGAAGTACATCTAGACCAATGAGATGACAGTATGACATGACGTCAGAGTTTTATATGGAGTTTCTGTGCATGTAACTTTATCGGGCTAAAAGAAGTAATAAGCATTACATAATTGTTACGTTTTCACACATATTATTTTATTTTCATAAATTATTTTAAATACTATTCGTTTAACAAGTTACAATTTTGATAAATTATGTCGTTTGGTATTTTATTTTGTTACACTATGACACCTTTATTTGATCGCTTTTGTTTTTGGTTCTATTGTTCAATGCAGATAATAAACGAAACGTTGTTCTTGAAAAATAGAATAAAAAGATGCATTCGCATTTGAATGGAGAACCAAAGCATTTGTGCATTAGCAATTGATTGAAAATAATGTTTGTTATTGTGACAATAATCAAGTAATCAAGCTAAAATTGCTATCTGTGAAGAATTGGTGTAAAGTTCTCTCGTACCATCTAGTGGACAGACACATCCTTTAAAGGAGTAGTTCACTTTAAAAAAGATTTTTTGCTGAATTTACTCACCCCCATGTCATCCAAGATGTCCATGTCATTCTTTCTTCAGTCGAAAAGAAATTAAGGTTTTTGATGAAAACATTCCAGGATTTTCTCCATGTAATGGTCTTCAATGGGAACCAAACGGTTCAAGGTCCAAAAGACAGTGTCAGTGCAAACTGCAAACTGTTTTAAGCGATTCCAGGCGATGAATAGGCTAAGGGTCTTATCAAGCGAAACGATCGCTCATTTAAAAAAAAAAAAAATTGCTCTGTTCTGTGATGCACGTTCGTGACTTTCCTGTTCGAACTCGTTCATCAAAATGAACAAATCTTTTTTTCATATCATTTGGGTTATTCAACGAACGAAATGAATGAGTTGACTCTGGAAAAGATTCGTTCATTTTGATGAACAAGTTCGAACAGGAGAGTCACGAACGTGCATCACAGTACAGAGCAAGACGACCATTTGAGCTTATAAAACTTAAACTTTTTTTTTTTTTTTTAATGAGCAATTGTTTCGCTTGATAAGACCCTTATCCATCGTCTGGAATCGCTTAAAACAGTTTGCAGTTTGCACTGAAACTGTCTTTTAGACCTTGAACCGTTTGGTTCCCATTGAAGTCCATTATATGGAGAAAAATCCTGGAATGTTTTCATCAAAAACCTTAATTTCTTTTCGACTGAAGAATGACATGGATATCTTGGATGACATGGGGGTGAGTAAATTATCAGCAAAAGTTTTTTTTAAAAAGTGACCCACTTCTTTAATTTACAACCAACGCTTGGAGAAATAACCTGTGGGATTTTATTGGGTAATTATTCAAGGTTGCATAGCCACACGAAATATTTACATTTTGTTTTCTGTACCAAATAAAACAGTGCATAGTGCAAATTATGACTGTTAAAACGTTCTGATGCATGTAAAATTACGTATAACCTGATAATGATGTTCCTATTCCATATTAATGGACAAAGTAAATTTGAACTGAAAAATGAACTTTAAAACGTTTGGAATTTAAAAGTTAACTACAAAACAATACAACATTAAGAACTAGAAAAATAACAAATGAACATAGAACCTCCAAAACAGAGTGCCTTTTTAATCTTTTATGCAGCCAAATCCACTCCGTATGTTTTCAACCTTTAAACAAAAACAGTCTCATGTCAGCCTAATGAATACAAAGAAGTCTTTTGTAGTCAATCGTATTTTTTCTATTAAACAAACTGCAATGGGACACACTTTATCATCTTTTCATACTTGTTCGCCACTTCCATTCAATCCCAGAACTAAACAGTATGAACATAAATAAAACATGAACGGTTGCCATCATGAGTCTCATACAGCCCTTGAATGACAGATGTAATGTTGGCATGAATGAAGTCTTTTCATCAGAAGTAAATCATCTAAACAGGATGGTTGTCAAACAGAACTAGTTACCATGGCTATACCACCCTTCACTGGGGGGAAAAGCACTGAGAAGCTACTGGGAGGAAATCAAATACACATTTTATCATAATGGTATTAACTTAACTGTCAGCATTAACAAAGCGTGCGATTTGTTTTCCCTCTCGCTTTCTCTGACTTTCAGGATTTTGATAAATCAAAACTTATTATTCAATGGCCTGTTCTAAGCTTGTTTTAGAATTTATTAAACAAAATTCTAAAAGCCAGAAAAAAAAGAAAAAAAAATCACCCAAGTTTACTTCTCAAAAATCTCCCTTTGAAAAAGAGGACCAACACACAGTTGTATTTGATCTTATGTGAATGAGCTATATATGCATGACGGTTGTGAAATGGTGAATTATGATTGAATTCCATGTCAGTTTAGATGTATTTTTATTCCGTACATTTCCTTTAAACACACAGAACAAAATATAGTGGATATTAAAGTATAATTTTTGATATGTCTGAATAGATAGATCAAGCAGCCAGCGTCTAACGTCCTTGAGTGCACACACACCAGAAGCATCTCTTCTACTGAGTCACTGTTGGCTTGAGCAAACGTAAAGGCGTCTGAGGAGTTCTGATTGCGTCTCAGTGACGCCTCATCTTGACTCGTCGCGTGGGTGCGTGGTCGTGTGTGTGGCGCGAGCCCGGCTCTCTCTCTTCAGTTCTCCTCCAGGAGTTTTCTGAACTGCTGTCGCCGTGACGTCTCTGTCGGGAGGAGAGCGAACGCCTCTGCAGCTCTTTGTCCATCTCTAAAATACGAGGCCTGAGGGAGGAAAAGAGCAAAATGCTTTTTAGCAAAATTCATGTGTGGAATGTGACAACTTGGTCTTGAAGGATTAGGTCACGCAAAAATGGAGATTCAATCATCATTTTCTCACCCTCATGTCCTTACAAACCTGTATGCTGTTACTTTATTCCCCCATTGACAGTTCATAGTGACCCCAGCATAAAGGTTTGGAATGACATGAGGGAGAGATTTTTTTAGTTCACTATTCCTTTAGTTGTAATATCTGTAATGTAATACCATACATGCTTGCATCTCTCCTACTTTATCATTCAAAAGTATGGGGTCGCTAAAATTTTTAAAGAAATTTCTTTTGCTCACAAAGGCTGCATTTTGTTTTATTTACCAGAAATACAGTAAAACATTAATAATAAGTGAAAAATACTTACATTATATATATATATATATATATATATATATATTAAAAAAGCTATATTAGGTGGAAATGGCTATTAAAGGAGTAGTAGCACTTTAAAAAAAAACTTTTGCTGATAATTTACTCACCCCCATGTCATCCAAGATATCCATGTCATTCTTTCTTTAGTCGAAAAGAAATGGTTTGCGACTCTCCTGTTTGGACTCGTTTATCAAAATGAACAAATCTTTTCCCGAGTCAATTCGTTCATTTTGTTCGTTGAATGAACCAAATGACACACAAAAAAAGATTTGTTCATTTTGATGAACAGGAGAGTCACAAACACGAATCACAGAACAGAGCAAGGCAACCATCGGAGCTTATAAAACTTTTTTTAATGAGCGATCGTTTCGGTTGATAAGACCCTTATTCATCATCTGGAATCGTTTAAAGCCCTTTGAACAGTTCGCACTGAAATTGTCTTTTGGACCTTTAACCGTTTGGTTACCAGTGAAGTGCATTATATGGAGAAAAATCCTGGAATGTTTTCATCAGAAACCTTAATTTCTTTTCGACTGAAGAAATGACATGGATATCTTGGATTGGGGTGAGTAAATTATCAGCACAAGTTTTTTTTATTAAGCCAATAAGCGCTCCTTAGCCACATCTACTGGTTATAGCAGTAATTTCCTGTCGTTTTTATTTTAAAATAAAAGTTTTTGCCACATGTTAGATTTCCTACATCTTGAAACTTTTAGTTTGACAATTGGTGTCAATCTTTGATAGAAGAACTAACTAATTAATTCACTCTCGAAAGGTTGTACGAACACCGATATAAATAATATAAAAACATCAGATTATTTCTGCCACAATACCATGGTTAACACAGTTAGCGTTACTACATAATTAAATCCATGGTGAATGTTAGTGATTTGTGGATTGAAAAGCCTTCTATAACTTGTTTATTCATGTTACAATGTTGTTTAATCTGATATCTATGGTTTTCATCAGAGAATTCTGCACTGAATGTGAATGCTTCCCTCTAGATCTCACAGCAATGTTAATATAGCGGCGAATTAAAACACTTTCTCACCGGATCTCCCAGTGCTGTGTAGTAACGGTGTCGCGTGATTGAGATCGGCTCGTATTTAAACCTGTTCCGAGTTCGCACTGCGCTGTCTGTCTATTACTGGTCCAAGCTGACAAACTGGCGGAGCATCTCAGGAAAAGTAGTCTTGAGGCTGGTTTACACCTGGTCAATTCATGCGTTTTACTGATCGGATTTATCAAAACAATTCCATTTACACTTGGTCACATAAATGTGTTTTTGTGAAATGGATATAAATCTGATCTTCAGTTCCCGTGCTACAAGCAGATTTTTTTTTTATTATTAGATCTTAAATTTTGACAATAAACACACCAAAAAGAAACAGAACAAACAAACTTAATGTCATCCCACCCACTCCCACCCACCCCGCGGTCTCTTTATAATGGGGTACAAAATGGACAGATAAGTCAACAGAAAAACAGTCACAGGAAATATAAAACATAAAAAAAAAAAAAAAAAATGCTACATGCAGATTTAATGGAGTTCACGTCACCTAAAGCAACAGATATAAGATGCATTTTATTGATATCAGCTAATTTCAAAATCAAAGAGCGCAACAGGAGGGAGCACTGGTAAAATCAGTTAGTTTAACTTTTAATGAAGATGATTGAGTCACTTTCAGTTTAATTTGCGGTAGTTTGTGCTAGGCTTGATAAAGAGATACTCAGCTGCTCATCTGCGGTGATCCGTGCTGCAGTTGTGCCATCATATCTGGCTATAACATGACATATATCCTATGACACGCTCTCTCGCGTTTATTTTTAGCATTGTTGGGAGCAGTAAAATGTACATGTGGTTTCAACAACCAGATTTTTATTTTTATTCCACTTTTGTCTGTAATGCAGCCCAGAACATCTCCTGAAGTGGTTTGAGCGATCGGATTCAAATGTGTTTTTTGCATTTGGTATTTTCACGATCCAATAGCCATCCGATCACAGAAAACACATTAAATGGCCATGTGTAAATAGCTCCTTAAGACCTGGACATGATCCTTCAGAAATTATTCTAATATGATTTGTTGCTCATTTATTTGCAATAGAAATCTTTTAATATAATGTAAAAACATAACACATTCTATTGTGAGAAGCACATTCTAGTGTAAATCAATTGAAACATTTGTCATATTTACTTCATAAGGTGTAAAACTAATTGAAAAAAGTAAATAAATAAATGACATTTGTGCACCTTAAATACATTTCTGAAGAACAGCACAAAGTTCGACGAGTTTTAGTGGGGTTACACTTAAGTACTTATTAATATTAATCAACAATATATACTTGGGATTAGTTGCATCATAATTAAGCATAATTTTCTGTAAAATGTAATAAGGAGGTTAGTAATTATAATAGTTAGGCTTTAGTAGTAATGCATTCCTTAGTAGCACGACTATTTAACCAGCATGAAAGACTTTGCAAGTACCTGTGTGCCGCATCTGGGTCAGCCTTGCGGTGTGAGCGTTTGGCTTTGAGTATGTGTCGTCTCTCAGAAGAGTGGATGGACGGGCTCCGTGAATCGGAGTCCAAGCGAGGGGCATCAGGCCTTGTTCTGCAATAAAACACACCAAGACAAATTATACACCCTTACATAGGCTTCCAGAGCTTTCAAGAACAACTCTGGCTCACAACCAGAACAACTCACTTTCTGAGAATGATGACAGCTCTCCTCTCCTTGATGTCCTGTGGGCGGATGCAATGCGTGATGTCATCGGCCGCGTAGTCACTAAAGTCAAAGCAGAGAACATGAGCAAGGATTTTAGATTTTACTATAAACATGGCAGTACTACAGTTCTGTGTGGGTTTTATCCTTTCAAGTACCATGTAAACTCCATGACAAATGAATAAGATTATATACACAGTATAAATTACCAGTGACACTTAATGTATTAACTAACTAACATGAGCAACAAATGTGCTACTGTATTTTTGTTAATCTTTGTTAATGTCAGATAATAAAAATCCAGCTGTTATTTTTTTGATCATGTTAGTTCACAGTGCATTAACTAACATAAATAATGTATTAGTAAATATTGAAATTAACATGAACTAAGATAAATGCTGCAAAAGTGCAGGTCATTCTTAGTTCAAACTTAATTATGAAACCTTTTTGTAAAGTTTTACCGAATTACCATATCGTACATATCACTACGAATAATAACATGAGAATGTCCTGAACATGAATCGCAACACCGTAGCAAGTGTCCGAACTGGTAAAGCTCCCCACCTGAGGACAGTGACGCTGCCGCGCCTCACGGGCAGGTGCAGCACGGGCTCGGACACCCGGATGGGCTTGAACTGGAACTTGCAGCCGAAGCAGAGCGCGCTATCGCTGAAGAACGACACGGACACGATCGGTCGCTCGAAGATGTGGATGGGGTCCACGTGGGACACGATGCAGCCCCCGGGCTGGTAGTCATTAATCACGGCGCTATTAACGAAGCCCTCCGGTATGACGCCGTGCGTCACGAGGCGATCGATGACCAGCTCGTGCACCCAGTCCGGGATCTCGTCCACCTCGCCTTTGGAGTACAGGCGCTCCTGCCCGGGGCCGCGCTTCTCGAGCTGCGAGCCGTATGTGTAGCCCTCCCCGAAGAAGTACTTGTTCCGCAGGGGCGCCCGGTCCACCGTGTGCTCCCTGTAGAGCCCCTTGTCTGCTTTGGCAACCACCTCGTCAATCTTTGCCTCGATGAGCGCGCACTCCTCCTGCGTGAAAATACTCGCTTGCTTAATGCCGCTCTTCACTTTGCGCGCCTCCGCGTCCCTGCGCTCCTCGTACTCACTATCATCGTCGTCGTCCGACTCGCGGTATTTGCGCTTCTCGCCGTTGCTGTGCTCGAAAACTGTGTCCCTGTGCGGTGTCATCGACTTCAGCTTCTCCCGCAAATCCGTAAAACCGGCCATTTTAAAGAGCAAAGTCCGAAATGTTGCGGCTAAATGTTGTTTGCTGAATTCACTTCAGGTCCCCATGTTATAATATAGTATCGGTCACTGAAGTCGAGTGCGACGTGACCGAAGGCCTGGAGCGGCGCCTCCTGCTTCCTCTTTCCCTGTTGGAGCAAATTAAACCAACCAAAGTTTCCACTGCCCCATTCCACGAGCAACCCGGCTGAATGTGTAACGCAACGCAGAGAGTGTGCTGTCAATCACAGGCGGCGTTTTCCTGCGGTTCAGTCCCATAACATTAGCACGTAGCACAGCTAGCTTCCAGTGGACACAGGTTTACAGCGGCATGTTGTTTGAATAGCACGCCTTCTGGTCACTACTACAAGCTGTGCTGAACAGCTTATTATAATGTATCCAAGAGATCGTAGTTATTCTGCAGTAGCAGGATTTTACAGAGCCGTGAAGAGAACGTAAACTCGTGTAACCAAAACTGTTTGAGTGGCTGCGCATGCGCGTCATGACTTGCACGTAGACAGCATGAGGGTCTGGTCCAGTGACAGCCAATGAGCAACCCGATCAGCTGCCAGCAAACCCCTTCAGCTATATAAGGCATTTCGATTAAATGAAAGTATTTCAATATTTAAGATTTATTATTATTATTATAACAATAACGGGTAATAAAATTACGGGTGACAGTCGGAATGGATGACCCAGAACAGACTCGAACCTGGCTCCTCAAAATCTCAACAGCTCTTACATATTCGGAATACGTGCTGCTGACATCGACATCGTTATTATTATTTAAAAAAAAATAATTTTAATAGAATTTTTATTCAATTACAACACAAATGTTCCATAAAACTAGAATAGCATTTAAATATTTTATTATTTAAATAACAAAACGTATATTATATTTCCTTGTATTAGCCGTGAGAGTGAAAAATATTACATTCATATTGTGTTCTCCTGAGTAACATCTCTCTTCATTCTAACTTGTATGTCCATGTGTTAAAAGATTAATATAAAAACATTTACACCTTGAGAACAATTTTACATTACATGTTTTGATGCACAAAAGCAAGGCAAATAATAATCCATGGCAACACATGGGAAATGACATCTTATTTATTTAAAAAAAAATAATTTTAATAGAATTTTTATTCAATTACAACACAAATGTTCCATAAAACTAGAATAGCATTTAAATATTTTATTATTTAAATAATGTATATTATATTAGCTGTACCCCTGATTATTTAAATTTAAATAAAAAATACATCTTTAGTCATGGTAAATGCATGATATTTTATTTTGTCATAAAAAGAGTTATGTAACAACATAATCAATGTGCAAAAGTTGCAAGCCAGTTAAAACCCATAATGTACAAGAGATCATTATGTTTCTACGGCTCCTTAGTAATCTCATTTTGCATAATGAAAACATAATTTTAAAACAGACAGCTTTTGCAGCTACCAATTTAATCTTATTCATTTATTAGATCATTATAGAAAACAGAAATGTGAACATCATATTGCAGTTTCTCCAAAATACTGAGAGTTATAGACAATTACAGTAGGGCAATTTATAAATTTGAGCTATAATCAATAAACGTTTTAAGAAATCTATAAAAAAATACAAATTTAACAACCCACAGGTCCCATATGTTAACTAATAGTTAAATATACAAAGTTCGACTGAAATATTGTCATTGCACTACTTTGAAAACTACCATTTCATTGTCAGTCTGTGTTAGATAATAATGAGAGTGAAAAATATTACATTCATATTGTGTTCTCCTGAGTAACATCACTCTTCATTCTAAATTGTATGTGCATGTGTTAAAAGATTAATATAAAAACATTTACACCTTAAAAACTTTCACATTTAAGGTATCAAGGAACAATTTTACATTACATGTTTTGATGCACAAAAGCAAGGCAAATAATAATCCATCTGTATACATATTACGCATTCAGTACAAAAATATTGCTTTTCATTCACTGCGTGTGTTAACATGTTAACACTATACATAACATGTGAACAAATAGACATGATTAGTGCAAACATCGCATTAAGAGGTTTGGTTTGTTTAGTTATGATGAGATAAACAATAAATAAAACATTACAAAGAATGTATGAACATGTGTTGTTACAGCATGGTGATTTCACTGGGTGGCAGCGTCAGCCTCTTCTCTCGCACAGAGAGCATATTCTCAATGTGCATGGCGATAACCCGACACAGCTCCAGACCCTACAAACAACATTTATGGTCATACACCACTCATTAATGCTCGTCATACTGGTGTTGAAAGTGTGTTACCTGTTCCAGCTGTAACTGTGTGACTCTGTGATTGGTCAAGTCTCCTATCAGGATGTCTACATAAGGATAACTGGATCCAGCGCTGGGCCGCTGTGTGTGAGCTGACTGAACCAGCTTCAGCTGAAACTTCACCTGCACCTCCTGCCAATAGAAATTTAAAGTGCCATTATTATGCTATTTTAAAGGTTTCTATATTTGTTTTGGAGATTTACAAGCATCCAAGGTGAAAAAAAATACTTTAAAGGGGCAATGAACTGAGAAATCAAATTTTTCTTGAGCTTTTGACATCTAAGAGGTCATCATATTATAAGAATATCCTGTAAGTTTCAGAACTGAAAACGTCCTTGTTAGTCCATTAAAAGCTTTTATTGACACCAGCCTCAGCAAACGACTCGTTTTTCAAAGTGGGGAACTATGACGTCAAAGAGGATAAAACACAACCCCCGCAGAAGATCAACGCCTACTTCAACACGGCTGGTTTAGCCCCGCCCACTGATTCACACATTACACGCATAGCTAAATAACATAGATGCCAACCTCGTGATGACAAACCGGATCGAGAGTGAAACTCATTATAATATACAAAACTCTTATCCACTCACAGCAGTGGCCGTTTACTTCCAAGTGTTCAATCAATGCGAGACGCCCATAAAAACCGAGCGTTTTTGAGCTGGGCTCAAAACTAGGGTATAAAATAGCCTATTACTTATTCAGTTTGATATTTTTATAATGTAAAAACTAAGCGAACGTCATAAGTTGATCTCAGACAACAATATAAAAAAAAAAATTAAAAAGCCAGTTTTTCAATTTCAATTGCAGCATCACCTAATTTCTCAAAGTGTCTGAAAACAGTTTGTGTGTTGATTCAGTCTTTCTAACAATGCTTTCCAAGAGCTTACTCTGCTCTGATTGGTCAGACAGCACAACAAACGCTTTGCTGCTTACAGTGAGTGCCGGAAACAAAACTCCTATTACCAAATCCGAATGTCAGCTGCTGGAAGGCTTCCTCAGTGTTTGATACACAGTGATACAAACAGTAACGACAGCATAGATTTTATAGTATTAATTCCAGTGTGAGTCCTCATCCTTTTAAAGCGCATGCAAAGTGGATTCTCAGCTCTGAAAACAGCATCTTCTCAACATGTCAACAAAATGAATCAAATTCTTACAGTCTCAGCTACAACTACAGTGTTTGAGGGCGGGTCAAAGTAGATGTTGTTTGCGGGCAACCAATGGCCCTGTCCCAAATGGCGCACTTCATGCGGACTTTCGGTCTAATGGACTTAGATTGCGCGTGCTCGCCGTGTCTACGAGTCCGTAGGCCATCCCATTTATCGTTTTAACGCTCTGAAGTGTGCTCAGCAGCGCCCCCTTTGTACCCATAGATGCAGGCTCCACGCACTTTAACTACCCAGGAATCCTTGGGAAATGCCAATCAGAAAACGGATGGGATTTCGTTCACGGACTGTAAACATGGCTGAGAAGAGAATATTTAAGTATCATTATGGTTTTTATGACATAGGCGTACGTTTTACCAGTTGTTACTTACAGTTTATACAAACATTATCGACCAGTGGTTGATATCTCAAACATAATAATAGCACGTTAAATTATACGATCGTATTATGATTCATTACATAAATAGAACCGAACGTCATGGCTTTACCGTAGTATGAATATTGAAACCTTTGCATTTTTATAACTCATTTTCATTATGTGTTAAAATTGCAAAATTTGGTGATAACTGCATTATCATTTACATAACCATGACATCTATTCTAATGCCCAGGTGGCATTTACAATTGTAGAACTGTAAAAGAAGGCTGTGTTGTTCACATGGACAGAAGATTTGGGAAAATAAAATAAATCCTGTTTTCGATGCTAAAGACTGTAATTTTTTTTTAATGATATTTGTCCTATTTTTCTAATAAAGGGACTGATGAGATGACCTGTTTATTCAGCTCTGTATGGAGAGGGAAAAAGCTCACAGGTAAGAGGAACGTGTCTGAGTTAAAAAATATGATTTCTCCGCATGGAAAGACGAAAAAGTAAAAACAACAACAACAATCTGCAGCATATCGACCTCCTGTCCAACAACAACCAGACCTTCTTCCTGTTTCCGGCGTGACGATCGAGTCTGTCCCAAAAACACCTCTCAAGACTAGACTCGCACTATAGGTCTGCACTACATGACGTCACCGAAGTGTGGACTCTGAGGAAGACTCTGCCATTTGGGACAGGGCCAATGAAGACCAAAGGCGGGCATTATGCTAATTTGTTTTATAGGTATGTAACAAGAAGTGAGATAGGAATTTCAGATTCCAGCAGTTCAGAATCGATTATTTCTTTACAAGAAACAATAATTTTATGTGTCATGCACTTTGCAGACATTTTTCATTCACAAACAGCTGTATTACACACTTCATGAAAGGTTATATTTGAAAAAGCATAATAGGGGCACTTTAATATGTAAAATAAACACTTTTCACTTAAGTCTGTGTGTTTGTAGTACGCACATGAGTGTCTTTGTGCAGGAAGTTCAGTCCGTTCTGATTGACAGCGAGGATGCATGGTGCAGAGATGGTGCTGTTGCTGCTGCTTTGGATGTAAAAGAAGGACGATCCAAACATGGGAAATGCACACACCAAACCTGAAGTACACACACACAAACACAATCCAGCAAACTTGCTTTTTATCATAGTATTATCTGAGAAAGAAAAAAAAGGTGAAAAGTTAATAAGGGTGTTTGGCCTGGTGAGAATAAAATACCCAGGAACTGGGATCTGGCCTGGTGAGGGTTCAGGCTCTGGACGGCATGTACATGTTGGGCAACCAGTTGCATCCACTGCTGAGGCCCCTGTCTGCCAAAGATCTCAACTGGGATGTACTCTGTCAACTCATGACTACAGAGAGAGAACATTTCAAGTCATTATGTTTGAATTTAATATACGTGGAAAGACTTTTAACTTGAACAATCCCAAAGGAAATGACTTATACAGATGAAATAATCCTTAAGAGAAACAGACTATTGTTTAAAAGTTTGGGGTCAATATGCAAAAATTGATGTTGATTATTATGTCATATTTTGATTCTGATTTCCATAAATTATTCATAGTGAAAATGTTAGTACATGGAAAAATAAACAAATAAGGTTGTGTAAAGAATCAAGGCTGTATGAAGTTGAAACATACATAGTAGGTGTATAGAGACTGTCTTTGGCTCTGTGTTGAAGAGCAGCAAGTTTGGCAAACTGGTTAAACTGCTGTTCACTGATCTTTCCCTGAGGTATGATATTCAACAGACCCTTCACGTAGTCAGGCAGAACCTGTGCAAACACAAACACACACACAATTATGATGGATTATAGGTGCAGATACATCAATATAACTTTTTGAAAATTTCAACAACATTATTCATAAAATCTGCTCCAGCAATTTATTATATATACACTACCGGTCAATGTTTGGGGTTGGTAAGAAGTGTTTTTTTTTTTAAGTTTGAAAGATTCTTATGCTCACCAAGGCAATATTTATTTGATAAAAATACAGTAAAAATTGGGATATTGTGAAATATTATTGCAACTTAAAATAACTGTTAAAATATAATTTATTCCTGTGATGCAAAGCTGAATTTTCAGCATCATTACCCCAGTCTTACATTACAATCTCCAGTCCAGTGTCACACGACTCTTCAGAAATCATTCTAATATGCTGATTTGCTGCTCAAGAAACATTTCCAATTATTGTCATTGAAACAATATGTTAAAATATAAATTTTTTCAGGATTTATTTAAAATATAAATCTTTTGAAGAATTAGAATATGTTTTACTGTCACTTTTGATCAATTTAATGCATTCTTTCAAAAGTATATCTTTTTTTTCCAATCTTACTGACCCCAGACTTTTGAATGATAGTGTATATGTCATTCTGCGTTCACGCTAGGGCTGAACGATTTTGGAAAATAATCTAATTGCGATTTTTTTAACCAATATTGCGATTGCGATTTAATATGCGATTTAAAAAAAAAAGTTATTTACCTTCTGTATTAGTCGACAAAGACAAGCAATAAATCATTGTACAGTTAGGGATGGGAATCTTTAGATAGCTAATGATCCGATCTACTTTTTTTCTTATTAATTAATCTTAACTCTTAAAATATGTATTTAATTACATGTGTAAAAACACATACTTTAAAAAATAAATATTAAAAAAAACATTTAATTAAACCAATTACATGTTAAGAATTTTAAATAGGCTTTATAAAATAATATAGCTTTAAAATATAAAAGCTAGTAAATAAAGAGAAACAAAAAAACAAAACAAAAAAAAAACATTACAAGCAATAAACAAAGAGTACTCTCAGTATTTAAAGTAGGCTGTCTGAATGTTTTTTATTCAAGAGCTGGAATGATTTCCCCAGATACGATAAGCTGCATTCACACTAATGCATATCTCTTTTGAAATTGTAAATGTGGTTTGTCCTGTTGGTTTAAGATATAACTGACCGTGTTTACATTAATTTCGCGTCATAAAAGCATTTTGACATGCAAGTACATTTACCAATGAGTCGCTCACGGCCGCATGCACGAGCGCTCTTCACAAAGCACGCGTTAGTATTTTAAAATGAAAGCAGCCTTCTCAGTGATTTTCATGGTTTTAATATATAAGCCGACTGCATTCCAAAAGACATAAATAATGCCTCTGTGAAGCATTTATAAAGAAAATACCCGCGGGAGAGAACGCGCACTGCAACTCTGCAAGTGTAACGTTATAACATCAAGCAAAGCGGCAAAACCTGTTCATTGAAGCCCGCGAATGTCTTGTAATTCGGTTCAGTCCCGAACTTTATAAAATAACGTTACTATGTTTTGGAAGGTTCGAGCGGTGTCGTGTGTGTGAGTGAGGAAGAGAGAGAGCGAGAAAATAGAAGCAAGCAGATTCAGAACACGGTTCGTTTCTAAAGCACGCGCAGCGTCATCACGCATCTGTGTTTAAAAGTTAAGCTCAGACTCGATTCTGAAATTCTCTGAATCGATCCAGGATTGTTGAGGAGAGGAGAGAATAAATAACACAATATCACATACATTAAAAATAAACTGTTCTTTTCTGAACGCCAGACCGCGTAGCGTGGCAAGTTGATGCTTTATCTTGCAGACTGCTTTTCTCTCGCGTGTCACGTGACCAGTGTAATCGCAGCTCTTGCGATTACAAAATCGCGTTTCATCATATCGCGATTTTATCGCAAATGCAATTAATCGTTCAGCCCTAGTTCACGCCATATTGTAATTACATAAACGTGTCCATGGAATTATGCGTTTCAATGGCAACACTATCAACACCAAAATCCATCTGCAGGCTGCCCAAAATATTGTTGCCCTCATAAAAGTCAGAGTTGTAATTACAAGTTCTACTTTTTACAAGTCATAATCTTAAAATAACGGTAATTCCGACATGGCGTGAATGCGACTAAATTTACATTTTCTTATCACTGTCCTGGCCAGACGCAATGCCTGGAGGTTTCTAGCATCAGTCATTTTTCTGTCCTCACTGAAATCCAAATATCCAGTATGAACATGAAGAGACAGGATTGCTGGTTTGTTTTTTTTGTGCATTACAGCTGGTTAGGACGCATGTGAGTAATGGCATAAGATAAGACAGACATGTCGTGCCTGGTTATAGTGCATGGTGACACAGAGCTCGTTGTCAAACTTGAGCGGATGGGCCCAGATGACTCGTCTGAACCAGAAGCTGTAGTTGGTATCAATTTGCTCCGCTTCTGTTGCAATGTCTAATATGTACTCTCGCTTATTCAGGGGCCGCACATTCTGACCTGTGTGACATTAAAAAAATATATGAGTGAATAAATCTGGTAGGGAATGTTCGGAATGGCATACTACTAGTAATGTTATATTGTGCACACTAACAGAATATACAATTTCATGCACAGAATACTTGAATAATGTACTTTTCCTACATTTGTTAAAATAACAAAAGTGTAGAATAGCATATCCCACAATGCAATGCTCTTGACTTGACACATTTCCAGTGTGACTAATGAACCAGAGCTGTCATTTTTTAATATGTCATTTTTGACTCATTATTTGTTTCAATAAAATTTGCCAGTCACTGAATTAAAAATGCAAGGTCATAACATAATAAAGAATACTTGTTTTTAAAGTTTTGGTAACACTTTACTTGAAGGGGTGTGCATAAGACTGGCATGACACCTTCATAACCATGACATGACATATGAAATAGGGTTTATGCATGTTTATGACAACTGTCATTAAGTGTCTTTCACTCAATAATGACATTTTGAATGCAAATATGACATTGTTTAAGAGGTCTTTGTTATGACATCTTAACATAAACCAACATCGGTGTCAGTGTCTTTGTCATGACAAATAAAGTTAAACTGTCATGTGGTTGGCTTTGACATTGGCAGTCATGAGGCCATTATAACTGTGTCATGAATATTTTTTGTGACCTCAACTACAGTGGTACTATTTAAATTTGTTATTAAAATGTTATAATGGCTTCATGACAGCCGATGTCAAAACCAACCACCTGACAGTTTAATGTAATGTTAACCCATAAAGCTAAGTTTGATAATTAATCTGCTATGTCATGTTTATGACAGGTTGTGTTCTCTTAGTAATGTCAAATTGTCATGACAAAGACACTGACAGGTTATGATGTATTGGTTTATGTCAAGGTGTCATAACAAAGACATCTCAAACAATGTCATATTTGCATTAAAAATGTCATAATTGAGTGAATGACACTTAATGACAGTTGTCATAAACATGCATAAAACATGTGTCATGTCATGATTATGAAGGGGTCATGTTAGTCTTATGCACACCCCTTCAAGTTAAGTGTTACCAAAGTTTTTCTTTTATATACTGCATATATTGCATTAGATACCAAGTTTTATGTATAAATACAAGTGCAGAACAGATCATAATGTTCTAACCAACCCGGTCTCATCCCAAATCGTCATATAACTGACGTTTTGGGACGTCTTTTGACCATACGTCAATATTCGCCTTTTTAGGGCCCCCTTAAACGTCGGTAGATGAGGTTATGGGATCCTAACTCTACCCCATACCTAAACTTAACCCTAAACCTAACCCGTCACCTAACTGACGTTAAAGGTAAAGCGTCAGTTGTATGACGGCCCGGGATCGCCATCTGCCGACGTTTAAGGGGGCCCTAAAAAGGCGGATATTGACGTATGGTCAAAATACGTCCCAAAACGTCAGTTATATGACGATTTGGGATGAGACTGTGTTATTCTAACCACTGAACCACAGGTTGGAAAATGCAGTATACAGTATATAGTGAGCAATATTCAATGCTCAGTTCGCTAATATTCCACTCTAAACATAGTTTTATAGAGGTGTAAGGACATCAGTGTGTACCTCTGTTGGTGACTATGAAAATTGTGTACTCATCCATTGCCTCCAGCCTTTGTAACGCCATCTCATAGCACAACTCCTCTATGATATCCAGTGCCACCTGCACACACAACACATCAACATCTATCTTAAGTGAACTTACAAATATAATCGCATGCAATAAATGGTATGAACAACAGTCAAACAAGAAAAGAGACATACGGAGCAGGTTTTGATCTTCAAATGTCTTTCAATTCCGCCGGGAAATAGAAACAGTTGCCGCTTCGAGCTTCGACCAGCCTGAAAACACATTCATGACCATAATTATATTGTAATTCATATTACCTACTCTACTGATCAACAGATGTTTCACTTTTGAAAAAAAGTTTTGCTGATAATTTACTCACCCCCATGTCATCCAAGCTGTCCATGTCGTTCTTTCTTCAGTCGAAAAGAAATTAAGGTTTTTTCTCCATATAATGGACTTCAATGGGAACCAAACGGTTCAAGGTCCAAAAGACAGTTTCAGTGCAAACTGCAAACTGTTCAAAGGGCTTTAAACGACTCCAGACGATGAATAAGGGTCTTATCAAGCGAAACGATCGCTCATTTAATAAATAAATAACAAAGTTTAAATTTTATAAGCTCAAATGCTCGCCTTGCTCTGCTCTGTGACACACGTTTGTGATTCTCCTGTTCGAACTCGTTCACCAAAATGAACCAATCTTTTTCCCGAATCAATTCGTTCGTTGAATGAACCAAATGACTCGGAAAAAGATTTGCTTAAAGCCCTTTGAACAGTTTGCAGTTTGTACTGAAAGTGTCTTTTGGACCTTGAACTGTTTGGTTCCCATTGAAGTCCATTATATGGAGAAAAATCCTGGAATGTTTTCATCAAAAACATTAATTTCTTTTCGACTGAAGAAAGAAAGACACGGACATCTTGGTCTTGGATGACATGGGGTGAGTAAATTATCAGCAAAAGTTTTTTCAAAAGTGATCTACTCCTTTAAGATGTTTTTTTTTACATGCAATCTCTTTTGCTCACCCAGACTGCATTTATTTGATCAAAAATACAGTAAAAACTGTAAAACTGAGAATTAGTATTCTATCTGTTTTCTATTTGAATATATTTCAAAATGTAATTCATTCCTGAAATGTAAAGCTGAATTTTCAGCATCATTACTCCAGTCTTCAGTCTCACATGCAGAAATCATTCTAATATGATGATTTGATGCTTATTTTTTATCAATGAAGAAAACTGTTGTGCTGCTTAATATTTCTTTGTGGAAACGGTTTTTAGCAGGATTCTTTGATGTGAACATAATTGTTTTTCAATGTAAAAGTCTTTACTACCACTTTTGATCAATTGAATGCATCCTTGAATAAAAGTATGAATTATGTGTAACACGGTTATTGACCATTATGGCTTTGAGCTCCATACTACTGGGGTAAACACTCCTGCCACCAAACTGAAAGGTCTTTCTCAGATTCTGCTCACAAGCTTTAGCAATTCCTGGAGATCACACATTAAATAATGTTAGATCATCATGCGTCATACAAATATTGTTTCAATTCAGAGACTAACATAAGTTAAATGTGTACTGTGTATGTGTAATTACCATGAAAAAGCACTTCAGGACTTCTGCAGACGTCTCTGAGGAACTTGAGTAAGAATGGTTTGAGCACTTCAGAGCAGCGGTAAAAAGCAGTCAGAATATAGAGCAAGCGCCAGCCTTTCTGACAGCTGTCACTGCAACACAACACAACACAACATACAGACTCTGACAGCTGAACACAGATTCCTATTAAACAAGCAAATAACAAAGAAAACATCTCACGGTTTAGAGCTGGTATTGGCTGTAATCTGTCTGAGGACTTGACAGTAAGCCTCATCCTTCATCAGTCCATATTCACCCGTTAACTACAAAAACAAGTATGCATTTTAGTCAAATTAAAGCTAAAACATACAGTATATCAAACACAACTGGGGGTCTATGAGCCCAATGGGTAACAGTACCGCTGGTCCTATGGACGAGAGGTTGTGCTTTACCTTAAGGAAGGTGCAAACCACAAAGTGCTCTGATTGGCCCCTGAGTGGATGATCTCCCATGAACTTCATTATGGCTGCACACAAACCAAACCCAAACAGATATAAATCTTGAGATCATTAAAAATAATAAACAAAAATAAAAACCGACTGAGTGGCTGTGATTTATGTTTGTCACCTAGGAAAATTTCAGAAGCAACTCGGTTCATGTTGGGGTCAGTGAAGTCTATGAGGGACTCTATGATAGGGTTCTGGAGAAAACAAGAGATCATCACTTTTATATGTGTGTGTGTATATATATACATATACACACACCACACACACACACACACATGTATATACATACTATTTTGAAAGAAGTCTCTTACGCTCACCAAGCCATTTATTTGATCAAAAATCTAGTAAAGCAGTAATATTATGACATATTATTACAATTTAAAATAACTATTTTCTGTTTTAATACAAAATACATTCTTTTTCAAGATTCTTTAATCAAAAAATGTCACGCTTTTTTTCAGCATTTTTTTTAAACAGAAATCTTTTTCAACATTATTTATGTAAATCTGTCCTGATAAGCCTAGGGCTTCTACTTATCCATTTTCGAACAGGTTATTATGTATATTTATATATATATATTTTCACTTACTGATGGAAATATCATACGTATTGCTGTCTTTTCCAATTTATTGTTTTTATTTTTTATTTGTTCGAAATAAAGCATTTATACCATACCATACCATACCATGTAAATCTTTTCTGTCACTTTTAATCATTTTAATGCATCCTTGTTAATATTGACCCCAAACCTTTGAATTGTAGTGTACATGTACATATGTATATGCATATGCACATGTATTTATATGTTTGTGTACATATGCATAGTGGACACAGTACCTTGCTGAATTTCACCATCTCTGCAGGGTCTTTGTTTCCTTTACCTTTTTTGGACTTATCCCTGAACGAATCACTAGTAACATAAAGAAAAGTACAACATCTGGCTTTTTAATAAATAAGCAGGATTTTTTATTATTATAATAGCAGTAGCATCACTTTTACCTCTTGTTTCCATTTGACGTTCTGAAATATTTCTTAGCGAACTCCACCATGTTGTACTGGCTGTCCAAAATGATGTTGCCCTCAATTTCAGAGTCACCAAAATCCCCTAAACCATCAGACTATAGCAATCACAAAACAGACATAAAAACGAGTATGTAATATTAGTAATATTGCATCAGACACATTTTGTTCACCTTCAACTCCATTATGATAGCCTTGTAGTAAACAGGAAATTCACGTTTTATTTTCAAAGATCAATTAATTTTCAGTAATACTGCATAAAACTACTGCGTGTACTTCCATTGTCGCATAATTTACTAACATTAAATGTTAAATGAAATATCCAGTAAATTGATGAGTGCAAACCTTAGTAAATCACCTTGCGTGATTCACTTAAAAAAAAAACAACTTTTGCTGATAATTTACTCACCCCCATGTCATCCAAGATGTCCACGTCTTTCTTTCTTCAGTTGAAAAGAAATTAAGGTTTTTGATGAAAACATTACAGGATTTTTTCCATATAATGGACTTCATTGGGAACCAAACGGTTCAAGGTCCAAGTGAGAGTTTCAGTGCAGCTTCAAAGGGCTTTAAACGACACCAGACGTTGAATGAGGGTCTTACCAAGCGAAATGATCGGTCATTTCAAAATAATTTTTTTTTTTTATATAAGCACAAATGCTCGCCTTTCTCTGTTCTGTGATGAGCGTTCGTGACTCTCCTGTTCAAACTCGTTCCTCAAAATGAACAAATAATTTTTCGAATCATTGATTCATTCATTCGTTCATTTTGATGTCGATATGTATATCGTTTAAAGCCCTTTGAAGCTGCACTGAAACTCTCATTTGGACCTTGAACCGTTTGGTTCCCAATGAAGTCCATTATATGGAGAAAAATCCTGGAATGTTTTCATCAAAAACCTTCATTTCTTTTCAACTGAAGAAAGAAAGACATGGACATCTTGGATGACATGGGGGTGAGTAAATTGTCAGCAAAGGTGCCATAAAGGAAAACTCCTACAAATGCAAAAATAACCCTGGCCTGTCCATGGCTTTTCAGTGCTATTCTTTTCCACTGAGTGTCTTTGGTAAATCTTGACAGTAGTTTTTTAACACCAAAAGAGGGTTTGTGCTGGAGCAAGCTTGTCATAGTAATTTCGGCATCAGCATTTGTGCAACATGAATGATATTGTGTTAATGTACCTCCAGTGAGGGGTCAAGTTCATGTGCAGCTGCAGTGGAGGCCACGGCGAGAGCGATAGCTCCTGATGCCGCCACTCGACCCTGTCTATCTCTCGGCTCGTCTCTTCTCTCCGCCGGGAGACTCAGGAAATCAGGAGCAGCTACAGGAACCACACACTCCATGGGGAACGCTCCGCTCCGACCCTGAACTGCCCCATACTTCCAGCCTGAAAAAACATACATAAGCTTATGACAGCTTGTTATTTCTCCATTCTACTTTTTTTTAACATCTTAATAAATAGCCATTAATAGATATCTGTTTTCATCATGTGACAAAATATATATCATTTAAAGCATCCTATAAACAAAATAATATACATAAATAAGGTAATATGTTAAATGTCGGACCAAAATCTGGTGTGCCTCTCTTCAGCTCCTCGAGGTAAATGACTTTTTTCTTCACCACACAGCCGTAACTCTGACCTGAAACACAAATGCAAATGCACACCATGAAAATGTCACATTTCTTCCTCTAAAATGCATGCACAGCAGTTTCAGTATAGTCATGCACTGTCCGGGACCCCCACACGGATTTCCTGGAGTATCAAGGACAAGCCTGTCCCAAGGTTAACTGCTGATCCTCCCGATGGAGTGCAGATATTTTGAGCTCCATTCTAAAATCTTTTCCTGTATTTCCTAATCTTTACGGACTCAAAACTAAACAAATCAATATATACAAAAAAGTTATTGTCTACTGTTCAAAAATGTGGGGTTGTACAATTTTGCACTCATCCTTTGGTCAGAAAAAATTGTGAAATATTTTTTACTGTTTTAAATAACTATTTTCCATTTCAATAAAAATCTTTTTTAATATATTTCAAATTGTAGTTTATTCCTGTGATGCAAAGCACAATTTTCAGCATCATAACGCCAGTCTTTAGAAATTATTCTAATATGCTGATTTGCTGCTCAAAAAAACATTTCTTTATTATCACAGGTAAAAACAGTTGTGCTGCTTAATATTTTTGTGGAAACTGTGATATATTATAAATATATTTACCGTCACTCACCTTTGATCAATTTAAAGCATGAATAAAAATATTAACTTCTTTTTTAAAAATGGTAGTGTAATTAAACTCAATGGGATGAGATCAGCAATACTATATTGTTTTCGGGTGCCAAATATTTTCCCTTGCAAAAAACTGCATGACATCACTGCTTGTGGGAAAGACCTATAGATTTTAATGTGAGTATATGACTGCATTTCTCACCCTCCTCCAATCCATCCATGGCCTGCAGACGAATGATATCTCCTTTATAGAAGTTTAAAAGAGCTCTGTCCTCTGTGATGAAGTTTTTCTCAGCTACAACATACTCAGAGTCCTGCGGAGGAAGTCAGACGTACAGCATTGCATGTTAACACAAAATCAGAGCCGTCTGCAGTGTAACAGCACCTTAAAGTCACCATGAAATCAAAATAGACAATTTTTTCTAATAGAATTTATTATTTTATTATTTATTATAAATGATTTATCTTGTAAGATTACATGTACCCTTGTAATCTTTAATCATAATAACTCCCTCTTGCAGCATGTTTAAGTGGCCATAACCATCCAATCAATTCCTGATAGACAAAATCAAGTCCCGCCTTACATTTTTTCTTGTTCGAGAAGCCATTTCACTCACATTTGCATCAAAATATCGCAAGACAATATCGCTACTTCCGTTTCATGGTAACTTTAAAGGTGCATTGCGCAAGTCTCTGAGTTTTTGCAGAACTACGCCCCCCTCTGGCCACAAGTGAAACTGCAACCAGAGGTGTGCGCGCTCATGGACTACACAACTGTTCATAACCATCAGTCGGACAAATATTTTGTTACAGTCATAATGTCTTCAGAGGAAATAAAGTTATATATATTTCAAATGACTTGCAGATTTATAAGGAAAGGCATTTGAGTAAATTACACACTTATGTGTGTGTGAGGGGAAAACGGGGGTGTATAAAACTTGGTTACAGAACTTGTATAGAACTGTTTTATGTGTTTACTGTATCCACATATGATTGTTTTATTATGGAAACACGTTCATGAACAATAAAACTTTGTATAGGATCACGTTTGAGCCCTAGAGCAGACCGGAGATCTCTCCATTTGTTGAAAGCCTTCCCGATGTTGACTCTCGTCTTATTCCGACGCCTGGCACTAGACAAAAGTTTTATTATCGTTGTCTTACGTGGAGTTTGCGCTGGGGTTTGGAATGAACTACAAGCCGGTCTCTTTGAATCCATCTTCTACTTTCGTCAAAAGTTGACTAAAGTTGTGTCGCTCGAGTTGTCTTCGCTGATACGGAGAATGGCGGCGAATACACAAACCTGCCAGACATCGCCAGGTGCGCGTTTACGCGCATGACGTCACGCCCAGTCTCAAAGTCCATCCCGAATCCCTCTTATTTATTAATTTACTGTCCAGGATTATAGAGGCAATCGCAGTGATCAGAGAAGGCCTCATTCAGTCCATCAGGCAATTGTTTAAGCATGTATGGGTTCGAAAAACGGCTATTTTTAACATGAAATGTTGCGCAGTGCACCTTTAAGAAATCATAAGAAGAGAAATCAAAGCCTCTTCCGTACCTTCTTTAGATGAGAGATGAAGAGATCAATCATCTGTTTGATTTGAGGAGCTTTGGCTGAAAACAGAATCAGTTTCTCATTCATCAGATTAAACTCCAGCATATTCTGAGACGGGATGGTCACAAACAGGATGTCTGTGTAGCTGTGGGAGAGAGCGAGAGTTGTGGTACTCAATCTTTGTGAGAAGATTGGTTAAATGGCTGGATGGATGACGCACCTGTACGGACGGAGCACTCTGAAGTAGTCTGGAGCTGCAGAGCTGCTTTTCACCGTCTTTAGGAGTTTGATCCCAGAGTGAGACACTGCCAACACCTGCACTCCAGTACCCACACTGCCCTACACACACACACACACACTAGAGACATCAGGCATAAACTAAATTTAATACTGAAAAGACTGCCAGCAAAAGGAACTCACAGAGGCAGGAAAAAGGCGAGAAAAATAAATCTCCCATGATTCCCTGGCAGCAGCAATCACAGCTTTCTTCACACTCTCATCCGGAACATCTGTGTTCGGCTCGACGCCATATTGAGCTATGAAATAAACACACATCATAGTAACAGATCAGTGTAGTCATCAAAAACATTCAACTAAACATGCCGTTAGAAAATAAATATATCTGTAAATTAATTCCTTCCTCACCAAACAAGGATTTCATCTTCTGTCTCTCTTCTTTAGTAATACGCACACAGGCCTCTGTAAATGTGTCATTGACAATCTAAAAAACATCATTTAAAGGTGAGAAATGAATTACAAAAATATGGAAATGAAAAGCAATTTTTTAAATATTTGAATAAAAATGTTTGAGATCAGTGCGTTTTTGTTTTTCAGCATGTGCATTAAATTTTATCAAAAGAGTCAGTAAAGACTTTAACATTGTTACAAAAAAATGTCTTTCAAATAAATGCTATTCTTTCAAACTTTCTATTCATCGAAGCACATGATATTATGAAGGCAATGAGTGGAGTTGGCCTCACCTGTTTGAATATGAGGTTCAGCACTAGCGGATGGTTCCAGCTGTCTTTGGGGTAGAAGACCTACAACAATTTGTACAGCAGCATTAGTGCGGAAACTGTTCTGGGTTCAAGATGATCTACAAAATTTACAAAAACACACACACACACACCTCCTTCCTGAGGCAGATTTTCCAGGGGACGTTTGTGTAGGTGTAATGCTCCTCTGTGCTGCTCCTCTGCAACTGTGTTTGGATGCTCTCAGATTCCACTGGAAGATCTCGGGACACTGGTGTGTGCGTGTGTGTGTGAGAGATGGAGAAATAGAGATGGTTGAGGAGGACATACGGTAATACTTTACAATACGTGTGCACTATTATGCATTAATTCATGCTTAACTAATGCACAGATAATACTAAATTAATGTGTAACTAATGATTATTTAAGCATTAGGAGCTAATTAAGAGTCTGTAAGGTTAATGTATTAGATACTTGAAATGTTATTAATTAAATATGTAATTGTGGGTTAATTACATAATAACTCATTTTTTGAACTAATAGTGTTAATTAATATGTTAATTACCAGAATGAGCCAAAGCCGTACACTAATATGCATTAATACATAATTAATTACTTCATTGTTAGTGCAAATTCATGAGCAAATTTCTACAATTACTAAATGACTAGTTAATAATGATGTGCCTCAACAAGTAAAGTCATAACATAATGATACCTTGGCAAATCATTAGCTAATGATTAATTAAAGCAGACAACTGGAAGTGGAAGCTAATTGCTTTGGCTAATTGTGGTAATTAACACATTAATTTACAGTATTAGTTAATAAAATATGTTATTAAGGAATTAATACACAATGACACATTGAATTAATAGCAATTCATGTATTACTTAATCTATTAATCATATTGACTCTTTATTAGATGCTGATGCAATAATCATTATTTAATGGTTTAATTCTTCATGAGTTATACATTAACTCATGATTACCTGTGCATTAGTTAAGTATGAATTAATGCATATTAGTGCATCCGTATTGTAAAGCGTTACCAGACATACAGCATGCGTTATACACAATATGTATACTGCTATTTGGGGTTGGTAAGGTATTTTTTCTAATGTTTTTGAAAGAAGTCTGTTTTGCTCATTTATTTGATCAAGGTAACACCGTGAAATATTAGTACAATTTAAAATAAATGTTTCTATATTCATATATTTTAAAATGTAACTTATTTCTTTGATAGCTGAATTTTCTGCATAATACTCCTTCGTGTTCCTTCAGAAATCATTCTATATGCTGATTTATAGATCTAGAAACATTTTTGCTGTTTATTATTTTTGCGAAAACCATGATACATTTTTTCAAGATTCTTGTATGAATAGAAAGTACAAAAGAAAAGCATTTATTTAACATATATATCTTTTGTAACATTAAACATGTCTGATGTCTGTAGCTTTTGATAAATAATGCATCCTTGCTGAATAAAAGAAACAAAAAAAACCTTCGGAACAATAGTGTGAATCCCTTACAAAAAGATGGTTATACTACTATACGTCGTTAGAGAGTACCATAGAGTAATACCATTAAGGTACTGCTCAAAAAGAGATAAAATGTGATAATACCATAATATCTGTTGTAAGCGATGTGTATATGTGTGTGTTGTTCACCTGGTGGTGGTAATGTCAGTGGTGGTTCTGGTGCTTTCTTCTTGCTGCTTTTAGTTGGTTTGAGGCCTCCATCTCTGGACACAGCGGCTGGGGTGGGAGGCTTTCTCTACACAAACAGTTACACACAGCATAAGATGTTATATTGTTTATAGTTTGTGCACAATACGACGAGGAATGTGTTTAAAGAAAGATAAGCAAATTCAAGAGGTAGACAAAAAATAGAAGACATACACACCTCTGGAGGAGGTGGATTGTCCATCTGTGTTTTTAGGATCTGCATTGCCTCATCATGTGGGTTCAACTTCTTGACAAAACCTTTCCCATCCCGCCTGTCAACAAACGCATGTTAATAATAATATTAATAAAATAATCTGATTGCATGATACATGGGAGCAAATGCACAGATAACCCACCTCTGTCTCTGAGGCACAGGTTCTGGTTCTGGAGTTTGATATTGTTTAATGATGTCTTTAATGTTGTGGCTGGGAACAATGTGCTCCGAGTTAGAGACAGAATATTTCACCACCTCTGTGGCAGGAGCTGGAGCAGAACGCATGGGACCCGTGATCGCAACAGGAGCTGAGACAGAAAGAAAAAGTTGGGATATATAGAAGTTAAAGAAAATTGATTTATTTTAATTGTTGGGCATTATTATATTAAATGCAATCTCACCATGTTTTTTAGCAGGCCTGCTGTCAAGTTTAATGGGTGCAGCGGGGGCTTGTTTCTTCCCTAATGTCCCATTAGATGATGCAGCCTGAAAATCATTTAGCCAAAGATAACAAATCATCAACAGTTCTTATATTAAAACGTACTCAGCAGTTAAACAGATACACAGATTAGATAATATAAGTGACTAAAAGTTAATTATAAAGACATGCACATAAAAAAGCACCACTGTCAACCATATTATATTAACTTTCATGAACCAGTTTTTAAAATGTATTCAATATAGTCTTTTACTAATATAAACATATAAAATTAATTACACAAACTGATATCTCGCTTGTATACAGTTCTAAAGTTTGGGGTTGGTAAGATTTTTAAAAATGTCTCTGTGATTCACACCATAGCTGCATTTAATTGATAAAAAAATGCAGTAAAATCAGTAATATTGTGTACAATTTTAACATATTTTAAAATGTAAATTATTCCTGTGATGCAAAGCTGAATTGTGCACATTAGGGATGGGGCCGATCCGATCCAGTATCGGTATCGGGACCGATACCAGCGTAATTCACGTATCGGATTTTTCCGATCCAACCTGCGGAGAAATCCGATATTTATGATCCATGTCTGCGCTTTAACGTTGGCTGCTGAAATGACTCCAAAAGGGATTCCCCGGGGCTGCTAGTCTGCTAGCTGGCTGCAAACTGTGGAATGGATATCCTGAACGGAGGTGCAGCTCAATCATAGACTGTAAAAAATAGGGCTCAATGAGACACACAGACGCCCGCTCAAGAAATCCATTCCGCAGTTTGCAGCCAGCTAGCAGGATAGCATTGAGCTACCAATATGTTCGCTGTGTGGAAATCCTATGGTGGAAATACTTCACACTGGAAACACCGCAGCAGAGCAAGACAGCAAAATGCAATGTTGGCAAAGCCGTATAAATTAAACTATTTGTCTGTGATGCATGTTTGCAATTCGCAGTCCAGAAGAGAAAGAGAGAGAGATCTCTCACGCGGTGCCACAGCACGCACAACACGACAGCCCTGCTTAATGAGTGACGAGACGAAAGAGAAAACATAGCCTGGTTACACTTTAGATCTGTGATATTAGTCTGATTTCCAAAGATTAAAGAATATATTGAGGTAAAAAAAAAACATTAAACAATAGCCGCATTCTGTGTAGCCAACTTCCTTCCCATCGCGGCGGTGCACTGTCATTTCTCCGTAAAACTCAAACTTTAAGACAGAATCAGCACGATCGGTAATTGTTGTAAAATGCCGTCTCTGCTGTTGCTAAATTGCGGGACGCTTTTAATAATAAAAAGAGCTATTAAAAGCACAAAATTTGCGCAAGAGGGCGGCGCGCGCTCCGAAACAGACAAGCAAATTATACTTTGGGCTTCATATGCGCGTCTGAACGATCAAATGTAGCCTGCACAAAAATGTCAAAACGACCGGCTTGGAGATTATCACTTAACTACGTTCATTTTAGACATAAACGGTTTATGGAAATAGTTGGGAGAAAATATGGTGCATCAGTAGACTATGAAATCCGCACTAGTTCTTAAAGGGGCAGCAGTATAAATGTGACGATTGCGACATTACTGACAATAAAACAACCAAAGGCAAAGAGATAATCACTCACAGCTCTTGAATGAATAACTTCAGCTTTAATAAGCATAAATCTATCTATGATAAACTTTGCAGTGCTATTTTACTTTTGATTACTTTATTATAATTCTTTTTAGACGATATACCTGAATAATGTTAGTAGACCTTCCTGAAATTAAAGCACTGTGTAGGCCTGTATAATGAGTATATCTTTGTTTAATTGTCTATCTATTGTTTAATATATCTATTATATATATATATATATATATATATATATATATATATTGACATAGGCTACATACGTACGTATCATCCTTGCTTGTAGAGAGGTGTTTATTTCAGCATCATATAAAATCAACAATAATGATAAATAATGTTAAAGCAAACACAGGTCTGGTATCGGAAAAGTATCGGTATCGGCCGATATCCAAAGTCAGGTATCGGGATCGGATCGGAAGTGAAAAAATGTGGATCGGTGCATCCCTAGTGCACATTATTGAACACATGATCCTTCAGAAAACATTCTAATATGCTGATTGGCTGCTCAAGAAACACTTATCATTATTATTAATCTTGAAAACAGTTGTGCTTCTTATTATATATTTATTTAGGAAACTGTGACGCAAGTTTTTCAAAAATTCTTTCATGAATTGAAATTTCCAAAGAACAATTGGAACAACAATTTTCACAAATTTCTTTGCTTTCACTTTTGACCAATTTAATATTTCCATGCAGAATCCCATTTCTTTAAAAAAAAAATCGGCAACACTTTATAATAAATACACGCTAATAATCATTAGTTAAGCATTAGTAAACAGTTAATTCATCATTCATCCATCTAGTGGTGAAAAGGTATATGACCATCCAGTGAATATTAGTTTCTGTTCCTCTCAATTCCGATTTCGTTTTAACTCCTACGGTGGCCAATGTAGTCCAAGATTAACATGGCTTCCAGTTCGACCTCGTCCACGAGTGTTAACTCAAACGTAAACGCGAAATGCGAAGCTTGAATTAACGGGTATGTCCCTCTTTGGCTAATGTACTTTCAAGATGGAGGGGCAACATGGCGACCGACATTAGAACCCCTTACCCGTATGTGTTTTCAATGGCATATTATACACTCACGAGAATACTTGAACGAAGTAAATATACATTAATGAGCACATATATTTTTGAAAGAACTAAGTGTTTTTAGCTAAGAATAAACTAAAAGAGTTAAACAGTGTAGCTTTAATAAATTATTAATAGCGTGCAGTTATTATAAAGTGTAAACAAAAATAAAATTTTCAAATGGTAGGGTATTTACATTTACATTACATGTATTGATTTAGCAGATGCTTTATTCACAGCAAATGAGGAAAAAATTGGTTGCAATTGGTCAAAAGAGCCAACAATATTCCTATGACACAATGTCAAGTTTACAGTATAAACTAGATTATATGATTATCAACACTTGGGCACCTGTGTAGTCTTGGTCTTCTGCGGCTGTGGCGTCGGGGGGCTGTTCTTCTTCATGGGCTCACTTTGCCCCTCTAAGATGCTGGGGGTGGCGTAGATGGAGGTGGAGGCAACGGCCGGCTGGAGGGTCACTGGAGGGCTTGTGTACGCGGACAGTGGAAGTGGGGCGTAGGGGCTGAGGGGGATGTTTGCGTAGGGGCTGGGAGGGATGTCGGGGTACGGGCTGGGTGGCAGAGTGCTGTAAGGGGTGGGAGGAGGACTGGTTGGGGGGCTGGTGAGGGGCGACATTGGGCGACTGGACACTGGACTGGTCACCATAGCCATCGCCTGCATGGTCATCTGCTGAGCCTGAAGATGTAGGGACAGTCAAGAGACACAAGGTGACTTACACTTGAAAACCAGTTCACACCAAGAACGAAAAGTATAATGATAACTATATTAGCGTCACACCATTGGATGATATAATTCTGTTTATTATAAACATGCACTGCAGTTTTGTAATTTGCCGTTTTAAATGCTTGAGATCTTTAAAGTAGGATGGATTCTGATTGGGTGTCATTGTTTTCATTGTTCATCAACTAGATAAAAAATTGTTTCCCTGTGCCGCTATCTTTTAGTTGTGATGTGGATATTCTTTTATATTTAGAACGATTTTTAGAAATATATCTTTTTCGCTATTGTTATAGTTATTGTCTTTGGTGTGAAAAGGCCTTTAGTCCAATTTTTAGGTTTTTATATATTACATTTTAATATGTTGTCATGTTGTAATTAATGGCAGTCTGATTAAAAAGGCATACAATTTTACATGTAAAACCTTTTTATTTTATTTTATTTGACATCAACATATGAAGAGTTCAGATGCAAAAGCCTCTAAATGCCATTTGAAATTTTGTTCTTTAATGATGATTTTTGTCAAACTTGTATATTTAAGTTCAGTAATTTCACTTAAATAACAATTATCATTGCCATTTAAGTGAAATCATTGAACTTAAATATACAAGTTTGACAAAAATCATCATTAAAGAAGAAAATTTCAAATGGCATTTAGAGGCTTTTGCATCTGAACTCTTCATATGTAAAAATGTAACAGACAATCTGTAACCAAACATTCAAAAAGTCTAAATTAAATAAATAAATAAAAAAATGTTAATATTTTAATTTAATTTGAATTTTTTTGTAATTGTGTTGTTTGTTTTTGTAATTTTTATTATACTAAAAAAATATATAGTCTATATAGTTTTTTTATTCTTAATGTATTAGTTTTAATTTATTTAGTTTGAGTTATTTTAGTATTTCAAGCTAAACTAAAATGAGAAATATTTACTTTATTAAATAGTTTGAAAAAACATGAGGATCAGTAAATGAGAATTTTAATTTTAAATTTTGAATTATTGTTTCAATAAAGACTGCAGTACCATAATGACGGCTTGCTGGTTGATGATGGTTTGTTGCTGTTGGGCCAGGACGGTTTGCTGTGGGTCTGAGGGGAAGAATTAAAAGAAAATACTGAATACTTCTCCATCACCCAAGCCTTGAAAGCTGATGGCATTTTAACTAGAAATACCTGGCACTGGGGGCACGGCTGGCATCCTGGGCATGACTGAAGCGCCTGGTATGGGTGGCAGAACTCTCACTGCTGCAAAATACACATCACACACACAGCCCATCACATCATTAAATTATGTACAGTATGTGGCCATTCATAATTGAGTCCAGCTTAAAAAGATCAGCATAGCTGGTCCTCAGGTTGGGATTCTGGTGTCTCTGTCAGGCTTCTTGACTTGACAAACGAATCTGTTCAAGCAGCAGTAAAATTAAGTCAAATTTATTTGTACAGAGCTTTTCACAATATAGATTGTTTTAAAGCAGAATGTTTATCATATCTTAATAATGTTATTGCCACATTTAGTAGGCTAAAGCTAGGTGATAATAAAGCTCTAATATAGAAGATACAAGCAATCAACCAGATAATATATACTATATAGTATGTATTGCCCTTTGTGAGTATATTGTGCGTACGCACAAAAAAAGTTTGGCATCTTTAAAGGAATAGTTCACTTTGAAATACATTTTTGGTATGTTTCAGCTTACCTTAAGTGCATCCAAGATGTAGGTGTCTTTGTTTCTGCAGTAGTTTCAATTTTGATATTTTTAGGTCAAACCGTTCTTGTCTGTCAGTCATATAATGGAGGTCTATGGTCACCACCTCAAAGAGCATGCACAGAGAAGTCCAAATTAAATATGATTTAATGACTCGTAAATGTAAGTACATATTAATGGCCTAAGACACGAAACAAGCAGTTTGTGTGAGAAAAAAAACAGTATTTATATTGTTTTTACCTCTCAGATCACTCGGACGTGGCTGTGGTTACAAGAGGTAAAAACGATATAAATACTGTTCGTTTTCTCACACAAACCGTTCGTTTCGTGTCTTAGGCCATCAATGTGTACTTACATTTACGAGTCATTAAATCATGTTTAATTTGGACTTCTCTGTGCATGCTCTTTGAGGTGGTGACCATAGACCTCCATTATATGACTGACAGACAAGAACGATTTGACCTAAAAACATCAAAATTGAAACTACTGCGGAAACAGACACCTACATCTTGGACACCCTTGAGGTAAGTTAAAACATACCAAAAATTTATTTCAAAGTGAACTATCCCTTTAAAGAGCTGTGCGAGTTACATTTTGCACAAAAAAATAAAATAAAAAATTCAGGCAGTTAAGATTAAACCAATGAATAGCGTTTGGTCTATATATAACTGTACACACACACAGTGTGTTGTATGTAATCATAAAAAATTGGATACATTTTGCAGACAGTCCAGCATCAAAACCAGCATAAACCAGCCTGGACTAGCAAAGACATTTCTGCTTTTTTAAGCCGGACTGCTCAGCAGAGAATGTGTGTTTACAGTACCTCCAGGCTGAAGAGTGACTCTAGCAGGGGACTGTGCTTCATCGCCACCTACACCTCCTCTACCCTTCATCCTACCAGACAAAACTGAAGCATCAAGGTCCTACATATAAAAGAATAATCCAGTTAGTTACTAAGACCGCATACTTCGGAGTACTACAGCAAAAAAAAAAAAAAATAAAAAAAAAATAATCAATAGCATTCCAAAATGTTTTACTTTCATAATATTTTTCTAAGTGAAACGTTGGTAAAAATGTTCTCTTTTGTCTTCCAACAGCATCATTTTTTTTTCAGCATTTTTCTTGCTGATGGTTTTTATGCAGTAAAGGTTAAAACTCCACACTGGGTGAATAGGTCTCCGTGTTAGTATCATATATTTTGGTTGAAATATTGAAAAAAATGGTTTTACACTCTAATAAAAGCTGTATTTGCATTCCATGAAATGTTTTCTTTCATAACATATTTCTGAGTGAAACTATACAGTATAAATAATAAATCAAATGTAGGGCCACACTTGAGCCACACCGAGTCAGATGCTTTAACATTTTACTGCATTAATCTGTTTCTATAACAGAGATTTTAATTTAATAAGAGGAATCTCATTGATTTAAAGGTGTGTAGTTTACTGAATGACTGTTGGTCTGCGTCTCTCTCTGCATGTGGGATAAGCCTCATTAAAAAATTACACACTCATTTGCTTACTTTTTTCCTAGTGCTCCGTGTAAAACGATCATAGGGAGCACAGCCAAACACACACACACACACCAACACATAAATGAGACTGAGAATTACAGTAACCCTAAAGCAATCTTTCATTCTTTCGCTTTCACTGACACACACATTAAGGGTTAATTGACATTTGTGTGTGTGAGTTCAGGTGTCACCATACCCCATCAGACAGAACTGGGTCAAAGAGACTGTCCAAATACCGGTCCATCCCGCGCTGAGTGGCATCATAGGATGGTTCGGAGTCTGATAAAGACAGAGGAGAGAGAAAGAGTGTGAAGAAAATAAGGATAAAATGGAAGTAACAGGAATTTATGTTTAATATTACAAAAAAAGTATCTTCATCTTGGTTTGCAGAAAGAGTGTTTTTTTTTTTTTAAGTGTAAGAAGCAAATACATCCCAGAATTGGTCAGTAGTGTTGTTTTGTCACACTTTAGTTTAGGGTCCAATACTCATCATTAACTATACCTATGACTTTTGCCACAAATAAACTCAATTACAGCTCATTAATAGTTAGTAAGGCAGTTGTTAAGTTTAGTTATTGGGTAGAAATAAGGGATGTTGAATAAGGTCATGCAGAATAAGGCATTAATGTGTGCTTTATAAGTACTAAACAGCCAATTTCCAAGTAATATGAATGCTAATAAGAAACTTAATAGTGAGGATTGGACCCTAAACTAAAGTGTTTACCGATTGTTTAAAATAAAAGAAAGAAAATTAATGCTTTTATTTAGCAAGGACACGATTGATCAAAAGTAAAAGACAATTATAATGTTTTCCAATATTTCAAATAAATGCTTCCCAGCAAACACAGAACATTCCCCTAATGTTCCCGAATGGTCCCATGAGGTTATTTTTTTGGGAACCAAACAAGAACGTTATAGGAACGTTCTATATAGGTTATTTTTAGGTTCCATTTTTATAACGTAAAGAGAATGTTCCGGGAACGTTCTCTTAACCTTAAGGGAAAGTTCTAGGAACGTTCTGGGAACCAAAAATTAACGTTCCCAGAACCTAAATTTGTTTCCTGGGTTGTCTTTTGAACCTTCTATTCATCAATAAATCCTAAAAAATCTGCATCACAGTTTCCCCAAAACACTGTTTTCAACATATATAATACTAAGAAACTCAGCATATTGGAATGATTTCTGAAGGATCATGTGGATCACTGAAGACTAGAGCAATGATGGTGAAAATATATCAAAATAGAAAGCTGTCATTAAAAAAAAATATTACTGACCCCAAACTTTTGAACAGAAGTGTATTAAAGAAATAGTTTAATGAAGAATCTAATCTATTGCACACATAGTAGTTTATTATACTATTAAAATCTACTGTAACCTGCTTTAAAAAAGATAATCCATGGAAACCAAGCTGTAAAAGCAGAGTGTTTTGAAACTTCTGATGCCAGACAGATTAATACATTGTCACATGACCGTAAATGAATTTCAGAGGATCAGAGAAAAATGGTAATCAAAACAATTTTCTCATTTGTTCATTAACCCAAAATTCAAAGTATGCTAAGTGAAGTCAATAACACTAGCAGAACAAGCCACTGCCTCAAAAATATTATTAATGATCAATGACCTGAACATTTCACCCTTGCAAGACCTCTTAAACCTGTATAATGTTACTCATCCTGTGGACATGCACACAGAAAGGTTACATGAACACCATCGGGGTTAGTTTAGCTGTATGTAATCTAGCCATTCTGTGTGTATCTGATTCTACTTTACATGCAGGGTTGTAGATCTGCTACATCTGATTAAAGCAGGGGCTGTAGTTTAGTGTTTCTTGAGATTATGCTTGGATATTCATGACTCATGAGACAGGCAACTAGGCCTATTGCTGGAATAACAATCACCGGGCAATCAGATTGAGAAGGGTCAATGACTTTATGTCGTTTCACTTAGGAACAAGTGAATGTTGTGCTTCATTTAAGACTGAAAAAGGAGGCTACCCAGACTGTAGTGGCCTTCAGAGATCGGTAGGCTGTTGGTTGCAATGGCGCTCGTTCGGTTGGCAAACGATAGCGGCCCCTCCTCATCCTCTTCAAATCCACTGCCAAAGAGACTTCTGCATACCAACATATTAAACATCGTCACAACAATACATTACAACTGAAACATGGGAGAACATACATACATACATGCTCGCGTTAGGTCGTGCCCTGCTGGGGTCTTCAGTAGAGATGATGAAGTATGTTTTCTGTTTAGGGAAGTCTGGCAGCAGCTCCAGGTCACACACCAGATCGAGAACATAATCGTGACCCTCTAACTCCACCCACTGCGCCAGCTCCTTCATCAGAACCGACCAACCCCATCGACTCTCAGTGGACACGCCCCTGCAGGATGGCCAATACCATGTTACTGACCCAACAGGCTGGAATACACTAGACAACACACTAGGCACCATATACTTGCCAACTTTGAAATTGGTTACAGGGCATCATACACTAAACGATTGAGAATCACAAACAAACAGACTTTAAGTCGTTCTGAAGACAACAAACTAGAAGATGTGTGACGAATGAAAACAGTATGTGTTCTGAAATCGGCTCAAAATATCAAGCATGTTTGAAATCCCCAGACTGGATGAAATCGATTTTCAGCAACTAGCGTAGTTTGTAATCTTAGTCTAAATCTGTGTTGTGCCTGGTTCAGACTACACAATTTTTTTGTCTGTTACGATAGTCACTGTATCAGATTACGCTATTTTGACTCCTAAAATCTTGTCGTGTCGTGGTCAGACTACACGTTACTTCCTGAACAGTCATTGCATCCCGTCTTTAACGGCGCGAGTGATGTCATCGAGAAGGTGAAACTAGTAGCGAGTGACTTCCGGAAACAAACAATGGATGAAGCGGTGAGTGTTGTGTTGGCTGTCCTGTGTTTAGAAAAAATTAAAAAAGAAAAAAAAAACAGACAATGGACACGTTCCTGGATTGCTCGGAGAGGACAATATGGGCTGTCAATCCTCCAAAGAGAACTTGAGGTAAAATAATGTTTTCTTATATATTTTTTTACTATAGTTTTAACGTTAGCATCATCGTCTCTCTTTCGTTTCGCCATTTTTGAAAGTTGTGTACGGAAAAGCTTGTGCTCCTATTGGTCAACCTCATACATGTGACGGACCCCATCGTGAACAACCGTTAAAAAATTAAACATGCTAGTCTTTTTGTCATGATGTCATGAAGCATCGCAGACGCAGGTTATCGCCCACTATGACACTATTGCGATCGAATCTTGCGTCCCCACGCCCGTTGTCGTTTACGAATCCCCACGACACCCTACGTCAAACGGATCGTGCCAAAATCGGGCTAAAATCATGTAATCTGAAACAGGCATAAAGGAATCCAGCCTTAAGATGCTGCTAAGTAAAATTCAGTGGGAATAAAATTCACCTGTGTTGTAGAACGTCTCCTGCAAGGCCCTCTCCATTTGTCCAGGAATGGACAGGACACAGGAAAGAGACACCTACAAGGGGATAATCAAATAAAACTCAATTAAAAAAAAGCCCCAAACCCAAGTCCCTCAGTTATTATGGTCTCTAGATACAGCCTGGCTTCCTCACAGTCTAAATCTATACTTTTTGTGTTCCAGGTCAAAATTATAGGTCAGATTGTTTAGAAAAGTAACCTCAACCTAAACAGAATGGAGTTTCCATTTCTATAAAATACAGAGCCAGACAGTGGGAATATATTGTCGGCCCAGATCCGGCCCACATCTGGTCCGCATTGAATCCAGATGTGGCCTGGATCTGGGCTGATACTATGTTGCTGTCTGGGGATAGAATACAATTTGAGATACACTCATGCCACTTTATTTCATTTACATTTATTCATTTAGCTGACGCCTTTATCCAAAGCAACTTACAATTGCTATATATGTCAGAGGTCGCACGCCTCTGGAGCAACTAGGGTGAAGTGTCTTGCTCAGGGACACATTGGTGTCTCCCAGTGGATTCGAACCCGGGTCTCTCACACCAAAGGCATGTGCATGTGTATTCCATATCTGTGAGACCATCTAACAGTATCCCACATATGACATGTGAAAGTCACATATTGTAGCAACAAATCCCATGACTTATTTTTTTTTAATAAATGATGACAGAATTTTTTTGTAAACTAATATATATATATATATATATATATATATGAGCCAAAACACCTGATTTTTAACCACCTTCCTAATATACTGTTATATACAATATATATATATATATATATATATATATTTATTACATCATCTGTCAGCTGGTGCCGAGCCGGCTCTGGGCTCAATAGATTTTTTTGAATAAATACATTACATTATATTGAGCTTATTTCTCCAAAATTTAAAAACTAAAAGTAATTTGTGGCCGTTTCTGTTCTAATGCGCTACTTCACACATGATAACTTATTTTTACGATCAGCGCAATGCATGATGGTATAGGGCTTGGGTTAGTGACCATCGGTTGTACACTACTTTTCAAAATGCATTCTGGGATACATTGAGTGGTGTATATAGGATATAATAATCATCACTATACATTCGGACAGCACTACAAAATGGCGAGCTCACTATATAGTCCTCTATATACTGAGTAGTGGGTGATTTCGGACTCTATAAGACCTCAGAAAATGTCCAGTGGTATCTGGCACCAAGACAATAGAAGTAGATCCTTCAAAGTCCTGTAGGTTGCAAGGTGGAGCTGCCGTGGATCAAACTTGTTTGTCCAGCACATCCCAAATGATACTCAATTAGATTGAAATCTGGAGGACAACACCTTGAACTTTTCAGATATACTCTGACCAAGTTGCCTTGCCATAACAATTTGGCCCTTGTCAAAGTTGCTCTGATCTTTGTTTTTGCCTACTTCTTCTGCAGAACTGAGATCTGTTGTTTTCTTACCATCTAATCTACCCAGACCTTAAAATGTGGACTTGTTAGAAGATGATTGTAATCAACACGCAGGAGAAAAATCTCCAGTAAGAGGTCATTAATACCTGTAGCTTGTAATGGTTGTGTAATTGTAAGAGAATTGACGGGTGGAAAGAGTAGTCAAGATAATTTGACTGACCATCTAATCTCTACCAGCACACACACACACACACACACACACACACACACACACACACACACACACACACACACACACACTATCACATATCTGCTAATCTGCTCCAGCCCAAACAGGCGAGGACAGAGAGGCAGTGTAACTGGATGAGAGAAGGCGTAAAATAAAGCAGAGTGACAGAGAGAGTGAGCAAGATTGGATGAAAGAGGAGAGGGTAAAAGAAAGATATAGAGAATGACAGAAGAAGAGATTAAATAGATTAGAGGAAAGGATAGACAGATGACACCAGTCCTGATTTGCCTCCTGACCTGACATTAACATGCATTATTTGAGAGACAGTAGAAAGTAGGACAGGAAATTGAGGTGAGAGAGAGAGAGAGAGAGAGAGAGAGAGAGAGAGAGAGAGAGAGAGAGAGAGAGAGAGAGAGAGAGAGAGAGAGAGAGAGAGAGAGTGCACTGAAACTATTGGACGAGAACAAAAACTCGAACTGAATTGAGGTGGATGATGACACTACTGTCTTCTGCAGAGCTGCTTATTGCTAAATTGAACTAGTTATATAATTGAGGTTCTTTACATAGAACTGAATCAACATTGAACTGACCTCAGCTGAAAAATACACTATTGTCATCTGTAGAGCTGCAGAATTTGACTAATATTTGATGGTTTGCATCATTGATTCTGTTATGATTTAGTTTATTACTGTGAAGCTGCTTTGAAAAAAACGTGTATGAAGCGCTAATTAAATAAATGGAGGGGATATAAGAAGAGGGAAAACAGCACCACTTACGTCTCAGAAACATTGTGGCTTAGTGTGGAGCAAACCAACTGTATGGAAATAGTCAAAAATCATGTCTATTGACTGCTGTTTTCTGTCTGACATTGTGGCTTTGTTTCAAAATCAAGTGATCTGTCTAACTAGACAGCATTTATAGTAATCAATTGGGACTATTTGTAAAGATTCATTTTAAAATATGCACACATTCACTCTTAATCGTATGCCTAATATACCAAAACGAGCTCCATTAATATTTCTTGTCTTTCACATTCAGCTACGAATTAGATGAATCACGTGAATGATAGCCTATATTTTAAATTCAAAACAGCAGAATTTGACAAAAAGGTAGCTTGCATCACTGGATATTCCAGTAAACTGTTGTCAAATGTTAAACGCTTAGCTATTGATATTTTCCTTGCAATTCATGCTCAGCAATGTGAACAGTAAAGCCTCACTCTTAGAAAAAAGGGTTCTATATACAGTATGTAGCATAGCATAAGGTTCTTTACTCAACTCCAAAGGACATTTAATGCTAAAAAAAGGTTCTATAATGAGAAGAAAGAACCCTTTTGGCACAAAGGTTCTTTAAAGGCTACTATTCATTCATATATTACATTATTCTGCAACATTTTGAAGTATGTAATTAAATTATTGTTTATTAAACTGTTTTAACTTAATATCAAATTTTAATCACGCTGACTTTGGAGGATAAAAACCAAAATGGCACTCTTCGTCTGATATTGATTAATTACATTTTTTTAACCCACATATCTTGAATTTTGTGATCATTCACATGCATGGCATTTTAGGGGTTCCAAATACGTAGCGCTTTAGAACCTTTTAAGGTTCTATATAGAACCTTGCCTGATTTGATTGCCATCTCAAACATTTTGACATTGACGAGTGCTTTGGGAAAATTTGGCCATATCTAACGATTGAGGATGTATGTGTACCCTTCATGTATATGGTGGTTATGTCATGCATGTAATACTAAAATACACTTTTTGAGGCAGTAACATGTGATGCACTTAATGGAAAACAGATTCAGTTTTTATTTTTGAGATATTTTAGTGTTATTTCGAAGTAATGTGGCACCGTCCTAAATGAGTCTGAACAGGAAAAGATGACAAAAATCAGTATTAGTCTGAAATCTGATTTTGGTCATAGTTAATTATGTGTCCATTTATTCTGTTTACTTTGTTCCACATTTAAGAAAACACTAATAGGGTCTTACCATCAAAACAGTGCACCTGGAGAACCATGTGTGCTTTCTTGCGGGTGGCAGTCCACTCTAGCAGGGATGGAGGATATGTTCGAGATGCTTCAGGGACTAGGTGGGATTTCTGCATTGCTTGGATGAGTTTGTGTTGGCACAGAGCCTTAAAGCCGTTCAGAGCATAGTCTGACACAAATCTGACAGAGACAGAGGGAGAGACAGTTATTTAACTGCTAAATCTCACATTATGTCCCTGAACAGAACTTATATTATTGCATTGTTGTACAAAATATGCATCAGTGATGTGCTTTGACTTGGGTTCTTTTTAAGAAATTAATACTTTTATTGCATTAGATTAATGATAAGTAATGTTTCTTAAACAGCAAATCAGCATAACAGAATGATTTCTGAAGGATCATGTGATACACGACTGGAGGAATGATGCTGAAAATTCATTCATTAAAATAGTATTTTTAATTAAATAAATGCAGCCTTGGTAAGCATAATAAACTTCTTTCAAAAATCTTAGTGACATCAAACTTTTGAATCGTGCGTGTTTGTATGTTCACTTGTGCATTCTCCTACTTTAGCAGGTATTTCTCCATCTTCTCAGAAGGGGCAAAGGAACTCAAACAGGCTGCCATCAACAGCCAGCCTCTCTCTGCATTTCTGCTGTTTTCATTCCGCCACACCTGATTGGCTATCTGCGCTAGGATCTCGTCTCTGATTGGTGGAGTGGCAAGGCCTCTCTGAATGATGTAATTTCCAAACAGGTTTTCTTGAGCTCCATTCAGGTTTGGATCACCCATGAACCTCAAAATCTGTCAACCAAAACAGACATGAAAATTCACCAACAAACTGCTAGAAGACTTACAAAGGGTGACTGATAATGACACTGGATTTATGGTAAAGGTAACCTTACCAGTATAAACACATCTAGAGCATCCTGTTTCAGATCATCTTCTAGACGGGTCAGTGAGTTCTCCAGCGGTGCGGCTAGCATCCCGAACTGTAATTCCTACACAAAAGAAAGAAAAATATATACAAAATTTACTGCATTATGTCCTTAATGTGAGTGAATTATGCACATGTGTGTGTGTGTGTGTTAGCATGCAGGACATTCACCCTGAAATGTGTGCGTATATATTTGGTCATCAAATAGTTGTTGATGTCCAGTGGAAGAGTGAGTTGGGGGTCCGTCTGTATTCTAGGAGCCTGAACCAGAGCCAAGCAGTCTGAATGACGCTCCCTTCCAGCTAAAAACAAAACAAAAGCCAAAAGGCAAAACATAGGTTTAATATTTTTTCAAAATGATTAGGTAAAGTAATGCCTAGTTTTGCATCGCCTGTGGATATTTTTTTTTAATTTCAACAGCAAAATTACAAACTAGACAACTTTGTTGATTATAATGGGAGCAATGCAAAATGCAAAAAGAAAAATGCAAAAAAGAGTGTTATTTAAGATAAATGAGATACTAATATAGTTCTTTATTATTATTTTGAATTAATATTCATTGTCATATTTTTTTATTTTATTTAATACTTTCTGATTTTATTTTAGTTTTAGATATTTTGCTGTGTATTTTTGTCTGTTTTATTTTTTGTTTAATATGTCGGTACCACTTTATTTTACAGTCCTGTTTCGCATGAACATACAATGTACTTATAGTACTAATGAAACTAACAATGTACTAACCCTGAAACTACTCGTAAACCTATAACTACTTATGTAAACCTACCCATGTATTTACCTTTGTACTTGTTTTTAAGTACACTGAAAGTGCACGTACAGTACATTTAAAGTGCAACCAATAAGTCTATTTAAATTTTTTATTTTATTTTACTGACTATTTTACTTTTAGTTAATTAAAAAATACCTAAGCTGTGGATGTTCTGGGTGTCACAGTCATCGTCTGCACCAGTCTGTCTTTGGCTATGTTTACACGGAATCGATTCTGAAGAGAAAACGCAAAAGTGCCGTTGTGTTATCACTTTTTATTCTGCGTTTAGACGAGCGTTTTGGGTGGGAAATCCACGTGCATATGGTAACGCAAAAATGTGTGAAATTCAATGTAGTATGCACTCCAGACGGCTAGGTGGCAATGTGGAGCACTACCACACAACAACACGAAGTCCGCGCGCCTGCGTACAACCTTCACAGTCAAGCAGACTTTTGCGTTTTTTATTTTACCCTACACGGGAACGCGGCGGAGGAGCGTTTTTAAGATTTTTAAGGCGTTTTTAAGTGGTGCACGCGGATTTCCAACCCAAAACGCTCGTCTAAACGCAGAATAAAAAGTGATAACACAACGCCACTTTTGCGTTTTCTCTTCCGAATCACTTCCGTGTAAACATAGCCAGTTTCCTCCATTTAGTCTTTGTCGGTCGTCGTGTATGTATAGTTGTGTGAACTGAAGTCCTGGAACGTTTCCCTTCATCGCCGTAAGTTAAATTTGTGAATAAAGCATCTACTTTGAGTTCCTTTTGTCCTCGTCTTTTGCATCTTGCACAACGCCCGACACTGAGTGGTTGCTTACTAGATCAATTATAAATTCATTTTTATCATCTGCTCTCAGATCACTAGGAAAAGTAAAAGCACATCTTTTCATTTTCTCAATTTCAACTAATTTGTATAATATGCATAGCACATCTCTAATAATAGCAAATCTCTCCTTAACCAGCAGCATGATTTGAGGTATCATTCACATCTGTAGCATAAACAGTGGGGGATAAGTCATGTGCCAGAGTTTTATATGGGTTACAGGTTTTGAACATAACTTGAACAATAATGATAATAATATTGGTTTTGCCTTAGCAAACATTATTAATAATAAAGAAGAAACACTTGGAAATTGTTAATTACCTGCTGTGGCCTGTAACAATCCTCCCAACTCTGCAGGAATAACTAGCTGAGTCACATTTACCACCTCCCTGCTCGTTCGCTCCTACAGAAAAGAGAAAACACATAATAAAAACTCTTGTTAACAAAAGTGGAAAATGTTTGGCTGGGTATTAACAAGAAACCTCAATCATCATAAGAGTGATAATATATACATAATTGGTCCTTAAAAATGAGCACAGACTGTTATTTTACCAGTTCAATCCTTCTCCTCTCCTCTTCTGCTCTTCTCGCTAAGTAGATGTTGTACTGTAACAAAACCATGAGCGAAAGTAAAGCATTAAACATTTGAAAACCCGAATGTGAACTTATAGTAATTGCATTAGACACTTTAGTATTGGTGAAGAAATGATTGGAACTTATTATTAGATAATAGGGATGCACGATATATCGGCCACCATATCGGTATCTGCCAATATATGTTCAGTTTTAATGTTAAAGCCGATAAATAATGGATTATTTCCTTCAGCTGAAATACTTCAGATGTGCACCGTTCAACATGATTGTTTTGAATTGCTTAAAATATTATTAGAATCAATTAAAAAACTGAAATTACAGTGCAAATGTGTGGTCACATACAGTAGGCTACAAAAAAAATATAATGTATAACATTATAATTGTGTGTTAGGGACATGGTTTTTAACAGTGATACATTTGTTTTTATAATGGCTCTAAATTATTATAATCATTTTTTTTATTTCGATTTATCAGCCAATATATCGATTATCTGATAATTCTTTAAATATAAAGAATTATCTTTATATATAAAGATTTGTGTTATCTTTATATTTGTAATTATCTTTATATTTATATTCTTTAAATATAAAGAAATATAGGTTTTCGGTATCTGCCAAAATGTTCACACCGGTGCATCACTATTAAGTAACGTACCCTGATGTATCTTTTGCGATTGACAATAAGTCGGATCATTGCACGGTGCCTGATCAGGTTTATACGCATTCGCAGAAACCGTCGCCTAAAAGGCACAAAGAGAGTGAGTGAGGGAAGTTTCAGCCATTTCAATGACATATAACACTCAGTTTCATTGATCCCCCCCGGGATCCAGATCCAAGTCCTCCCAGTCGGATCCAGATCCAAGTCCTCCCACCTTACATATACCAGCTCCACCCCTGATCCCTAAACCTACCCAGCTCCACGCCCTGAGCCCTAAACCCACCCCTAAACCTCCCAGCTCCACCCCCTGATCCATAAACCTACCCCTAAACCTACCCAGCTCCACCCCTGATCCCTAAACCTACCCAAATCCACCCCTCAGATCTGGATCCGACTCCGCCCCCTGGATCTCGTGTACTGCAATGAGGTGCTACTGAAAAAACCTGCAGCTGTACCATCTCTAGCTGTAAATCACATTACAAATGACACGGCATTGAAGTTAAGGTACAGGCGAAAGGTTGTAGTTTACCTGGCCAGGTAGCCCTTGCAGCGAGCCTGAAGATTTGTCATGTCCACACGAAATTTGAGGAAATTCTTCCGGACAAAATACATCCGTACGTAACGCTGAAGGGTCAGTGCAGCTACATGCCTCATACGATCACGTTTACTCTCCAATAACTGATTGACTTCCTCCTTCAGAAAGATCTAAGAATAAAAACACAATATTAAAACAAACATTATACAATGTAAAATTGCCTGTTTTTTGAAGACAGACAAATTTTGGCGTCTTTACAAGTGCAATGTTTATTGTTCTGCTTACCTTTGACACACCCACTTGATAATCTCCTTTGTTGATTGGGCAGAGCTTCTTTAACATAATGACACAGTTTTCTCCATCTGGAGGTGGTGGCGTCTTCATTCCCAGCAGGGCTTTGTACCTGGGGACACATTTATTAAAAGATCTGTGTTCTATACACTAGCATGCATACGTCTATTTATAGCACTAGACTAGATTACACACCGTATGTCATTGCAACCAAAAGTAACAAGCACCAGCTGTTGAGTAGGATACCTGTTTAAGAATTTATGGAACGGCACTCTGACTGGATAGCCTTCCTTCCTGATGCGGATTGTGTCCCAGATTCCCGAATATCTGAGCTGTGTAGCGACCAACTCAGGGTCAAATATACCAGGTTCCTGAATGGACACACAAATACTTAATTTAATTCAAATACACATCAGAGTGGTAACACAAAATCATAAGCAAAAAGCTGAACACTCAAACGCACAAACATTAACCACTAAGAATTTTTTGAATATTAAAAAAATTTTAATTTGGTCGAATGCAGTAAAAACAATGATATTGTGAAATATTATTATCATTTAAAATAAATGTGTCTATTGTAATAGATTTTAAAATGTAATTTATTCCACCAGTGAAATTTCAGCATCATTACTCCAGCCTTCAGTGTCACATGATCCTTCAGAAATCATTCTAATATGCTAATTTGCTGCTTAAGAAACATTTTCTTATTAGTATCTTATTAGTTTTGCTCCTTAATATTTTTGTGGAAACTGTGATACACTACAATTCAAAGGTTTGGGATTAAATTGATCAAAAGTGACAGTAAAGACATGCATAATGCTTCAAAAGAATTTTTATTTTAAATAAATTCTGTTCATTGAACTTTGCATTCATCAAACAACACTGAATGTATTAAAATAATATGACAAATTCAACTTTGATAGTATTATAATAATTATTATTAATAAAATTAATATGATAAATATGCTGAACAGTCAGTTTTCCCTTCAAAAAAAAAACATTTTAAAATATATTAAAATTAGGGCTGTCAAATGATTAATCGCATCCAAAATAAAAGTTTGTGTTTACATAATATATATGGGAGTACTTTGTATAATTATTTTGTATACATATATATATATATATATATATATATATATATATATATATATAAATACACACATGCATGTATATTTAAGAAAAAAATATTATTTATATATAAAATATTTATATTTATATATAATATAAATTATATATAAATATATATACAGTATATACATGAAAATATTTCTTAAATATATGCAAGCATGTGTGTGTATTTATATAAATAAAATAATTATACACAGTGCACCCACATATATTATGTAAACACAAACTTTTAATTTGGATGCGATTAATCGTTTGACAGCCCTAATTAAAAAGCAAAATTGTTCTTTTAAATTTTAATAATATTTCATTATGTTACAATGTTCAATAACAGTAATCTTAATTATTAGAAGTGAAAATTGTCAGAAGGAAATGTGGGTGCTGCAGTGAAGTTGTTAGGGTTATTGTTAGGGTTAGGTGTTTGTTCACGCCCCTAACCTAACCCAAGTACCTAATAAAACGTGATATTGATGCTTTACGAATGTCTACTCATACCTTGTTATTATTTGGCTTTATGCAGCGCACAAAAAATGGGTTGCACCTGAAAAAATTGAGAAGAACAAGAGATATAACTAAACAAATTCCGCCAAAGACATAATCAGGAGAATCAAATATATGAATGTATGTGTATGTGCATGTGTAATATTGTACATCTCTTTGTGTTTATGAGTGTACAAGACCTCTCCATTTTGTCAAGGAGCTCTTGTAGTGATTGCTGGAACTTGGCGGCCACGGTAGAGGGCTGATATCTCCGAGTCACTGTGCTGTTCCTGTTCATTGCTCCTTTTTGCTGATTCAGCATCTCAGCGTGCTTTATGAAGAGATTGGACACCATCTAGAAAACAACAACAAAAAAAGAAAAGAATCATATGCATAAGCAGAGAAAATTGTGGCCTCTATTTCATGTTGTCTCATTTCTTTTTAAAATTCTTTTAGAGAAGAAAAAATAGGATATGCTTTCACATACACACAAAACACACACTACAGATGCATGCATGGAGATAGATGGACTCACTCGGTTCTGGCTCTGCATAAACAGATCCAATACTTCCTGCCGCACCTGGTCGAAGTTCTTATCCAGAAACTTCTGGATCTAAAATCAGTGTGAGATTCTCTTTAGACAGGCTGGTAATATTAAAACCTAAAATTAGAGTAGAGCTATGACCTCTAAGCTTTGACATGACATATAATACTGCCTGTGCACTCTGTGATTTCTATTACCTGGTAGGTTACACGGCCAGCATAGTGATAGACAGTAAACTCTGGCAGTGGCATTTTTGGCTTGGAGTAAAGGGGGTTGTTTCCATGATGATAGTGGCACTTCTGAAGGAAGGTGTTGTCAGTGGCCTGGCAACAAATGTTAAAACATGTAGTGTTAACATATCAGGTTTCCTTACTTTATCCCTATTGAAATCCCAAGTGTATAACCTGTGGAAAGCCGCTCTGATCATCAAGGATGCGGAGTATCCCATGGGGCTTTGCAGCGATAAGGTCTATGCATGCCTGGTTGTCAGTGAAGATCAGTTCTTTCCAGTTGATTTGCTCTCGAATGTACTCTTCCTGCAGACACATGCCGAAAGAGAGTGTGCTGTTATGTTTTTAAATGTAGAATTAATACTTATTATTAAGTACTGTACTGTATTAATTAGTACTGCTCAAAAGTTTGGGGTCAGTGAGATTTTTGTTTTTCATTTTGCATTAAATTGATCAAAACTGAACGATTTCTATTTCAAATAAATTCTTTTGAACATTCTATTTATCATAGAATCCCAAACCAAAATATATAAATAATAATAATTCAAAATGAATGTAAGCAGCACAACCATTTTTATCATTGATAACATAAGCACCAAATCATCATATCACAGTGATTTCTGAAGACTGTAAATACAGGTTTGCCATCACAGGAATAAATTATTTTTCAAACTATATTAGGTAGAAAACAGCTATTTCTGTTTTTACTGTATTTGATCAAATGAATGCAGCCTTGGTGAGCACATGTGACTTTCAAAAACATCCCATGACCCCGAACTTCTAAATGAGGGTTAAATGAGATTCTCACCTGCTCTAGTTTGAAAATAATTCTGTTGAAGAAGAACTGCAGTGTCTCATTGGCATAGTTGATACAGAGCTGCTCAAAGCTGTTGAACATCAAGCTCTGGACAATACAGAGGAAGATGACATGGAGATATATGCAATTTAGAAGGTCTAAATTCCTAAACAATAACACATTTGACCTTTATGAAAAAATGTATCTAATATAGAATTTGCTTCTGTGTTAGTGGAAGTGTATACCTCAAACCCGTATATATCCAGTAAAGATATGGACAGCGCCTCATTCCTGGGGTAGACCCGTCCATTGATTCGTTCTGTCAGCCATTGAAAGAGCAAGGAATAAAGGATCTTGGCAACTGCATCTCTGCGAAAGAGAAATAGAAATACATACGTAAAATGCAATGAAAAATCAAGCTATTGCAGATAACGAGTATGAGTAATGAGTACCTGGCATCCATAGCATTTTCTACTGAGAGGGGAGTGTGTATCTTCTCTCGCATAGCCTCCTGTGGCAAAACCAAATAACACACTGCTTAGTTACTGTATACAGTATGTTTAAAAGCCGTCACCCCCCTTTTTGAGAATGGGGGTAAAAATGCACTATTCAAACTTTGGAATATATACCCAAGTTTGGTCTTGTTTTAAAGAAAACACTCAGCAGATTATTGCTGAAGTGAAAACAAATTTACTGTAAATTTACAGTAAATCAAATATACTGTACTATATATTTTTTAAAAGCTTTATTTTACAAAATATTTTTTACTCTAAAATTACTATAAAATCAAAGCCATAAATCTAACCAAGTTATGTTCCAAATTTGAAGTTGATATCACAAAAATTGAAGTTCCCATGAGATTTTGTTTAGGCGTAGTACCAAAAATAGCCACCGGGTGCCATTGAATTAAATTGAATTTAGTTGTATACATTCTGCCTTAACAAATTAATAAATTTCTGTCTAAATATCAATTCTGCTACAAAATGTGGAACCTTGAGGCACAGACCTTTCTGACAATATGTGTTTTGTCAAGATTAGAAAAGGTTTTAATCATAAATTATGAAATATAATGATGCCCAAAAGGGGCGGAGCCTGATTTAGAGTACCATTTCTATGGTAACGCAACATTCAATTATAAAACGTTTTTCACAGGACGAATTCTGAGTTTGTAAGCTTTCAAATGATACCTAATTTATGATAACTACTAAAAGTTGTGATATATTAAAAAAGGTGATTAAAAAAGATAATATAATATTTTAGAGGATTATATATATATATATATATATATATATATATATTATAATTTTAGAGGATAATATTATTATATTATAATTTTTTATTGAAAAACACTAGATTATATGTTTTATTATGAACTTTTAGCACGAAAACCCAAAGTTTCAATTATTAAAGGTGTGTGCGTCAACTTTTTGTGACAAAGGTCAGAACTCCTGTCATGGTGCAGATTTTTTTTGACACGCACTCTTGTCATAAAATCATCGGTTTCTCTTTTTAAAAAATTTGTTGCAAAAAACAGCAGTCAAATATCTATTTAGCAGTCTTAGACCTTTCCAATGATATATAGTTTGTTATGACAAGATTAGGATTTAATAGTAATATATAGTGAAGTAAATTTAGGTTGCCCGTAGACGGGCAGGTGTCAGTCAAGGGGTTAATAAGTTCGTCAGACAGACACACACACACACACACACAGAGAGACTATGTCACTTGTACTGTCATAGTGAGCGTGTGCAATTGAGACAGTGTTATGTGACAGCTTATCCAAGTAAGTGGTGTAAACACAAACCTGTGAGCTCTGGATAGCAGTGCTTTACTTATTAAATGAGCAACATGACACAAACCACAAACACACTAACAAATCACATTGTATTCATGTAACACCTCTGTTTGAATAAAGCCAACATAAAAAATGCTTAGAGTGTGTTAAAAACGACAAAATGCGTTTGGGTGAATTTCAACAACAACAAAAAAAACCCCCTCCATATCATAGTTAAAAATCACAAAAGTTTTCTTATGGGGGAGGATGTCCCCAGACCTTCATAAACATGTAAACTTTTTCACCTCTTGTGAGATTACAGGTCTGACATTGCTATAGAAATACAGCTAACCTGATGGTATCTCGTCTTTCCTCGTTAACCTACATTGATCTTTGTATGATGTAATGTCAAGCTGGCACTGAGTGAGCAAACTATTAGGTGTTAAGATTACTCAAGCCCTGAGCAACCCTTGATTAGATTACCGTGGTTTCCATAGAGCTGAACTCAGAATAATTAAACTAGGTTACTGGACCTCATTAACAGCAACCTGCTTACATGTCATTACAATGTTTCTTTTTTCTCTTTATTTCTGCCCCAAGCGTTCACAATCGTGTCAGAAAAATATGAAAATGTAGAATCCATGGGCGACGTGAGTATGAGTCTGGCTTTCCCTTTCCCATGAAATCAATATGTTGAAAGTATAAAATGAAAGTAGCCAAAAATACAATGAAAGTAAAATGAAAGTAGCCAAAAATACTACACTTAAAGGAGTAGTTCAGTTTTTAAAAAAACTTTTGCTGATAATTTACTCACCCCCATGTCATCCAAGATGTCCATGTCATTCTTTCTTCAGTCGAAAAGAAATGAAGGTTTTTGATGAAAACATTCCAGGATTTTTCTCCATATAATGGACTTTAATGGGAACCAAACAGTTCAAGGTCCAAAAGAAACTTTCAGTGCAAACTGCAAACTGTTCAAAGGACTTTAAGCGATTCCAGACGGTGAATAAGGGTCTTGTCAAGCGAAATGATCGCTCATTTTTAAAAAAAAAAAATAACAAAGTTTAAGTTTTATAAGCTCAAATGGTCGCTCTGCGTTCGTGTTCGAACTCGTTTATCAAAATGAACAAATCTTTTTTGTGTCATTTGGTTCATTCAACGAATGTAATGAACGAGTTGACTCGGGAAAAGATTCGTTCATTTTGATGAACGAGTTCGAACAGGAGAGCCACGAACGCAGAGCAAGGTGACCATTTGAGCTTATAAAACTTAAACTTTGTTATTTATTTATTTTAAATGATTAATCGTTTCGCTAGATAAGACCCTTATTCATCGTCTGGAATTGTTTAAAGCCCTTTGAACAGTTTGCACTGAAACTGTCTTTTGGACCTTGAACTGTTTGGTTCCCATTGAAGTCCATTATATGGAGAAAAATCCTGGAATGTTTTCATCAAAAACCTTCATTTCTTTTCGACTGAAGAAAGAATGACATGGACATCTTGGATGACATGGGGGTGAGTAAATTATCAGCAAAAGTTTTTTTAAAAGTGAACTCCTCCTTTAAAACTAAAAGTGTATTTCAGCAATGCCATAGAACATCATTTTCAGTTCCCCATTTTTTTTTCTTCTTGGTGTGAAGAACATTTTCTGAACCATTTTCACTATAAAGAAACTTTTGGGCATTGGAAAGATTCCATGGATATTAAAGGTTCTTCATAGAAACACAGATCTAACAGTGTACATTCACTTTTTCAGAACACATTATGGATTTTTGCATATGTAAACATGTATGTACCCGTACCGTCACTTTGAAGGTGATGGCTTTCTGCAGACCCTCTGGAGAAATCTGCAACAGATCGGCTACAGCACGAATCTCCTGAGTGCTCACCACACCAGCTGTCTCCTGCACTTCTGTCTGAGACCGAGAACCCAAAGCACACGGTCCACAAGACTCTTTACATTGTCCATATATGTTTGCTATATTTACATGAAAGTACAATCAAGAAAACTGCTATATACAAGGTCAAATATTTCATCTACAAACATCTTGTTGTGTGACAAATGGGAAGAGCTGGAACACAGTGAAATTGTTTATTATTATAGGCTTGGTGTGCAAACAAAAGTGAAAGGAAATTTTAAAATGTTAATTTGCAGTTAGTACCTCTACTCTATGGAAAAAGACATTGCCCAGGTGCAGTATGGACGACAGCACTCTGAATATGCTGCTCTGGTCTTCAGGACTGAAGTGGAGAATTTCCATGGCACTCTGTAGCCTCCTGAAGTCCTCCCCATCATCTTTCCCAATGATCTCACAGTTGCCACCCTAACATGAACCATGATAAATGACATCAACATGACATAATAATACAATCCCTTAGATAAGCACTTTTATACAATGTAGGTTCACCTTTAATTTAGCAAAGGAAACCTAGATAATAATGATATTAATAAAATATAATAATAGGCTATGATGTTCTAAAAAATTATACCAGAAACATACACTACTGTTCAAAAGTCTAGAATTGTTTTTGAAAGAACTGTTTTTTTCATTAATTTGAAGTGACAATAGATACATTTATAATCTATAATCGAATAATTCATCAAAGAATCCAGAAAAAATATATATTATTAGGCAGCACAAGTGTTTTCAACAGTGATAATAAATGTTTCTTGAGCAGCAAATCAGCATATTAGAATGATTTCTGAAGGATAGTGCGACTAGAGAAATTATTAAATTGTAATCATATTTTGATCAAATAAATGCAGCCTTGGTGAGCATAAGAGACGCAAGCTGAAATCCATCAAAAGAAACAATTACCTTCTAATATTTTATCATCTAGATTATTTGCCTATTGATACGCCTATATTTGTCTACTTATTTTTCGGTGTGTCTTGGCAACTTGCATTTGTATATGTCTGCATGTACCTGGTTCAGGTAGTAATAGGTTTCAGCCTCCTGTAGGTAGAAGGCCCGTTTCATGTGAGTAGGAAGTCCAGCCAGCATCTCATAAAAGATGTGGTAGTTTCTCTCATCTTTGGCCTGCACACACACACACACACACACACACATACACACACAGGTCAGATAAGGTCCCAAATGTCAGTGATAAATACAGAGCTATTTTAGCCTTTTCCAAGTTAAAAGGAAAAGAAACAACCAACCTGAAAAACGATCCTGGACTTCTCCAGTAGATACTGCGAGGTTATGGCACCACTGATCACCCCTCTGATACGGACAACAACACACACAGATTGGTCTTGTTTGTGAACTATTTTTGGCCCTACTTGTACCTTCTCAATTCTCTTTCCATCTCTCTTCCTCTCTTAGCATTCAGAGGTAAAATACAGTAGCAACCTTACTGCCCTACTTTCACACAAGCTGAGGCGGTACAGATCTAGTTCCCTTACAGTGTCGCCTCTCAAGCAACAGTTTCAGGCTAGAGAGACGCTAACGCGTTACGGAATGTAACATTCAAGCAGTCAATTTAACATTGCTTGAAAGAGATTTTCAGTTCAGAAACAGAAGTAATGTACAATATATATATTTATATATAAAGGAATACTCACTCCTCCAAAAAGACCTCCACATATTTCCCAAAGCGACTGGAGTTATCATTTCGAACCGTCTTAGCATTCCCAAACGACTCTAAAAGAGGAGCTGCCTCTAGAATCTGGATATTAAGAAACTGAAACTTACTAACAGATGTATGCAGTAATGTTTACTAGGTTAGAGTTATTAGGCTATCAGCAAAAACATAAATTTCACAGATTTACCTCGATCTAGAAGAAAGCATTAAAGAGAAAAACAAAAAGACAAATTATACATTCATTAACAAACACTGCATAAATCATATGATTCAAACAAAATGTTATGGTTGTACTCTATAATACACACTTGCTGCCTATGATTTCACAAAGTTAGACTTGTTCCTGGATCAACATCTTTTGTTGGACCTGGAACAACATATCTACCAAAGATACCCCATCACTAACAGTGTTATTTTAGTATTATTTAAATACCCTTTATATATATATATATATATATATATATATATATATATATATATATATATATATATATATATATATAAAATATTTCCATTCAGCTTTAATGTATTTTTGTTAGTAATTTTTTGTAAATTTCAAATTTTTTAAGTTTGAGATTTTCATGTAATATTTGTTATTTTATTTCAGATTTATTTCAATTAATTAAAAGTATTAACGATATCCAAGCGAGTTAACATTAACAGCCCAACCATCCCAAACCATATTAATAATCCAAACCATTAACTAGCCTTAAAATCAGAAGGAAATGAAACGGTAGGTAAACATGAATGTTGTCCAAGCCCCAACTCCATCCCTCTCCTTATCCCTAAAAATAAGGAGAACAAGGATGTTGATCCAATAAGGATATTGATCCATTAACATATCCTGGCGAAATCACAGAGGTGTATGCGGGCATCATTGTCTATAAAAAAATTCAGTGTGTACTTAATAATCCTACACACGTACCTGTTGTGTAATGTTCCTCTTATGGTGAATAGCAGTGAGGTACCTCAGAACCAGTTTGGTCGCCTCTGTCTTTCCAGAACCACTTTCCCCACTACAATACAAACATTTTACTAATACAACATATCAGTGTATTATTACGTCCTCTGCAATTGACACACACATGCCATCACCTGACCTGATAATGATGCACTGGTTTCGCTTGATGTCCATCATTGTTGTGTAGGCAATGTTTGCAATGGCAAAGAGATGACTGAAAACAAACATGTATAAGAGAGTAGGTCTACATACTGTCTTTTTTTGGAGGTAAAAATTATCAAAAAATATTGTAAATGGATGCAGGATAAAATCTTCATCTTTCTCAGACTTTTAATGTACACTACTAAGTTTAGGGTCAGTAAGTCTTTTATTCTCACCAAGGCTTTATTAACTGGATCCAAAATACAGTAAAAACAATAAAATTGTGAAATATTATTACAATTTCAAATAATTGGGTTCTATTTTTAATATATTCTAAAATAATTTATTGCTGTTATGGCCAAGCTGAATTTTCAGCATCATTACTCCATTCTTCAGTGTCACATAATCCTTCGGAAATCATTCTCTAATATGCGGATTTGCTGCTCAAGAAACATTTCTTATTATTGTTGTTGTTGAAAACTATTTGAAATAGACATCTTTTGTGACATTATAAATGTCTTTAATGTCTAGATCTGCATTTTCTTCTAGCTTGTGTAATTTCGTTCGTGGTTTTCGAGAAAGAAAGCATGTTATCTTATCTGCCAAACAGAGCAGACAAATAAGAAAATGCATTGAGAATAGTTATGACTGTGTTGTTGTGACTCACGGTGGGTTATCTACCAAGCCATGGCCCTCGTACCGCAGAACCATATCTGTGCCATAGATGTTAAATAGCTGGTATGGATTCACAGATACCAGGATACTGCCAATGTATGTCTGCTTAGAAGACAAAAAAAGATATTTATTATACTGTATGTTTGTGCAAAGTAATTAAAACTAGAATGCAAGACTCACATAGATAAGCTGTTGATCAAAGCGAGTCTTCAGGTTTATCAATACTGCTGCCTCAGAAAGCTCTCTGCAAGAAATTGAGGAAGAATTATTTATTTTGATTCTAATGATCAACTTTACACATACATTACTATGTATATTTATGCTGACATACTCCATTTGTGTCATGTCCTCAACTCCATCCCCTTCCCTTTTTGTTCTGTAGCTGACAGTAGGCAGGCTCCTTATAGAATACATCTGTTTGAAAAATACAACTTGTGCTCATCAAAAGAAAAGAAAAATGCAATCTGAGAACATTCAAAGAAATTTGAGAAGTCATTCATTAAATTACATTAGACAATATCTTCTCTGATGAATTAGGTCAAGTTGTCTTTTAGGGCCTGCACTACAATAATGTAGAGATGATTATCACTGGTCAGCAAGGTAACCTAAGAGGAGTTATAATCAGCCTTGTAAATCTCATCTGACATACAATGAAGCTGTGGACTGCAGCTTAAACCTGATGAAGATAGGTGAGCTTGGCTGGACCTTTTGTTAAAGGGTTAGCCCTTTAAGGCTCAATGCCTAATAGACTTATGACAACTTCATTGCTGTCTAATTGACAACATTAATAGTCAAATTTAACAGTCTGCTTATTTATAATTCCTTCCTAATATAAACATGAGATATAGAAGTTTTAGTGAATAGTATAAATATGATCCACAAACATAATCATGAATTCACTGTAGCATTCCAGTGAAGAGAGGCATCTCTTAATGTTAGCCTATATTTATCTGCTTCCAAATGAATATTTACCAAGTGAATAGAGGAGAAAATGAAAGCATGATATAGAGTTCAACATCCAATGCATTTGATAACTTCTGATACCATTAGTTAAATAAATAAGTCAATTAATATTTATTGAAAATAATTAATGTTGGTATTATGTCTGTAGGGATTTACCTTGTCATACCACTGTCCTTTTGGCTCCCCTTCACGATCTGGCACCCATTGCAGCTCCGTTTCCCCTGGCCTAAGACCACCAGGTGGAGAGGTAAGGAATTCCATTTTCTCATCACGACTCATAGACCATTTGATGAGGTTCTGTACTGTATCATGAGGCAAGACTTTTTCTGCAGCCCACAGGTCCTCTGCAGTTTCCCCCTCTCTAGCATTTTGAGCCCAGTGCTCTTCTGGCCCACCTGGACCTTTCCGCTGTGGTGGAACCACAGCATAACGACCATCTGGCCCAATAATCACCTGTCCAGAGGATATCATATAGTCGGAGATCCCTGACGGTAGTTGGTAAGAGGCTTTCTTCAGGTTAGGATTCTTTAAAGCATCCATTAATTGTGGTGAAGTGGGGACATTAAATCCTTGAGTGAGGGTGGATCCATCAGGTAATCTGTATGAGGCATTGCGAAGGTTTTGATTTAGAAGTGCCTTTGATAGATCTGGACCGGTTTTATGTCTTCGAGGATCTGCAGATATTACAGATCCATCTGGTAGCTGGTAAGTGGCCATGCGAATGTTTTCATTCCGCAAGGCATTTGAAATGTTTGGGCTACTTGGTTTATATAAAGCTTGTGAAATAACAGATCCATCTGGAAGCCGATAGGAGACATTCCTCATATCCTCATTTCTCAGGGCAGAGAACAAATTTGGGGATGCAGTTTTATAACTTGCATCAGCACTTATTATGGAGCCATCAGGTAACCTGTAGGTAGCATTACGAACATCTTGATTCCGAAGCGCGCTTGCCAAATTTGGAGATTTAACTTCATAAGCTGGTCCACTTATAATTGACCCATCAGGTAAACGATAGCTGGCATTTTTCATTTGTTGGTTCTGAAGTGCCGCCGATAAATTTGGGGAAGTAGGTTTGGATTGTCCATAGTCTGCTGTTACTAATGTGCCGTCCGGCAATCTGTAAGTTGCATTTCTAATGTTTTGGTTTTGGAGAGCATTGGCTAGATTGGGAGATGTTGATTCCACTGGCTGATCAGTCATTATTATTGTCCCATCTGGCAGTCTATATGATGCCTTCCTAATATTCTGATTCTGAAGTGCATGCGACAGGTTAGGTGAGGTTTGCTGTTGTTGTCCTGCAATTACAAGAGTTCCATCTGGAAGTCTATAAGTTGCGTTCTTCAGATTTTGATTCTGCAAGGCATTTGACAGGTTTGGAGAAGACGGTTGCTGTAAATGAGATTCTGGGTACATTATTGTTCCATCTGGAAGTCTATAAGAGGCATTTCTTATGTTTCTGTTCTGCAAAGCATTTGAGAGGTTAGGTGAGAAAGACTGTTGCTGTCGTGGGTCCATGCCTACGGACCCAGCAGGATTAGTACCATATACTAATGTGCCATCAGGCAGTTGGTAAGTGGCACCTCGAAGTTGGGGGTTGTGTAATGCATCAGACAAAAAAATAGATGTCCTAGGGTCCTGCCTATGCCCTGGCACAGGTGCATAAGGGGAGACCATTCCCTGAACAGGTGCTCTGTATGATGCTTGACGGACATTTTGGTTCTGCAAAGCTGTTGAAAGAACTGGAGATCCTCTTGGACGATAGCCAGGGGGAACACGGGATCCCCTGCGACGTAAATGTGTTCGGTAAGAAGCATTGCGGACATTTGTATTTTGAAGAGCATTAGAGAGAAGGGGGGCAGCACCTGGCTCTTCAATGTAATCATAGCCTGTCTCTTCCTGAGTATAAGGTGAATGTGGCGTCTGAAAGGATGATCTGTATGATGCATTGTGAAGTTGTGGATTGTGAATTGCATTGGACAGCAAAGGTGATGCTGGCTGAACTGGAAATTGTTCAAATGCTTCCATTTGAGGAGCATATGGTGAAGAAAAAGACTGTTGTTCAGGGATCTCACCAAACTGAGCTACTTCAGGAGCATACGGTGAACCTGGTCTTTGCAAGGGCGACATATAAGAAGCTTCTCTGAGATGAGTATTTTGTAAGGCATTCGACAAAAGAGGAGATGCCATCTCTGCTCTATGTTGATCCAGTACAACCATTTCAGGAGTATATGGTGATTGTACTGGTTGTAATTGGGAAAAATTATCAGCATGGCTTTGGTTAGGGTTTTGCAGGGCAAGGGAGGGAGCTGGTGAATGTGGTTGACTTGGAAACTGTGGAACATTAATGATCTCAGGAGCATAAGGTGACATAGGCTGTTGTAATGGTGAAGTATAGGTTGCATTATGGACCCTTTGATTTTGGAGGGCACTTGTAAGCATTGGTGAATGAGGTACACCTCTAACCTGATCATATTCTACAGGGATAGGCTCTGCAACTAAATGTAAAGGAGATGCAAATGAAGCATCATATGTTGGAGGACCAGAAAGAACAGAAGTAGGCAAACCCCTAGGGGAAGGGGACCGCGTTGGTAATGGGGAACCATGTATGATAGATGGATGAGGAGAGGCTGGTCTGGAGAGATGTCTAATGGAAGGCTGGGGAGATGGAAGGGGCATGTGTTTTTGAGAAAGCTGTGGTGAAGGGGGCATCATGCCAGGTGCACGCCTAAGTGACTGTCTGGCCATGAGTGGACGACCACGACCAATAGGTCTCTGTGGGTTTCTCATTGAATTGGGTGTCCCTGGAGGATTGAAACGACTTTGTTCCCTTATGCCCATCCTATGTTGACCTGAGAGTTGTGGGGAGGCTGTAAAGTCCTGTGGCATCATGGACCTGTTACTACGTATGGATGGTCTAAATGGCCGTACATTTTGTGTTGGAGTTCCAGTATGACCCCCTCGGCCAGGATATGGTTTCACAGCTCCCATGGGGATGTTTGGACGTCCCCTTCCTCGCAGTCGACCTCCAGGGGATCCAAAAGGTGGAGAATCCTTCATGAGGCGAGTGGACCTGCGGGAGAGGGTGGGAGAGGGGGATCTACCTTGCACTTGTGGTTGCTGGGCGTTTGGTTCCACATTATAACTTCTCCGAGAGGGAGTAGGTGATGCTCTTTTTGCCATTAATGGTGACTGTGATCTATGAAGATCCCTCGGCTGAACACTGGCCATGGTTCGCATACCCATCTGAGGTGAAGAAGGAGGACTCATTCGTCTAAGTGGAGATGGAGAGGGTTGAAATTTCTTGGCACCAAATGGACGATGAACTTGTGAGGGTGAAGAGGGTGGACTGGGTCTCCTAATTGAGGCACGAGGGGACTGTGGTGGGCTTCTCCTCCGAATAGATGCACGTGGGGAAGCTGGAGGACTGGTATAGCGAGATGGAGCCTGTGAGGGCATACGGTCAGGCATTGGCTGAGGAGATGGTGGTCCCTCTCTAAAGGATGCCTGAGGCTGCAAATGTCTACGGACTGTTGGTGAAGCAGGTGGGCCTTCTCTAAGTGGAGCCTGAGACTGTAAACGTCTAGGGAATGTTGGTGAAGTGGGTAGCCTTTCTCTTAATGGAGCCTGAGGCGGTAAACGTCTAGAAAGTGCTGGAGAAACAGGTTGGCTCATTTTGCGGCGTCCAGTTGGTGATGGAGGGTGTTGACCATGACTTATTGGAGAGGGCACACCTCTGGCAAGTCTTGGCGATAGAGGTGCTCCCATGCCTCCAATGCCACGCACAGACGGCTGTGGGGATGGGCTTCTTCTCATAGGGAGTGGACCAACAGGATGCATGGATAGCTGTGGGGAGGCATGGGGGCTCGGTCTGCGTATAGGTACAGGGGAACGTCTAGCTTCCATAACTGGCTCTCCAAAACTTGCCATGGGATCCATGGTTACCATGGGTGACATAGGCTTATACACAGGGGAGGCCATCCCTGCTACTGACCTCCTGCTTGGTGTGGGAGATGGTGGAAAACCACCAACTTGAGCCATATGTGGAATATGTTGGTTTACAAATCCCTGGGGATTATTTGCTTGCTTAATTAACATGGCAGTTGGTGTGGGCACTTGAGGCATTGTGGGATGAAACATTTCTTGCGGATGAAACATTTCTTGCGGATGAAACATTTCTTGAGGATGAAACATTTCTTGCGGATGAAACATTTCTTGCGGATGAAACATTTCTTGTGGATGAAACCTTTCTTGTGGATGCATTGCCTGTGAAAAACCATCATTCATTGAGCCTCTGGGTATATGTGGATAATTTTCATACTGTATGTCTGACATTTCTTCAAAATCATATTGTGGAGGCAAAGGAGGAAGCTCAACATCAATCCTTTCCTTACCAAAAAGCTTAACCTGGGGTCGTGGGACTCTGAACTCCATGTCTCCAGGAAGGGGCATAGACTCCATAGAAAAATTTCCATACTTCTCACCATAATTTCCATAAGCTTCTTCGCCTTCCATAATATCTTGTATCGGATAACCATATGGATCATACATATTGTAGGCAGATTGCAGATATGGATCAACATCTGATTCACTGTAGTTAACTTGATAATCCTGAAAATAAAGATCCCCATAATCCCCATAAGCATCCATATATGGATCACCTGATATTTCAACTTCATATGGGTCACCATAGAAGCCCTGAAGGTCATCATAATTTCCAAAATGAGCCTGGGAATACATATCCATTTCATTCCCATATTGATCATAGTGGTTCCCCATTGGATACTGACTATCATCATAGTACTCAATGCCATCATCTAAATAGGGATCCAGTGGATGCTGTTGACTATAGTAGCCCATTTCCTGTGGATAATTCCCCATCAGATCCTGGACTTCATAGGGGTCATTGTAGTCCATACCATCATCATAAAATTCACTTTCATCCTGCATGGCTGTGTGAGGGTTGTAGTATCCATCCTGCATCTCATAATAGCCTTGATCACGTGATTCCATGTCATAATAGTTGTTTGGTTCCTCATATTGAGTGTATTGCTGTGGAAACGAAGGGTGTCCCTCCATTTGGGCATACTGTTCACTATACCTTTTAGAATGCCTCTGGACTGACTGTCTGTGAAATGCACCCCTATCCACCCTGCTCTGGTTATTATGATCATATCCTCCAGTGTCATGTTCATATCCATAATTGTGATACCCTTGAGTAGCTCGGATGCTAGCTTGGTGACTGTCAGCAGAATATTGATATTTTTTGTTGTTTTTCCGCCCAAAGGCATCACCCCTTCCACTCTGACGCCCCTTAACTGAGAGGAACCTCTTGGTGAGCCAGTTTGTTGCCCCAGCAATCTTACCTAATATTTGACCCCGAGATTTAAAACCAGTCCCATTCCCTGCTTCCTTTTTCCCAAAAAGCCCTTTAAAAAATCCTGTTTTCTTCTCCGCTGTGTTAGAATTGCCACCTAATTTAATAAGCATATAGGTTGGCTTTGGGCCTGATTGCTCTTTTTTTTCCTTCTCTTTTTTCTTCTTTTTGCTGTTTTTGAAACGCATCATGAACTTTGGAGCATTTCTCAAGAGAGATTTTCTCCTTTTTTTCTTAAGCAAACGATTCTTCCTTTTGCCAAGTCCAAGAAACAGCTTGGAAGTGCTCTTAAGTCGCTTCTTTGAGCTCTTCCTCTTCTTAAATCCAGAGAACCTCATAAAGAGTTTTGAGGTATTTTTGAGTCCTCTTTTAGGTGGTGGTTCAGGTGGAGGCACTTCCTTCTTTTTTGCTTTCTTCTTCTTTAAATCGTCCTCTGCTTTAGATTTATGATGATCTTTAGATTTCTTCTTTGCTTTACTATCCTCCTCTTCACTTTCCTCCTCATCTTCATCATCCTCATCTTCGTCATCCTCATCTTCATCAGAATCAGGCTGTCTTGATTTGGACTTTCCCTTTGCAGTTTTACCTTTAGCATCTTTTCCACCACCGCGCTTTCTTTTGCCTCCATCTGACTCTTCATCCTCATCCTCCTCGCTCAAATCTTCATCCATCAACTCAGCATCTGAGCCCTCATCAGATTCAATAACCTCTTTCTTTCCCTTGCCTTTATCCTTTCCCTTCTTACCATCATCTTTCCCTTTTCCCTTGGGTGGTTCTTCTTTTCCCTTCTTCTTATCATCCTTTCCTGCCTTCTTGTCATCTTTTCCACCCTTCTTATCATCTTTTGCTCCTTTTTTGTCATCTTTTCCTTTCTTTTCTTCTTCCTTTGGTTTGCTTTTTTCTGGCTCGGGTTTTCCTCCTTTCTTGGCTGCTGATTTTGAGTCTTTTTTGGCTGGCATTTTATCCCTTTAAAACCATGCTAGGCTACCGCCTTTCTGCAAAATGACAAATAAAAATATGATTAAACAGAATCTTCATGAAAAAACAAACAAACAAACAAACAAACTGCTTTGTACAAATTACATTTTAAGACTGAAAAAATGACTCTACAAAAATGTTTTCTTTACAAAACCAACATCAATCAATACATTCATACAGATATTCATACACAATTCATTAGCTTTTCTAAATTCTCCCTACTTAGGATAATAAAGTAAGAAAATAGTCTTACCTGTAGGGGAGTTTACTTTGTCTCTTCTCAGTACTGTCATAGATGAATTCAACACAGAGAGCATATAAATCTCTGTTCACATGGTTCCACACGCCACAGCACCAGACGTGGTCTAGAAAACGTATCCTTCTAGCAGATGTTCTAAGATAGAGATCCTGTGTTGAGGTACGTTTGTATGTTTCTATAACCTTACACGCACTTACACACTCCTCTTCTCTTCTTATGTTGATCATCAAGATACTAGAGAGGTACACCTACCTGTACTTCCCAGCAAAAGAACACACAAATAATTCCAGCAAGTCATCAACGATGATATGCCATCCATGAGTGACTCATACAGGGGCTGTGTGTCTGTGTAAGTGAGAGGATGTGCGTCAGGTTTTTAGTGCTGTTGCAGCGCTGTAGAAGGAACCTTAATTTGTCAGCTCTACTTGCCTTGGTGTAACTTAAGCTTGGGTCTCATTCCAGCATAAATAATGTAAGCACAGAGGCCTGTTACTACACAAGCTTGCACACACACTGTCACACTGTCAGTCAGACACACACACACACACACAAAATTATGGTGGTGAATGCAGTTATGAATGAAAGTGTGATTACTCTCTAAACATTTGAAGAAAACAGCATAAACTTAAAACTTGGTTAAATTTGTTAAATACAACTAATCGTTAAGTGCACAATGATTTTGACTGGTTAACAATATAAAAAATGCTAAAACATGCTAAAAAAAAATCAATAAACACACATACAAAACAAAAACAAATTTATTTTGGGCCCATGGGCCAAAGTTGGTACATGATGACCATGCCATTTCACAGGAGGGGAAGGAGGTTTAGAAAACAAAATCTAATTTATCTTTTTGATTGAACATTTTTTTCATAATACAGTGGTACTTTTTTGTTTTATAAATATTATTTAAAAACAGTTTTGGAACAGATCCAAATACATTTGTCTAGATAGCGATAATTATTCCTCATTTAATTCACTTTCAATTATACGATACACAACCTGTTGAGGACTGAAAAGTAATGACTTGCTAATTTATAGGTTACTAATTAGCAGTTGAATATTTCATACATGATCACTAACAATCAAAGTGTCACTGGAGCACACGCACAGGAGTAATTAAAAATATTGACACAAGGTTGTAACCATAGAAGTGACCAGGTCAGCGCCAAGAACTGGTGTTACCTGGCATCTAAGAACTACTTAAAAGCTGGAGGACACACTGACACACTCTAATTTCAGTGATTAAAAATGTAGCAGCTTTGGACCCAACTGGAGTAAGTGCAAAGGTGAATATTGACAATTATCTTCAAAGTTCCCTTTGGTGACCCACTGACGTGACCAACTGGCATAAGAAAGAAAGAGAGAGAGAAAGACAGAGAGAGAGACAGAGAGAGAGAGAGAGAGAGAGAGAGAGAGAGAGAGAGAGAGAGAGAGAGAGAGAGAAAGAGAGAGAAAAAGAGAGAAAGAGAGAGAGAGAGAGAGAGAGAGAGAGAGAGAGAGAGAGAGAGAGAGAGAGGTTAAGGAGTAATGGAAGAATATACCAACTGTACATCAAGAAATTCTTAAAATTAGATGTGTGAAGACATTAACAACCTCTTTTGAAGCAACAACCCTATAGCTTAATATGCAACTTCATTAGCAAATAAAAAAGTGTCATTATGATATGAAGGAAACATCTTGTACTGCACAGTGAGTGTACATAAATTAAATTCCAAAACAAATGTAAACATGACATTATTTATAAGACAACAATAAATAATGTGAACTGAATGATTTAAAAAAAATAACTAATACCATATACAATGAAGTATCAAATCAAGTTAAGATTGGAATTTAGTTCTGAGAAAGTCAATCAATGCAATGAAAAACGTTAAAAAATTTTTTGCTAGAGTTGCTAGATTAAGAGTTACTTTTTGGAGGCACCATACAGGAATGATGAGTAATCACGATGGTGTTGGCCTATAATTTAAATGCTTTTGAGTATGTTATACTGCCACCATATGGAGTACATTAGTATATGCCCAAAAACATGGGGATACAAACCATTGAAATGAGATGAGAGTCAGTGGGCGGTAGAGTTATGACTTGTAAAAACTGATGACTGCACAATTAAAATGACATGAGGACGTTATTAGAACAAATTTATTAAGGCTATTGTTGTTGTTATCTTTCTTTATAGCTCAATAAAAGTCATGACAGCAGAAAAAAATTGAGGATAAATGATAGATTTCCAATTGATTTTTAATTTCTAAATCAGCTCGCCTTAGCTTGCTCAGAACCTCGCCGGAGGTGATACAAAAAAAAAGTACCCGAAAGCAGGTACAGGTACAACTTTTACACAGTGGAAAACCAAACAAAGGCGAGCCGAGCCGAGCCGAGCCGAGCTGGTACTGTGTAGTGGAAAAGCGCCATTTGTCTTTTTGCCCATCAGGTTCACCTATCTGGCCAGCCCGTTGTCATCCCAAGGCGTCACTGACGATTTTTCCAATGCGTAGACATCCAATGCACATGGCACCCTTTAGCATCAATATGAGACGCAGATATATATGGGGCAGAAGGAACCTCCTAGTGGTCTAACCCTAACCCTACCCCAGACCTAAACCTTCCCATACTCTGTGTGTGTTATATTGACGCTAAAGTGTGCCATGTGCGTTGGATGTCTACGCATTGGCAAAAGTGTCAGTATATGACGCCTTGGGATGAAAATGCGTTGATCTGGCCAGATATTTTGAACTCTGCTGCTCTATGTTGACATAGCTTGTCGTGTCGTGTTTGTGCTTTTCTGAGTGTAATAGTTTAGCTGCATGTTTGTGTTTGTGTGGTGTAGGGCACTAACACTCTGTTGTGTGCTTGTAACATTGTTATGTTTTTGTTCAATTAATTTTTGCAAGGCTAGCTGCAATGTACCAATTTCTTGTTGTAGCTTTTCTTGCTCTGTGACTTGCACTACTGAGTCTACTACAGTCACACTCTGAACCACCTGTGCTGTCCGTTGCTCGGAGACATGAACCAGTTTTAAATGAGCCAGCTCGGAGACAATTGGTAGATTATTTGTACATAAAATCCATCCGCTGCTCTTTCCTCGTACGTCGATCAACTTTGTAAAACTCGTCTTTACGGGCCTTTAGTTGCTGCAAAAATAGTCCAGACCTCCCTCTTGCTATTAACTCAGATTTTGAATTAAAATCGAGCTTATAAATATATTCTTATCTTGTCACATAACATTTCACATATTTATTTACAATCTATTTTTGTAACCACCACAACAACACAAACTATGTAAAAGCAAAATTCACTTACTCGTTTTCATTCACTCCTTGGGGACTATTTTAGTGGATTAATAGGAAAAGTGAATCGAGGGTGATTTTGAACACAGCCAGGGTATGGGTTAGGTATTTTTTCATCTGTTGTAGTAATTCACCTTTCGGCAAGCCTCCAGCACCCCTGTCGCACGATATATAGCCTAGGCGGCTACAGTATACAACCGCATCTGAATGAATCTTTTCGGTGAACTGATTCAAAAGATTCGAGTCAGTGAGATGTTTAACACTGACAGGCGCGCGCCCGTCTATGGGTGTGCACGACAGGAACCCGTGAACGCGCCCGCTCTCTTCTTCCGCAGAGTAGTATCGCACAGCAGCAGCAGCAGTAGCAGTCAGCGGGAGGATGGATGGAGCGGGCTCGTTTGGAGCGGGCCGAGCCGGTTCGGCCTTTGATCCGATCGCATTCGTCAAACAACCTCAGACAATCCTAAGAGTCCTGGCATGGGTAAGAGCAGCAATCACCATGAATTATAATTGTCAGATTATGCATTGCCGTCATATAGTTATAGTCAAAGGAATATAATAATGGGTTGATTTTCCACGCGTTTTATATTTTTATTTTTAGACAATTTGTATTAGGCCTACATTAAAGCAGTTTTAATCATGTAATTTAATGATTGGATGTTATTATAGGATGCTGTCTTCTTTAGGTGGACGCGCGTCAGATGTTGCTGTGGTAGTGACGCACGCATGGCGTGCGCGCAGTTTTTTAAATGGCTGTTGTGCCATGGTTGCAGTTTGGGTAATTTTTAAAATGTGGTGGCCTAATAAATATGCGACTTTTATAATATTGTGATTAACAAAAATCAAGGGTGATATTTCATGAAAAAATATTGCAGGTTGGCTATTCTTCATTCTAAGCCTATTATGAAATATGAAAGTTAAGAGGAAGAGACGGCGCACATTCTGATGTCATTACTGTAAAGTCATTGATTCACCTCTAAATGTCCTGTTTACACTTGGTTTACTTACATGCCATTGGTGTCTGGTCAATAGTGTTTTTTTAACACAAAATATTAATACCAGCTCTTATTTAAACACTAGACAAATGATTTTTCAGCCTACATTTTTCACTTTATAACAGTACATATATATATATATATATATACACACAGTATATACTGTATTGATTGGCAGAAACTTTTCCCTTTTACAGTAGCCTATCACAGTGAGCTTTGCTTAGAACTAATAAACGTACAGTAGTAACTTCATGGATGACTGATTGATGCACCCATTACCAGATCAGTGCCTATAAGGGTAGAGAGAGATAGTGTTTTGATTTTTAAAACTTTTTTTTAAAACTGGCTGATTTAATTTATTGTATGTTATTTAATGACTGAATCAACCTGGCTGCATTGTGTTCTTAGAGGCATGTTTGATGTCGCTTCTTCCTTTAACACAGTGTTTGATCCAGCCAGCCAATAACCAAAGCAGCTGCAACTGTTTCTATGACGACTGCGTGATGTTATGTATGCGTCAGTATATGGGGTTTCATGGCCAAAAATAGCACATGGCACCATGATTCCTGAGCATTGCTACTGATTTTTGCTTACTGCTACTCCAACACACACACACACACACACACTTTTTTATTAATCTCTTGTCTTGTTTGAGTGGGTGCAGTTGAGTGCGTGATCTGTTGCATTAGTGTGAATTAGCCACATTTTCTCCTTGAGGTGTAAATGAAATTCTTTCTGGAGAAATGCACTCTACTGCACGGCATCGGTAAAGAGAATGACGTGTCACTTCCATTTAGCATGTATAATATAAGAGAAGAAAAGCTTTACTTAGATGCCTTCTGAGAATGCAAATAATTGAAGGGTTTTTATTAATTTAACATTAGGGATGAAGTTTATGGACCTATTTCTGTGACTCATGTCTTTTCTCTCTCTAGATCTTCTCCATGGTGGTCTTTGCTTCTATAATAAATGAGGGCTATGTGAATATGGGCAGTGAGCGACTACACTGTGTCTTTAATAAGAACGCAGATGCCTGTAACTATGGTATCACGATAGGAATTGTGGCGTTCTTAGCCAGTGTCTTCTTCCTGGCCCTGGACGTCTACTTCCCCCAGATCAGCAGTGTCAAAGACAGAAAGAGAGCAGTGTTGTTGGAGATTGTTTTTTCAGGTAAAAACTTCCAATCATTAATCACGTTGATTTTATGTCTGAAATGCAGTTACAATAATATCCAGTGAGTGTTTTTTATTTACTTGTACATTTACAGTAACTGATACAGGCACCCAAATGAGGTGTGAGGGGAAATTATGTCAATGCTTTTCTGTTCTCTCGCAAATGATTTGCGTTCCCTTGAGAAACATTGCGTTTGCTCTCAAAACGTTTGTGTTCTCCCGAGAAACTTTGCGTTCGCTCTCAAAATGCTTGTGTTCCCCTTTGCGTTCACTCTCTAAATGTCTGCGTCCCACTTTGCGTTTGCTCTCAAAACGTTTGTGTTCTCCCAAGAAACTTTGCGTTCGCTCTCAAAATGCTTGCGTCCCACTTTGCGTTCGCTCTCAAAATGTTAGTGTTCTCCCGAGAAACTTTGCTTTCAGTATCAAAATGCTTGTGCTCCCCTTTATGTTCACTCTCAAAATGTTTGCATTCTCCTTTGCGTTAACCCAACCCGATCTCACGGGAATTCGTACGAATTTTATGAGGTGGCTGATTCGTAACAATTAGTACGACCTCACTCGTACGAATTAGCACGATTTTGCTAAATCGTACATATTTTACGAATTAGCCAATTCGTATGAATTCGTACGAATGACCTACCCCTGACCCCGCCCCTAAACATAACCGTCACGTGGGTTTAGACAAATCGTACAAATTCGTACGAGTGAGGTCGTATGAATTAGTACGAATTAGCCACTTTTGAATCACTCGTACAAATTCGTACGAATTGGTCGTGAGAAAGCGTAGGTTAACCACTAAAAATGTTTGTGTTCCCCCAAGAAACTTTGTGTTCGCTCATAAAATGTTTGCGTTCCCCTTTGCGTTCGCTCTCAAAATGTTTGCGTTCCTCCAAGAAACTTTGCTTTCGGTATCAAAATGCTTGCGCTCCCCTTTATGTTCGCTCTCAAAATGTTTGCATTCCCCTTTACGTTCACCACTAAAAATGTTTGCATTCCCCTTTGCATTAACCTCTAAAAATTTTTGTGTTCCCCCGAGAAACTTTGCTTTCGGTATCAAAATGTTTGCATTCCCATTTGCGTTTGCTCTCAAAATGTTTCCATTCCCTCAAGAAACTTTGTGTTCGCTCATTAAATGTTTCCTTTCCCCTTTGTGTTCGCTCTCAAAATGTTTGTGTTCCCCTTTGCGTTCTCTCTCAAAAAGTTTGCGTTTCCACTGAGAAACCTTGCTCTCTCTTTAAAAGTGTTTGTGTTTTCCTTGAGAAACTTGTTGCGTTGTTGTGAAAATTTTTGCTTTCGGTATCAAAATGCTCAACATGAGCTATTTGCTCAACATGAGCTACGCATTTTGAGCTATCCGCGTGTATGTCTACGCCATTAACATCCGCGTCATTCCGCGTGTCTGTACACGCCGTCAAATGTCCGAGCAAAACAAAGCAAAATGTACATCTAAATTTGGGGAGCTATGTTTTTCTTTCTTAAGATGGTAAGGGAACAGTCATAAATGGCATTAACCCCAGTGACGGTTAGGTTTAGGGACAGGGTTGAGGCAAGTCATATATTTATGTATACAGTAATAACGTTAAGTCAACGGCGTTCATAAACACGTTGAAAAGCGATTATGCATGTTGATAGCATGCCAAAAATGGAAATACAAATTGGCGTGTCCTTTGCCTTTGCTCTCATAATGTTTGTGTTCACCTTTGCATTCGCTCTCAAAATGTTTGCGTTCCCCATCTTAAAATGTTTCCCCAAGGAACTTTGCGTAAATTGCGTTCACTCTCAATATGTTTTGTTCCTCCAAGAAACTTTGCATTTGCTCTCAAAATGTTTCCATTCCCTCAAGAAACTTTGTGTTCGCTCATAAATGTTTCCCTTCCCCTTTCTGTTCTCTCTCAAAAAAGTTTGCGTATTTTTGCATGATTATAATTTTATTACAAAATAGTACTTTTGACATTTTCCCATCCGTTCTCTTTAGGATTTTGGGCGTTCCTTTGGTTTGTGGGATTCTGTTTTTTGGCCAATCAGTGGAGCCGTACGTCCCCTAAGGAGCTGCCGCTGGAGCAGGCGTCAGACGCGGCACGAGCAGCTATTGCCTTCTCTTTCTTCTCCATCCTTACCTGGGTAAGACATCCCACCTTCCCAGATACATACAGTCACAATTACGTTCATTTTGGGCGCCAATGTTGGTGTTTGTGTTTCAGGCTTATCTATGTCTTCTAGCAGTGCACAGTTTTAAGAACACTGCCTTTGTGGAGGATACACAGAGGCTTTTGTCCAAACAGACTAACAGTCTCTCAATAGTGTAGATGTAGATTTCCTATTCTACTCTTAAGTGAACACTAAACTATTTTAGTCTGATAGTACTACAGAGTGCTATCAATACGGTTAATACAAAGCATGCACTCTATAATAACTAAACATTTTAAAGCTACACTGTGTAACTCTTTTAGTTTATTCTTAGCTAAAAACAGTTAGTTCTTTCAAAAATATACGTGCTCATTAATGTATATTTACTTCGTTCAAGTAATAAAGTATTCTCGTGAGTGTATAATATGCCATTGAAAACACATACGGGTAAGGGGTTCTAATGTCGGTCGCCATGTTGCCCCTCCATCTTGAAAGTACATTAGCCAAAGAGGGACATACCCGTTAATTCAAGCTTCGCCTTTCGCGTTTACATTTGAGTTAACACTCATGGAGGAGGTTGAACTGGAAGCCATGTTAATCTTGGACTACAGTGGCCACCGTAGGAGTTAAAACGAAATCGGAATTGAGAGGAACAGAAACTAATATTCACTGGATGGTCATATACCTTTTCACCGCTAGATGGGGGTAAAAATCACACAGTGTAGCTTTAAACATATAGGGCTTAAAGTCCCCGTGAACCGGAAGTTGCAAACGATTTTTCTCCAGTGCTGTGACGTATTTCCAAGTGAAACGGAATATTGAACAGAGGGCAGGGTTTTACTCTAGCGCTCCTCCTCTCCATCTCTCGCTCATAGCAAACTAACGGTTTGAGGGGAGTGGTTAAGCGTTTCCCCACCCAAACTGTGAAACCTACGTCATCAGAAAAAGAAACCGTTCCAGACCGGAAGTAACTTTTCAGATTTTGATTAAAGATTACTAAGGTAAAACATTTTTTTAATATATATTCACTTGCACGGATTAATTGTTCACCACAAGACTAGTAATATGGGCTAACAAAGTAAATAGGTTCAATTTTGATTTCACGGGGACTTTAAAAACAAGAATAATGTGTCATAAATATTGGTATATTTATATTTTGCTTATAATTTAAAAAAAACAGTAATAAAACTGACCTTCTAGATCTAGTCAGATAACTTGGTTAACTCAAGCATCCAACTAACTCTTGGTACTATGCTTGATATAGTACAAAAGCTTGGTTATGTTTCTCCCTAACATGCTAATCAGACTAATATGCATAATCCTGGTTATCCTGACTAGGCGGGCCTTACGGTGTGCGCTGTTCAGAGGTTCCTGCTGGGTACAGACATGACACTGTTCTCCACCGAGCCTGTGGGTGACCAGGCACCCAAGCAGCCGTACCCCTCCAACGATGTAATCGGTCAGACTACCGTCCCCGTCAACGCTTACCAGAGTCCGCCGCTCATCGAGACCGTGGAGACCCGCCCCCCTGGATACAACATCCCGCCAGCCTTTTAATCCACAACCAATCAGAAGACAAGGAATATAGCAGCGCTAAAGGACAGAGTATAGACTGCCGTCAATGTTAGCTAAATGTATCGTATCGCGTTTTAGTAACAAGGTGGCGAAGGGATGATGCTCGCCTCTGTAATCCGCACTATAATACAGAATTAAAAGGTTATTAAGGTCTCACGTTAACTTGAGCAGAAGTGGATGTTTCGGGACTATGATTGTCTTTGCCTACCCACACGTTTTACATTTGCAGTCAGCAACAAATTATTGTCAAAATCACAATGTGCTATTTATTTAGAAAAGCATTTTATTATTAGCTTTTAAAAAAGTTGGAAAATAATTAAAGGTGCACTAAGCAATGCTTTTGGTTACTTTAGCCATGGTCAAAATAATTTTGACTGATATATTATAATAATTCAATTAACATAATAAAAAAAAGAATGAAAATAATTTACTCAACCAAAAGTGGTTTACAGAAATAAAGTGAGTTGAATAGAATACATTTTTTAGACGATTGACATGAGAGTCATATTTCATGTGAATATACAACACACACAAAAATAATTTCTTTCAGGGTAAAACTTTTTTCCCAATTGAAAAAGTTAGATAGTGCATCTTTAATTATGATAAAGAAAATGCATTATACTTATTTTTGTGTGTCTGATTATTAAATAATTGCATCTTGGCATAGATGATCGACAACCGTACCAAACGCATCATGTTTACTGCAGTTAAATTAGTGCTGTCCACGTCATTTGTGTCAAAATATGTTTTTGTTAAGAAAGAATGAGAAAATTTTGTTTTAAAAGATGGCTACTTACAGTCACTATTGAGAGAGAGAGAGAGAGAGAGAGAGAGAGAGAGAGAGAGAGAGAGAGAGAGAATGAGTAATAGTCAGAGGATGAATAAATGAGTGTGTCTCAGCCTCTCTCTCTCTCTCTCTGTGTGTTAGCGTGTGTTTGATGATGGACTCGTGGAGCAGTCAGAGACATTCCAGATGAGATAACTGAGATTACTGGAACAGACTGTTTACTTTAACAAGCATACTTGTGCATATGAGTGTGTGTGTAGGTGAAATGTGTGTGTTTGCTCTAATCCTGTCTAATTGCATGGTAAAATGCCTCAAATTCCCCCTGAAGCAGCGAGGTAACTGTTATATTTTGTTAATGGAAGACGTAACAGTGGTTATTAAAGTTTTCAAGGTGACATACAGTATACAGTGCCATGAGGTCCTGAATAAAGATGAGCCAGTACAGTGAACCCAAAGACTTCTGGATGCGGTGATTCATGTTCCTACGTTACAAACCCATTTAAGAAATGAACAAATTCTGTTCTACAGAAAAAAATAGTTTTAAAACGGCATGAGTAAATGATAAGAGAATTTTCATATTTAGGTGAACAATCATTTGAATTCTAACTTAGTAATTGAAATTGTGCTGAAATAAAATAAAATAATTGCATGAAAACTTAAAATTAAAAAACAATTGGCAATATGTTTAAGTTGAAGTACAAAAATGACTAAAACTGAAATAAAAATAAATTAAAGCACAGGAAAAGAAAACTAAAAAAAACAAATAAAAGAAAAGCTAATTGCAAATTTAAAAATATACTACAATAATAGCCTATATAAATAATAGTACAATAACATTTAAAACACTTTGCATCACAGTTTCCGCTCTAGAAACAGTGACTATGTTTAAATGCAGCCAATTTTCGGGTTATGGTCGAGTTAAGGTCACTATTCGGGTTTCTGAAACATTAGGAATAACCCCTTTACATGCGTGAGTAGAGAGAATTTCTCCTGTATACATGGAATTACATCCCGATGTACACACCCCTGCATACATCCCGATGTAACGGCGACGCGCGGTTAGCGTATTTACGTACGGACGCATGATTTACGATTCTTCTTCCTGTATCCAAAGACAACAACAATAGCAGCACGCGGATAATGAATAGTTCGGGGCAGTTAGCGATCCCCTTTGTTTGCGCTTTGATGCTGGTGGTAACGTTACTGACCTCGTTCCAAAAGTATTCCGTGCTGTGTCACGCCTGGTCTCGCCATGTTACTTCCGGTATACTGCACGCGGATTTTTGTATGCGCCGAGAAGTTTCTCTACTCAAAAGACCAAGATTCCTTGCGAATAGAACATGCGCAGAACACAAATCACTATGGGGATATGCCGATTCGTGTTTACATGAACAAATATTCGGGTTATAAAAGGGGTACCACAGGTATAATATTCTGGTTTTTAAAATCCGGGATATGAGCATATTCGGGGTTTTACCGGTGTTTACATGGCCGTTTGCGACCGGGTTAATGCTAATATCCCGCTTTTGAAGGGGTTATTGGCTGAATGTAAACAGTCAGTGTTTTATGTTTAAGCATAAAAAGATGGCGTCCTATTAAATCATGTCCATCAATCCTGTTTAATCAGCAAACGATCATGAATGTTAGCCCATAAAGCTATTGCCATAAAAGCCCTTGACAAGAAACTTGAATTTATAAAAAAAAAATTACAGGTAGGGCCTATGTATTCATGAATTTGCAACCCAGATTTATAGTACAGTGTGTCCCTTATAGTAGTGTGCTTTATTATGGCATAAGAAAAAAAAACCCAAACAGAAATAAGGGCAAAATACAGTCAGGTTGATATACATGCTATTATTATAGCAGGTCAACACACAAGCTATCTGGTGCTTTTTTTGGTCTATCATTTCAAATATAACATGGTACAGTAAACTAATATTTGTGTTTCAAAAACCAGAATAAGTTTGATAACAAAAAGCTTGCAAATGAATTTTGGGCGATGGAATTCTCCACAAACAAGTACAATCTGGCAACCGGTTAGTTTTGTAATAGATTTAAAAATCTCACGTTCTTCAGACAGAGAGCTAGCCTATTAATACCCTATTCTATTAACTAATATAATATTCCAAAAGGCTGGTTTCAAATGTCAACCATTCAACCCTATTACTCGAGTTTTATAAAATATATATATAGGCTATATATATATATATATATATATATATATATATATATATTTTAAGGGATATCACTCTCAACATGGAGACAGGAGAGCTGTCAAAATGGGAAAACAAAGTAACTTATTTTTAAAAGTAACTATTTTGTGGTAAATTTAAAAGTATTGGGTTACGTTAGTTACTTAAAAGTAATCTGATTACTTTTACTTGTAATGCTCCCGATTCTAAAGCCATTCTATATTTAAATGATTGTAACACAGCTCATATTACATGTGGTTTACTCTCCTGATAAACAATATCTTCTAAAGGTTATGCACCTCCTTTCACTGATGCGTTATTGTTATTATTGATTATTATATTTATTTTAAGTCCTATTTATGGAAAGGATTGGTTATGTGCATTCTGCCCTGATTACACGCTGATCTGCCTCTTAATTGTTCAATGAATCACAATGAATTATAGACAGGAAACATCACTACAAGCAAAATAGAAATCTTTTCAAGTAGTTAACAGTCTCTAAACATTTAATGTCCATATTTTATCAACAAAATGTTTCTTAGTGATACTCATCTGTAGAACGGCACCCAAAATCTCACAGCATACATGACACACACTCCTCAGAAATACTCATTCATATTTATCAGCCCTTGGTTTTCCCGAATTCCTCCATCACACTCTATTAATCATTAAATGCATTTTTAAAGATGTCCCCACTGGCATTAGTGTGATAAACTACAGTAAATCATTAGTGGGCTTTTCACACACATTTGTTACTCCGGGTTAACATATGTGGCCTTTATAACAACTGGAAATGTGGCCATACTACTACTCAAGTGTCATCAAAAGCTTTTGAAAGAAGTCTCTTATACTCAGTATTTATTTGATCCAAAATAAAAACAGTAATATTGTGAAATATTATTCAGATTTTAAATAATTAATTTATTCCTGTGATGGCAAAGCTGAATTTTCAGCATCATTACTCCAGTCTTCAGTCACATGATCCTTCAGAAATCATACACATTTTGTGCTCAAGAAACATTTCTTATTATTATCACAGTTTGTGAAAACGCTGATACTATTTTTTAAATGCATGAATATTGCTTAACCTAAAAGTGGCCTTAACTTGGGGTTTAAAAAGCTGTTAACCCAGAGTTAAGTAAGTGTGAAAAGCCTATATTCAGATGTTCAGAAAGGATTCACAATGTTCTGTTTTTTAAACAGGAAATGTTCGATACTGAACAACCTTCACGTTGTAGCAAATACAGCAACGTTGAATGGAAATAATATTAATGCTATTCAATATGCGCAAATGTAAATATTCATGTGCAATACTTATTATTGACCTGATGGGCCAAAACACAAATGTTATCAATTTAAAATAAGAGTGTGAGCATCCATGCTAGCTCATTTCTTTGGAAGCTTCTGTACTTGTGCATATGAAAAAAAAAAAAAAATTATTTGAGTAAATGTTTACATGACACATATAGTGCACTGCAGTTCAAAAGAAAGAACACTTCATGGTTTTAAAATTTAATGATAATCTCTACTGAAAATAATGTCAAGTTCTCAATTAAATAAAACCAACAAAATGTGTTACAAGCTCTTACAACAAAAGACTAAGGGGAAAATATTCCAGAAGGTTTTAAGGCCTCTGCAATTTCAAATTTTTAAAAAATAAGTTATATGAGATTCAACTCGATTTTTCAAGTCAGTTTAATATAATTGAATCCAATGTGAATATACTCAAAAATTGAAGGCAGAAACTGAACTTAAGTTTTTAAGTTGAAATAAGGTGGAATAAATAAAAAAGTCCTATTCTGGAGTCTGGACTAAAGTTTTAAACATGAAATCAACAGATAAATCTATTTATTTGTCATTTTCTAAAACATTTTTTATTTATTTTAAATTAGTATATTATTAATTGATTTATTTATTCATTTTACTTTTATTTATTTATTATCATTATTATTATTTTTTACTTTTTGGCACTCTGTTCTCCATAAACCTGTAAAAATGATAAAAATTGTAAATAAAGCATATTAAGAGTTATTGTCAATAAAAACAAAATCTATTAAAATATTTCTGTTTTTTGTTGCCAGTTGTTGCCTTGACAATAAACAGAAATAAGGGAAAAAAATCTTATAAACTGAATAAATATTTAAATAGGAATAAAATGATTAACTGGAAATAAATTAAAACTAAAATGAAGTAAAACCTAAATAAAAATAAATTAAACCTAAATAAAAAAACTGAGACAATGACTCAAAATAAAATTTCACTAAAATGAACATGAAAACTAAAAATATAATAGTAAAAGCTATAATGATTAAAATAACAGATTATTGGAGTACATTTGACAATATTTCAGTTTTCTACTTCAAAATTGCAGTTCATTTTCAGTGTGTTTGTACTTATTTGTTTGAAAGTAAATCCGACACCAAACGTACAAGTTTGCATAGGGTTAGTAGGAAGGCAATGTTATCACAGTAGTGTCATGTCGACACAATGTTGAATTCTTGTGGCTGTAGTTTTTCATTTATTTGATCCTGCTGCAATGTTTTGCCCCATAGACTTCCACTGCATCACTGCACACACACTATTTTTTACAAATGATTTTCTAATGTAGAGCTTGAACACGGAACATTCCTTTATCACCGTTTCTTCCTGAAGGCCAACAACATGTAAAACTCTGACCCTTTACAAAAATATCACATGCCACACATATATACAATAATCATTTCATTCTTTCAGCATTATGAAACATGCATGTGTTTCAGCTAAAATATTTCTATGTGTCGTATACTCTGTATAAGACAATAGGGTGTTTATGACAGTTAGGTTAATTAATCATGTGACATAAGGGTTTGTTTGAAGATGAGACATAGCGCTGACATTTAACCCTCATGTTCTGTTGAGATTGGCTAACTAATAAGAATTTAAAAACTAACTCATTATTTCCTTACCAATTCTTTTACTCTGTTCCTCTGCCTGATCATATCTGTTTTTTTTTTTTTTTGAAATTTACTGTTTTACTTTTTTAGAAATCGTTTTTTTTTTTTTGCCAGCGAAAGATAAAACTCTAATCTAATCTAATCTTTTAAAAAAGTAAAACTACACTTCTCCTCCACAAACTGCATGATTTGAAGTATCCAGTCACACATGGTGTTTGTCAAAGGTTTAAAACAAAACAATGTCATGCAGATGAAAATGAATAGCATTTATTCATGCTTAAGACCTGGGGTCTATGTGACTCTAAATTTAAGGTACATTTAAGGTGGATATCTGAAGTATGTTTATGATAAAATTAACTTTTATAATTAGTTTTCATTAGGAAACGAAATGAACTTTAACCCTATAACATTTCTCATGAAATGATCTTTAACCCTATAATATTTCTAAGGCCTCTAAATTATAAACATGATCAAAACTTTGTGGAAAAACCTGTTGTACAAAATCTACATGCCATTTGATGTATAGTTTTTACTTTTTAAAGGAGAACTCCGGCGCAAAATGAACCTTTGGTCTAATAAAACATCGGTACCTAGTCAATCGTTCTCTGAGATTTGTTTTCATAATAATCGAATGTAAAGAGTTTTATCTCTAAAAACTGTTTAGCATATAAGGCTCAAAATAGCCCCACACTAACACAGTAACATAATGAGGGTCTATACATGCAAAACGAAGCATTGAGAACTTTGTAAGTGTACAGACCGTTTAATAAGAAGTTACTTTATAAAGACAGTTCACTTCGTGTATACAGACAGGAGCCATCTTAGAAAATAGTCTCAATAAGTCGATCCTCGAACGCCGTTCATACAGTTCAGCTCACTCAGCACGGCGTTCATGGTTTGACTTGTTGTGACTGTTTTCCAAAGATGGCTGCTGTTTGTATACACGAAGTGAACTGTCTTTATAAAGTATCTTCTTATTAAACGGTCTGTACACTTACAAAGTTCTCAATGCTTCGTTTTGTATATGGACCCTCATTATATTACTGTGTTAGTGTGGGGCTATTTTGAGCCTTGTTAGTGGTATAAACTAGCGATTTCTTTTTACTTATTAAATGCCCCCAGTATTATACGCTAAACAGTTTTTAGAGATAAAACTCTTTACATTCGATTATCATGAAAACAAATCTCAAGAGAACGATTGACTAGGTAACGATGTTTTATTAGACCAAAGGTTCATTTTGCGCCGGAGTTCTCCTTTCAATCATTCCCTTCAGGTTGTGGTACATGCGTCTTTTGGCTGTGAAATCTCTACTGAAGGAAAACATGTTATTGTTAATAACATTTTATATTGTTAGTAATATTTCAAACACCATTTTTTTTTTTTTTACAAAAATCATGTTAAAATGTGAATATCAGATATGGCTTTTTGATTCATCAGGCTTTTATTTATCTCTCATTCATTATTGTATTGTATAACATATTTTGCTTCCACAATAAAAACTACAGAGCTTTGATCATAAAACTAAGCATTTAAATACAATCGTACATATTATCGGGAGATATAATCTAATTGACCTTATAAATATCAGCAACTGCACCAAATTGCAAATTTCTCTTGCTCGATTTTTCTATATCATAAAAGCCTGATGTATCAAACATGAAACTCAACAAAAATACAAATTCAATGTTTTTTCTTTATAAAATATTTTGTCTAAAGGTTCATTTCAAAAAGTCTCCCATTTCAAAAGATTGTATTTTTGTCTATTATATATTATGTCAGCCATTACAGAGTTCCCTATCAGTCGCTCACGTTCAGTGTAACATCTGACGTTCCCTCCTTCAGGGAACGAGGGTTACATTAGAAATTTAAATTACACCTTTTAAACGATTTAATGATCAACCTTTCAGACCCCAAACAAAATATGAGGGTTAAAATTGCACCGTCATGTGCAGTAATAATTATATGCCACAATGCAAGTTGGTTCTGTGATGGATTTTCATATGATGTCACAATTTCAACGTATGTGATGATGAACACTAACACAAGTTCCCTAATCAATATGATCAGGCAAAAAAAGATCAGTTCCATCAGAAACACATTTGCATACTTTTGCCGACACCGCCTCTTCCTGTTATTAAAATGCTTTGCGAAGAGGCGGAATGGGTGAGTGGCTTCCTGCGCGGTGTCCCGGGCCCTAGGCCACCGGATCCTCATTTCCTGGATCCCTAGTGCTGGCCATTCTGACCAATACCTTCTTCCTGAGGTGACTCTGAGCTGCCTCTCCCACAAGCCCCGACCGCGCCTCAGGAAGGAAGGAGCGCGTCGACTGGTCACTATCCGAGAGCAGTTCCGACAGGCTACTCAGGGAACTTACATCTGATTGGTCAAAAGAGAATTGTGGGAGGGGCAAACGACTAGGCAAAAGAGGTTGGTCCTGCACGTCAGGAAGATCCGGCGAGTCCCGTGGTAGAGCGGAATCAAAGGATGGGGTCCGCCTCCTCAGAACCGTGCTGTGCTCCTGTCCGACCGCTTCGGTAGGCGGGTCGATGGAGATGCACGGAGGGCTCATTTTCTCCTTTTTGGGTGATGGTGAAATTGTCTGCTGTTGAAGTAGTAGGCCGTGCGTCGAGTGACGGCGAGGGATTTGGAGCTGAGATAGGAAGCCGTTATTCTCCATACTGTTGTGCTTCCGTAGACCATGAGCACTTGTGTCCGGTTGACGGGCCGTCCCACTGTGCAATGAGTCCTGAGACTGGGTGTCAGAACAGAAATGTGGGTTGTGGCTGCGTGCCCCACACCGAGAGGCTCTTCTTTGGGTGATGTTGGTGTTGAGTCGGGCCGAGTCGTCTGAATCCCGTAGCTCTGTTTGTGCATGTGTGTGCGTTACCGGCAGAGATTTGATGGAGTGCGTATGGCGCGCTGTGTTTCGGCAGGGGATGCTGCGCTGGCTGTACACATGTCTGTTTGTCTGTACGCTCGCTGTCCGGCTGCGGGGGCGAGCGGGGGCTGAGGCCTGGGGGGAACAGGGGGCAGATCCACCGGTGAGGGGCATCATGGGTACTTTGAGAAGGAGATTATCACTGGAGCAGGGCTTGCTCGGGATATGTAAGGTGTCTCTGGAGTCAACGTTTGTGGAATCGAAGGAGTCACTCTTTATTGCTTGCTGCAGGTAAGAACAGATGTAAGGACAAACATTGCAAAAATATTCATCACACAACCATCTTGAATGCTTTGTAGTCATTTAATGTATTTATTTAATATATAATTTAATATTTAATTTGATACAAAATGTATATTTATATATGTGTGTGTGGTGATAATTTAGTCTCACATGACTGTTGATATAATTTTAATATCATGCATTTAAGGTAATTGTTAGGGTGTTTGTTTGTTATTGTTGTGTTTTCTTCATTTTAAATATTTTTTTGTACATATTTTGGAACTATTTAGTAACTTTTAATATATATATATATGCATGTTTAACATGTTTATTTTTACATTCTCTCTTTTTACATTTGTAATATTTTGTTGACCTCTTAACAGATCTTGTATCAATAACTACCTATAGATAACTATAGTAAATATAGATTTGATAAAAAGGAGCAGATCTTTTAAAATAACTATTTACATCTACTATAACAAACTTGTTACTAACTAAAAATGTTAACATGTTATTCATTTTGAAGATTTTTTGAATATATTTTGGAACTATTTAGTAACTTTAAATATATATATATAAGTTCTATTAAGGGAGATTATATATATATATATATATATCCCTTAATAGATCTTGTGTCAATTAAGTAACTATAGATTTGATAAAAAACGTATTTTAAAATAACTATTTACATCATCTAAAACAAACGTGTTACTAACTAAAAATGTTAACATGTTCTTCATTTAATTTTTTTTTTTTTTGGGAACTATTAAAGTTACTTTATATTATATAAACATGTTTAACATGTTAAACACTATGATATAGTAAATGACTACATTTTTTATGAGAAAATTATCTGAAATGAGAGAGTTCGGGAACCTGATGAAGTTTGATGAACCAGGCCCACCCTGGCCCCAAGCACCCCACGTGGAGCCAGGCCTGCTACATATTGAATTAAATATTCATATATGTTCATTGATTCACATTAAAAAGTTATCAGAATTTCATCTTACTTTTTAGAAACATAAATAGTAGGATCTGCACCAAATTTCATTTTTTGTTTTCTCAGCTTGGGCCTCTGAATAAAACGGAGGTGTTTTTTGGAAGTAATGGAAGTAAAAACGCCAATGGAAGTAAAAACGTCTGACACTTTATACAAAAGTTCACATGATTGACATCTCAAATTTAGCATTTCGTTCGACAAAGAAAAAAAGTGTATTTTATCTAATAGACTAATTGATTTAATCTATTAAAAAGGATGAGAGTTACTGTGGTACCTGTCTCTTTAGAGCTCTGAAGCCATTACTAGATCTGGCTCTTCGGTTTAGAGGGTGGAGAGCAGGAATGGAGGCCAGGCTCGTCTGAGATGCAGTTCCTGGAACCTGCATTACGGCATTATCTTCACAGGACTGGGTCCCGAGTGAGAGAGAGGAGCCTGAAAGCACACCAACAGCTTCAGTCATATTCTCTCTCTTTACGTGTGTCATAAAGAGCCAGGACTGGCTTAGTTTTGTCACCTGGTAGTGTAGAGTCCTGTCTGGAGAATCTATCATGAACGGACCCATATACAGGCTTAACAGGATACAGCATGTAACTGTCATTGGGTAAGGACAGCATCCGTGACATAGACGGCCTCCCAACTGTCAGGAAGTTGCCATAATTGGGGTCTTTGCCCTGCAAACACAACAAATCATTAAGATAAGAGCGCTTTAACTGTAATGTTTTGCCATTTCTTAAAAACAGGCTTAATGACACTGCATATTCTTAAAAAAAATATGAAAAATATTTATAAATACAATATATTATTGCATTATTTATATATACATAATAAAATAATATTTATATTATTTTAGTAAATCAAATCAAAATAGATTGCATGTTGATTCATTTTTATGTATGCCAGTAAACATCATCAGGGAAGAGATGCCACTGCAGGATGAAAGGTAAGTTACTTTTATTAAAGATTACAAAGGCACATGAATTAAAAAAATAAAGATGTGCACTGAAAAATCTTTTATCAAAAATACGGCAATATGTAATAAAATATAAGAATGGACAACTTTGATTTCATGCTGACTTTAATTTTTTTTTTTTTTTTTTTTTGAGGGGATTTCATGGCAGTACACCATATTCACCTCTAAATTATGCAAGATTCACTTCTATAGAATTTTTATTCAGTGTCTAAGAATCCAATGCATGGAAGGCAGATTAGTGCCATGTAGGAGAAACAAAGAAAATAAGATGTAATAGAATGGAATAACCATGTATAGCCCAAATATCTGATATACAGTACATATATACATTATTTTGCATATATAGGCTATGTATTCCCTAGTTACTTAGAGTACTGTATTTTCAGGCATGTATGTCAGGCATTTTCAAACATTACATGTTTTTATTTTTATATTATACTAAAATATGATTTAAAATGGTCATCTTAAACATATCTAAAATACCTTTATCATTACTCTAATTTAATAGAACTCACCTGTTCATGTGAGAGAGTCTCCATTTTAACAGCTGTACCTTCCGGCCCAATGACTCCGCCCATAGCGGCGGAGCTTTGTCTGCGACCACCCTTAAGCTCCTCCTTCAACTCCGCATCCATCTCTGCCTCCTCACGGGCATCTTTGTTACTTTCCTCTAAATGTTTCATGAGCACAGCGACCACAACATTCACCAGCACAAACTGTGCCACCAGCACAAATGTCACAAAGTACAGAGGTGACAAAAGCGGAAGGTAACTCAGACATTTGTCATTTTTACATTCCCGCAGAGTATCCTAGACACACACAGAAACAGAAATTGTGAGTTCTGCCAAGGTCAAAAAGTCTTTATGATGTTTTGTGTGTGGGCAACAAATAACCTGACAAGCTAACATTTAACATCGGCATTCTCTAATCAGGAATTTATAACATGCTGCATGAATATTTTTTATGGTTTGCAAAATACCTTCATGATTCCGTTCCAGTTGTCTCCCGTGGAAATGCGGAACAGAGTGAGGAATGCCATGCCGAAGTTCTGAAATGTAGCATGTCGGCTCAAACCCTCACATGGGCTCTCCTCAGTGCATTCTGATTTAAAAAACATTCATTTTAATACTTCACCTCAAAAACGCATTTATATGTTTTATGCAACGACATACACTACCATTCAAAGCATGGGCTCTGTAGGATTTTTGTATACTTTTGTATACTTTATATACTATACTTTTGTATTATTCATCCAAGGACAATTTAAATTAATTAAAAATGACAGAACAGGCATTTATAATGTTACTAAAGATATAAAATGCAAGCTATTCTATTTAAATTTCAATTAATCATAAAAAACATAAAAAATCTAAAACAGCAAATTAGCATATTAGAATCATTTCTGAAGGATCATGTGACACTGAAGACTGGAGTAATGATGCCAAAAATTCAGCTTTGCCATCAGAGGAATGAATTGCATTTTAAAATCTATTAAAATAGACAATACACTGTAAAAAAATATTGTTGGTTTAACTTAAAAATAAGTAACCTGGTTGCCTTCAAATTTTAAGTTGAATGAACTGGAAAAAGTGAGTTAATACAATGAAGGAGATTGATTTAATCATCAGAAACTCAAAATAATAAGTTATCTGAACTAAACAAATTATTTAAGTTGATTTGACAAAAGAAAAAAATGCTGTGATTACAAATCTTGAAAATATTTTTTTACAGTGTAGTTATTTACAGTACCACTATTTTGATCAAATAAACGCAGCTTTGGTAAGAACGAGAGACTTCTTTCAAAAACAGTTAAACATCTCATCAACCCCAAATTTTTGAACGGCAGTGTATGATAACAGGAAATGAAAGGTATACCGACCAAGTTTGCCAAAGAGTTCAACTCCCAGTGCCGCATAGATGAAGAACAGCAGCATAAAAAGCAGACCCAGATTACCAACCTAGAGAAGCAGAACATCACCAGAATAAAGCCGTGTATATATTCCATCTGGGGCCACATACAATAAGGTACTGTATCTATGAAGTACTGTAGTTCCACTATAGAGGGAATGCATTGACGTCACTTTCCCCCGGAACAACCCCCCTCAGCCTGCGAAACTGCGAAAATGCGACTAAAACAAACAATTTTATCAATTTAAACGAACTGTTGGACTCAATATAGTGTTCCTTACATCTTACTAAAGATCCAGCGATCCATGGATATTGACATTTAGCCAGGAATCATGTTGCCTGACATTTATGTTTGCCGGATTTCGACACCGGGGAAATCAAAGGAATATATACCTAAACATAAAGCAAATTTGCCTGTGAACGCTTTACAAATACAATATAGGTAGGTCTAAATCTGGGTGATCACTTATATCAGTGTTATATATAGCCTATATACAGTATATCATCATATTGTCCAGCCCTGAAACTTTAGAGTTTTTTTTTTTTTGGTCAGTGTTTATTAAAAAAACATCCAATAATGTAGAATATGCAATGATAAATATTTAATGTATGAGTTGTTAATATATATAACAATACAAATAATATGGTCATGGTTTTACACCTAAATTCAGTATATTGACACAAAACGATAACTACAAATCCACCTTTCGTTGGCTGGAGTCCAATTGTTTCTGTGAATTGCAGCGATTCATTTGCTCTTTCTATAGCAGTCTGTAAAAATATACCTCAGATTTTTTGTGAAATCGAATTGTACAGTCAATCGCAAAGCTCTTTCCCACTTTATATGTGTTGTGTTTGTTTTTCGCGACATTCACGCTGAAAACAAATACAGCCGCTCAGTCTTTTTGCCACTCACTGAGTAACTGCAGGCACGCCGGCCAAAGGTGACATCACGCACATACCCTCTAAAAGATACACAAACACATGAACGCACTGACCTGCGGTAAAGCTTGAACTACTGTATCCAGAAGAGATCTCATTCCTGTGGCCATCTTCAACAGCTTCAACACTGAAAGGGAATTTTACTGTATATTACAATTCATTCCTATTTTAATCATCGAAATCTCTTTTTTTACATTACTTGCCATAAATCCTCACTGTCCTTAAACATCTGTTAGCACAATATAAAAAGAATACACTACCATTCAAAATGACTATTTAGGGTCTCTAAGTTGTTTTAATGCTTTTGAAAGTAGTCTCTTATGCTCACCAAGGCTGTATTAATTTGATCAAAAATACAATAAAACAGTCATTTTTAGTTTCAGCATCATTACCCTAGTCTTCAGCGTCACATGATCCTCCATAAATCATTGTAATATGGCGATTTGCTGCTCGAGAAACATTTCTTATTATCAACGTTGAAAACAGTTGGGCTGCTTACTATTCTTTTTTTTTTGTGGAAATTTTAAAAACATTATAAATGTCTTTAACATCACTTTTAAAAGTTGAATGTGTCCTTGCTGAATACATTTATTCATTTAATTCCAAAAAAATATATTATGGACCCCAAATTTTTGTATGGTAGTGCAAATTTCCCATTTGTATAAGAGGAGCAAGCTTCTTCTCGCTCTTGACACATCTAAGGCATTGCTTTATTTCTCATACGTCATGGCTGGCATGTGCGTGTCTTTGTGTATTTGTTACCTCTGGCGATGCGCAGCACTCTCATGATGCGTATGATAGTTGGGTTGATGGGTAGAGAGGCATTCAGGTCAATTTCCTCAAGTGTGATGCCCATGATGGAGAGAAGAACAATGGCCAAGTCTAACTGATTCCACCTAACAGAAGAAAGACAGAAACATTAATGAGATGAAGACAAGGTCCTGTGAAACCATTTTAATATTCTTGGAAAGTGTTAGAGACTGCCCGAGGAAAGGGCTTTCTTTAACACTGACATTTCAAGCTTAAAGCCCCACAGAACATCAATGACATTATGGAAGACAATAGCATCCAGTATTTTTGATTTATAAAAAGGAATTCATTTAGGGTCTTTCTGTGTCAACGTCACAGGATGTGTCTCATAAATATTCATGAGAAGACCTTGTCTCATTATTATTCATGACACCATGCGACCTTTCTCTGTGATAGGCACTTAAAACAGTGAATTGATACTAAAGTGGAACATGGATCGCAAGTTTTTGCATTTGCATGACATTCTGACAGAGCGACAGGCTTTCAATCAATGACTGACACTTGAAATATTTTTGTGCAACTATCATCTCATAGTTTCACCACATCCGTCTTTACTTTAAATTCAGACTACTTATAACAATTCCTACACGTTGTCCCTTTAAGGATCATGTGAAACTGAAGACTGCATTAATAATGCTGAAAATCAGCTTTGTCATCAAAGGAATCAATTATATTTTAATATATAGGTACATTAAATTGTAATAATATCCCACAACAGTGCTGGTTTTACTGTATTTTTGATAGAACAAACCCCACACTTTTGAACAGTAGAGCATATTACTGCACTCAGTTATAGCAGTTCTGAACTGCAACACGCTATTAAAGTGAAATTTTCTCTTCACTTCTGTTATGAGAACAGTCCCATGACTGAAGCAGTGAAAGATACTGCATCACTGCATTATGTCCTCAAGAGGGAGCCTTACCTCTCTTTGAAAAATCTCCTAAAGCCAAAGGCAACCAGTTTCAGCACAGCCTCGATCACAAAGACCAGCGTGAAGACATAGTTACAGTATTTCAAACCTTCATCAAGATACTGAGAAGCAAAGACATAAACAGTGACAATCAGACACCAGGAATATTAAACTCTGAATTAAACATGAAATCAAAATCGACCATTTTATTGATATGATCCTGGTCTTGTAGTGAATAATCCATCAGTGCATGTTATTCGGTTATAAATATTTCATCAAAATGTAATAACTTGCTCTGCCTCTGAAACAACTTTCTTTTTCAGTTGGCATCTTTTATTTTTCAACCCTTCCCCTGGCCTGATGTCATTAGGTGTGTTAGAAATAGAATCCAAGCCGGTTAGAAATGTTGTCTGACTCGAGACAGGCCATGTCACTGTAGCGAGAGCAGACGGCTGACTCAGTCTGCGCAGCTTCTCCACAGCACCTGCACAAGCACACGCTGCTCCACGATTGGTCGGATTCTACAATGACATCGTGTTTATTCCGACACCTTCTCTACCGCTAATGTTCACAAATCCGTAAACTCTTTTTATGTAACCATAATGTAATATTTTGTGATGTTTATCAAAATACCACTGATAAAAATATATAGACATTATAATTATTATTTAAATAGTATAGGCTTATTTTGAACTTTATTCTTGTACAGACTTTATCGCGGATGAAGTGCAATATTTGTCAAATGCACAAACGTTTCAGACATTTTCATGAAGCAACAGAAACACTTTTTATATACTGCCTAACTTTTTTTTCACAAGCATTTTCACTGGCCACAATTTTGACATTTTTAAAGAGACAGTCAAAATCACAGCAACGAAGGCTATAGGCTGCTAGCAAATAATACATTCTTCAGAGTCTTGAAACTCATTTATTCCTCTAAGACAAGAGCTCTTCCCTGTCTGAAGTCAACAATCGATTCAATGGGGAAAAACTGCCACATAGATATTTTTAATATTATAGGTGGCGGTAAAACTCCTAAGCGGTGAGCAGCCGGTAACAAGAAGTAGACGAATGAGAACGTCCTCGTCTCAGTTCTCGCGCATGCGCCCCTAAGGAAGTAATGGAATAGTGGAATAAAGTCGTTATTTATGTTTTTTTCGCACAAAAAGTAGTCTCGTCGCTTGATAAACTTATAATTGAGCCGCTGTAGGCACATGGAATATTTAAACCTTTTCTTTAATGACTTTATGGGCCGTCAAGAGCCAGTCCCTTAGGCAGTCTATCTAGGACTGATCTAGCTCTCAGATTCAATCAAAAATATCTTTATTTGTGTTCCGAAGATGAACGAAGGTCTTACGGGGTTGGAACAGCATGGGGGTGAGTAATTAATGACTTAATTTTCATTTTTGGGTGAACGAACCCTTTAACATAGTGCTCAAGCGGTGTGCGTGTAATGCACCAAACCTTGGGTTGTCTGTAGTGCTCCATTGACATTGTAAGGACATTAATGGCGATGATGATGGTGATGAAGAGGTCCAGATAATGACTAGTGCAGAGCGTGTGAATATAGAGGCGTGTTGGAGAGTAGTCTGCATAGTACGGTCTCTGCATGGCCTCTACAAGACAAAACACACACAGAGAACAATAGAGCACCTTCATTAGGGTGTATTCAGGTCATTCAGGGACTACATACACACATTCATCTTGAATCACAGGATGCTGTGAACATCCAAGGCGAACATTTGATGGTAATAATGCAACATTTCATTGAAATAACTCAAAGGCAGAAGGTGTGTTGTTAGTGTACTGTATAGGCTACTTTGTTCCTGTCAAACACAAGCACACTGACCCAGTTTTGTCTGGCCAATAAATTGCTAACGTGGCTGAGTGTGTGTGTGTGTGTAATCACAGTTTGCAAACAGTCGAGTCATCTGAGGGATGTTATAAATGTCCAGCCAAGCGTCCCCCCACATCCATCACTGCTCAAGACTGCTCAAGGTGTCTTTGAGAGAAGCTTTGTGTGCATTTAAGAAAGAGGCAGAGCGACTGAGGTCTTGAGACAGCTAGCTAAGTCACTTTACAATTCAGTACTGTGGCAGCACCACCATGGTACAGTGATGGTCTTTAATATATACCATACCATAGTACTGTAAGTAATGCTAGGTCCTCAGGGTTCTGGGTTGTTGTTGTGAATCTGCTTACTGTCCCAAAGTAGGGCAACATTTTGACCCCTAAACATAGCTTTGGTTCCTATACTGTATGTAATATGTAAGAAAGTTCTAGCTATTGTTTAAAAATGTCCCCATTGTTTTCATAGCCTTGTTACATGACACTATTAAAACTACTAAAGCACAGGATTCAAGGGGGATTTGAGGCAAGAGTAAATGATTTTACTCTCACTTATGATTATGTGTCTCATGTGTAATTAAATGCTGGTTATGTGGTTTTGAAGTCAAGCAAAGTCAAAGGGCTTTTGAAGAACACATACTAAAATCAATACTAATTGTCTACTTCACAAGAATACACACGACAGCAATCAAACTGAACTGTGCCGAGCAAGTGTGGTGCAATACAATTACAAGCAATAAAACCAGTCTGATCCATGCTAGTTTTTATCCTAATCAGGAGTGACAAGCCACTAAATATTTTGTTGTCCTCTGCTCTGGTCAATATTTAAAGGAGTAGTTCACTTAAAAAAAAAAAAAAAACTTTTGCTGATAATTTACTCACCCCCATGTCATCCGAGATGTCCATGTCATTCTTTCTTCAGTCGAAAAGAAATGAAGTTTTTTGATGAAAACATTCCAGGATTTTTCTCCATATAATGGACTTCAATGGGAACCAAACAGTTCAAGGTCCAAAAGACAGTTTCAGTGCAAACTGTTCAAAGGGCTTTAAACGATTCCAGACGATGAATAAGGGTCTCATCAAGCGAAACGATCGCTCATTTAATAAATAAATAACAAAGTTTAAGTTTTATAAGCTCAAATGGTCGCCTTGCTCTGTTCTGTGATGCGCGTTCGAGACTCTCCTGTTTCCTTGTTTATCAAAATGAACAATTTTTTTTCGTGTCATTTGATTCATTCAACTAACTAAATGAACGAGTTGACTCTGGAAAGATTTGTTCATTTTGATGAACAGGAGATGCATGAACGCATCACAGAACAGAGCAAGGCAACCATTTGAGCTTATAAAACTTAAACTTTTTTTTTTTTTTTTTTTTTTTTAAATGAGCGATCGTTTCGCTTGATAAGACCATTATTCATCGTCTGAAATCGTTTAAAGCCCTTTGAACAGTTTGCAGTTTGCACTGAAACTGTCTTTTGGACCTTGAATCGTTTGGTTCCCATTGAAGTCCATTATATGGAGAAAAATGCTGGAATGTTTTCATCAAAAACCTTCATTTCTTTTCGACTGAAGAAAGAATGACATGGATATCTCGGATGACATGGTGGTGAGTAAATTATCAGCAAAAGTTTTTTTTAAAAGTGAACTACTCCTTTAAGTGGCAAAAAAGGCAAAAAATCCATTTAGTTGTTTCGTTCTGAATTTCGCTTTCACTAACTGACGTTTTGTCGCATTGTCTCATTATGACGCAGTCTGCAAAAAAAAAAAAAAACCACACACTCACTCCTGCGTTTCTTCTCCATGCGCTTCTTTCTCTTTTCCTCTCTCCGTCTGGCCTCCTCTTCCTCTTGGTCTTGTCTGCACTTGTGGAAGTTCTCGACCACCACGCCTACAAACATGTTCAGCACGAAGAAGCTGACGATCAGCAGGAAGGAGATGAAGTACAGAAGCATCCAGGGATTATGATTCCTTATGGGCTATAAAGAGAGAAGAAAGAAGAACAGAGAAATCATTTAGATATAAGGAGATGCCACTGATCAAAGATGTGTTATTAACTTATTGTCATAAGGAAATATTCATGTGTACACTTTTTTTCCCAATTAAGCCTTGAATATTTCAGTGTGCATCAACACATTTATATATATTAAGTATATAAACTTTATGCTATATTAGACTTGCACGTATTTTTCATACTATTCTTTTGTGGAAATGCTGGAGATACTAGCTAGCTCTTGCCTTTAATTTAGCTGCATTTAAGTAATTAAACTTACTAATTCAGGAATTGAAAAATGCAGGTAATAAGACTTAAAGCCTTAAAGCCTAAAAAGGCTAAGACTTAAAGAAGAAAGTGCAGAATGCAATGGAAACTCTACATGTCTTATTGTATATGCAACACATTTGGTATTTTTAACCACACTAAAAGATAAAGGACACTATATAAACCAGTTGTGTCGAGTCTGTTATTGTCTGTGGACTGAACGTTTCAGTCTATGTGTGTGTGAGTATAAGATCTCTCAGTGGAATTAAATGATGAATGTTCTGTGTCTCTTCCTCAATCTGCTCATTTTGGTGTCCTCCACTGTATTTTTTATCTCGCTCTCCCTTTTTTCTTCAGTTCAGAGCTGAATCAATCAAACACTCACTTTACCTAAAACCCGCTGCTGCCTTTTGTGATTGTGTCACTTGAGCTTGTGCGTAAAAAAAAGAAACCCGTAAACTCCTGGTGCCAGTGTTTTCTTTTCTTATGACAGATTCAGAGTAAGGCGTAAGTGTTTCCACACTGAGTGGAGTTATCTGAAGAATACACACACATCCGCACACACACACTTGAATGTTTTTTTTTTTTTTTTTTTTTGGATCTTAAAGACATTACAAATTGAACACAAGATCCAAATACTCTGGGAAGGGTCTTTGACAAGGTGACAGATCTACAATTCATTGCTAACATACTTGTACAGGTCCTTCCACACACACACACCTGTTTGTCCACAGCCACGGCATCTAAGCCATCGTACATGATGCTGACCCAACCATCTTTAGATGACAGGACAAATAATGACATCAGTGCCTGCAAAATAGAGATAAAATGGATTCATGTAAATAAGAGAATATTACTGTATCATTGTCAACAATATGAATATCTGTAAAATATTAAGGGGATGGTGAGATGAACATAATTTTGCTCAGTTAAAGGCTACTGCACAGCATTTGTTTTTGTTTTTTGGAAAAAAATCTAAACATACTAAATTTACTTGAGAAGCAAACAATATTTATAGAATTTATACTGAATTAAGTGTTTCTTGTTTTAAACATACTCTATTTGCGCTGTTTCTAATTAAAATAAGAAACGTAATATTTTTTTGCAATTTTTTTTCACCCTTTATTGAAATATTATTTAAACTTTATTTATTATTATATATAAAAATTAAGCATATTGCTTAGTTGTGCTTTTATTTGTGATAACCCAAATTGCCACAATGTGGACAAAATAAAAATGTGCATTTATTTAAACTGTCCGTGCTTGACAGATATTCAAATGTTTTGGGAAATCAAACATATTGGATGTCAAGCTTAAGGTTAATGCATTACATGAGGGAATTCAAGTTAAAGGTCTAAACTAAAACTGAACTTAAAGAACTGAACATGTACAAAAAAACAACATCTACCAGAACCCTGTCATCTTGATGAAATGCACTTGTGTGACGCTACCGGTGGTCATAATTCATTCTTCATGAATTCCCCCTTAATGTCTATGTCTCTATATGTGCGTAAGTGTGATTGTGTCTTACCTGACCCAGGTTATCAAAGTTGTACTTCCTACGGACCCATTTGTATTTCGCCAGCAGACACTCTGATTTATTGGTGATGTTTCTAGTGTCAAAGCCTTCACAGTGATGAAACTTCCCCTTGAAGAGCTGAGTAAATAAAAAAACCTTACATTTAAACAGCAATCAACTGATAATTACAATGCAAATAACTTTTAAAATCATTAATAAAAGTCAATCAAATGAACTTAATTCAGATTTGTATTTTTTAGGTAATTTACCTGAACTCCCAGAATGCCAAAGACAATAAAGAAAGCGCAACAGATTAACACAATATTTCCAATAGGTCTGAGAGACGTGATCAATGTTTCCACGACCAGCTTCAGTCCGGGGGCCCTGCTTATGACCCTGACAACACAAACACACAAAGAAATGCATATTTAGTGTTGCAACAATATCTGAACTAGAAAGAGGCTGTTAATAAAAAGGCTAAGAGCTGCACAACAAGCTGACGAGACGAGATGTGCTGTCGTTTTAGCCTTGAAATGTATCGTCTGCTCAGCAGAACATATCTCCGTCTGTCTTTGTTCAAATATGTGCTCGAGTCTGCCATGGAATAAAAAAAAAATTATGAGTAAGTGTGACTTCAATGGTTCAAAAGCTTCAATAGTCTTCTGACTAAGATATTAAACGTTTCAAGGTTTCAGCACCATGGACAGCAACATTATTAAAGTATTTTATATTATTATTATATTAGGGATACATTTTGTTTCATTGAGTAACGACTGGTTGCCTAGTAAAGCTTGTGAACGACATTTATGGATGTTGCCTCATGTTTTAGACAACAAATCAGGTTTATTGCCATTACAAACAAACATTTTGGAAGGAAACAATGTAATCAGTACATAAAATGTTTAATATGAAAGATGAATGAGTGCTCTTTGCCATTGTGGCTATTTATCTACAGGTCTATCTAGGTTTATTAAAACCATTCAGGCTTGCACAGGCTCTATCTTGCCTCAAAACTCCACTATAGGATGTAGTAACGGATCACGTGTGCTCCACTGACTTCACTCCTGTTGGTTGTTAATTTGTATTAAGTTAAACATATCTCAATATTGTCACACCACTGGACACGCCCACATCCTGTCGCTCGTGTTGCCGGAAATAGTGGTATTGTGATCGCAGCTTCACCAGCTCCGATTCACTTTCATTGTATTGAAAAAGCAGTGTGAACATTCTGCTAAACATTTACTTTTGTGTTCCACAGAAGAAATATAGGGGAACTAGCCCTCTAAGAATATTAAAACAGCCTACAATAGAGGACATAATGTACTTCCAGACATTTATACACACCCACACATACCTTCAATAAAAATCATACCTCAAGGGTCTTAGTGTTCTGAGCAGTCGAAGAACTCGTAAGATACCCAGGATTCTGTTCCCGCCAGAGGATGCGAGTGAGACCAGGATGTCCACAATAGACACAAATACCAGAAAACCGTCTAGAACATTCCAGCTGCTCTTCAGGTACGAGCCTGGACCAGCGTACAGCCCGAGAGAAACCACCTACAACACCAACGGCATAATAATCACAACCATCGTTTTTTGCCTCTAACTCAATCACAGGTGACTGAAATCGTACAGTTTACTAGCCATTGGCTATTTAAAGACATCTTTAGTCTCCTAGCATGAGTGATTTACTCGCATTGCAGAGATTTGAAAAATAATAAAAATGTTACTAAAAAGTATGCCTTTATTTAATCAATTAATCATTTTTAATTAATTCCCTACCTTCACAGTCATCTCAGCCACAAAGATCACAGTGAAGATGTAGTTGGACACTTTAAGGAAAACCCGCTCCTGTTAAACAATAATAAATGAATAATGAAAATGTCATTTAAAATTACAACAAATACATTTTCATTACAGACCAATGCAATAGCAGCTTTGAGATGTTGCCATATTTCCCCTGTTGATGAGAAGTCACCCAGTGGCTTTTTTTAAAGTATTTATTGTGCATTTTCATTTACGAGTTAAACTGTTTATTGTAATTTTGAAGTAATTTTAATTTTTTGTAATTTTGAATACTTTTATTTAGCAAGGATGCATTAGATTGATCAAAAGTGACAGTAAAGACATTTATATTGTTACAGTAACAAATGATTTCTATTTCAAATAAATGCAGTTCTTTTGAACTTTCTACTCAAAGAATTCCAAAAATATATGACATACATATAAATATAATATTAACACAACATTGATAATATTATATAGAATAGAAATGTTTCTTGAGCATCAAGTCAGCATATTAGAATGATTTTCTGATTTTTACTCTTAAGACTGGGGTCATGATGCTGAAAATATCTTTGCCGTCACATGAATAAATAGATTGTTCTAACATTTCACACTATTACTGTTTTACAATAATTTTTATTAAATAAATGCAGCCTTGGCAGGAGATTATGCAGAAATATTAAACATTTCCCTGACAAAATCTTTTGAATGCTAGTGTAGATATTTAATAGAGCTTAATGAAAGTGCTAGAAATGAGTGTAGTGTTTGTGTTCACCGTGCTGTCGGGCTGGATGTCGGGTCTCTCCAGAGCGATTGTGATGCAGTTGAAGAAGATGAAGAACAGCACAATATGATCAAACATCTTATGAGTGATGACTTTCTGACAGCGAATCCGGAACCTGCGGAGAACGAGAGGGAAAGAGTTGTGTATGGCATGAGAATGTGCAAGCACAGCATTCATTAGTTGTGTATATGTGTGTGTGTGTTGGCTGGTTCTCCGTGTTGGTACTCACTTATTATGAGGGGAAAATAAATAAAGAGACCAATCCTCATGGTCACTGCACCACTGGGGTTTATAAGGCTCCAACAGTCTCTTCAGAATGAGACACCAGCTCTAAACAAAACATACAATACCAGATAAAAAGAAGAAATTTATCTACATTTCTAAATTTATGGGAATTTCTTAACATCCACCAGTCAAAATTTGTGTGATGAATCAGATAGATAGATAGATAGATAGATAGATAGATAGATAGATAGATAGATAGATAGATCCCGATAGATAGATAGATAGATAGATAGATAGATAGATAGATAGATAGATAGATAGAGAGATAGAGAGATAGATAGATCCCGATAGATAGATAGATAGATAGATAGATAGATAGATAGATAGATAGATAGATAGATAGAGAGAGATAGATAGATCCCGATAGATAGATTCCGATAGATAGATAGATCCCGATAGATAGATAGATAGATAGATCCCGATAGATAGATTCCGATAGATAGATAGATAGATAGATAGATAGATTCCGATAGATAGATAGATAGATAGATAGATAGATCCCGATAGATAGATTCCGATAGATAGATAGATAGATAGATAGATAGATAGATAGATAGATAGATAGAGAGATAGAGAGAGAGATAGATAGATTGATCCCGATAGATAGATAGATAGATAGATAGATAGAGAGATAGATAGATAGATCCCGATAGATAGATTCCGATAGATAGATAGATCCCGATAGATAGATAGATAGATAGATAGATAGATAGATAGATAGATCCCGATAGATAGATTCCGATAGATAGATTCCGATAGATAGATAGATAGATAGATATATAGATTCCGATAGATAGATAGATAGATAGATAGATAGATAGATAGATTCCGATAGATAGATAGATAGATAGATAGATAGATAGATAGATAGATAGATAGATAGATAGATAGATACCGATAGATAGATAGATAGATAGATAGATAGATAGATCCCGATAGATAGATAGATAGATCCAGATAGATAGATAGATAGATAGATAGATCCAGATAGATAGATAGATAGATAGATAGATAGATAGATAGATAGATAGATAGATAGATAGATAGATCCCGATAGATAGATAGATCCCGATAGATAGATCCCGATAGATAGATAGATAGATCCCGATAGATAGATTCCGATAGATAGATAGATAGATTGATTTCGATAGATAGATAGATAGATAGATAGATAGATAGATAGATCCCGATAGATAGATTCCGATAGATAGATAGATAGATAGATAGATAGATAGATAGATAGATAGATCCCGATAGATAGATTGATTTCGATAGATAGATAGATAGATAGATAGATAGATAGATAGATAGATAGATTGATTTCGATAGATAGATAGATAGATAGATAGATAGATAGATAGATAGATAGATAGATAGATAGATAGATAGATAGATAGATAGATAGATTTCGATAGATAGATAGATAGATAGATAGATAGATCCCGATAGATAGATAGATAGATAGATAGATTGATTGATTGATTTCGATAGATAGATAGATAGATAGATAGATAGATAGATAGATAGATAGATAGATAGATCCCGATAGATAGATAGATCCCGATAGATAGATTCCGATAGATAGATAGATAGATAGATAGATAGATAGATTGATTTCGATAGATAGATAGATAGATAGATAGATCCCGATAGATAGATAGATAGATAGATAGATAGATTTCGATAGATAGATAGATAGATAGATAGATAGATAGATAGATAGATAGATAGATAGATCCCGATAGATAGATAGATAGATAGATAGATAGATAGATAGATAGATAGATAGATTGATTGATTTCGATAGATAGATAGATAGATAGATAGATAGATAGATTTCGATAGATAGATAGATAGATAGATAGATAGATAGATAGATAGATCCCGATAGATAGATAGATCCCGATAGATAGATCCCGATAGATAGATAGATAGATCCCGATAGATAGATTCCGATAGATAGATAGATAGATAGATAGATAGATAGATAGATAGATAGATAGATTGATTTCGATAGATAGATAGATAGATAGATAGATAGATAGATAGATAGATAGATAGATAGATAGATAGATAGATAGCTAGATAGATCCCGATAGATAGATAGATAGATCCCGATAGATAGATTCCGATAGATAGATAGATAGATAGATTGATTTCGATAGATAGATAGATAGATAGATAGATAGATAGATAGATAGATAGATAGATAGATAGATAGATCCCGATAGATAGATAGATAGATAGATAGATAGATAGATAGATAGATAGATAGATAGATAGATAGATAGATAGATAGATAGATAGATAGATAGATAGATAGATAGATTTCGATAGATAGATAGATAGATAGATAGATAGATAGATAGATAGATAGATAGATAGATAGATAGATAGATAGATAGATAGATAGATAGATAGATCGATCCCGATAGATAGATAGATAGATAGATAGATAGATAGATAGATAGATAGATAGATTGATTGATTTCGATAGATAGATAGATAGATAGATAGATAGATAGATAGATTTTTTTTAAAAAAGATTAAAGATCACCTCCTCAAAATCATCATCATCTGCCCCTTGTGTGGGTGATGGGTCGGGCTGTTTAATTTTTGGAGAGGATGGATAACTTCCATCTAATCTGCCATTGCACTCCAAATATGGGCGCGGAACCTGCAAGAGCTCTGGAAAATCAAACGACCCTAGACATGAAACTCCGCCCAGACTGCCGGTCCTGCTGGATTTCCCATCATCTGATTGGTTTTCATCCATGCTGTCCTGTCCCGCTCCAGACAGCAGCGACTCGCGATCTCTTGACTGAGAACGTCTTATTAGACTGGGGGCCTGGCCAAGACTGTTCCAACTGGAGCGGCGACTTCCCCAAAGGCTGGACTACAACAGACACGCAAATCGCAGCTGTTTATCATGGGATGCAACCAATGGTGTAGTATGAAAGAATCATTCAAAAATCAAACAGTGAGGAAAAAAAAGAAGAGATTTACATCATGACTGAATTTTGATTGTTATTAAACTTACATCTAAAATGTAATTAATGTTATATAATGAGTAACACAGACAGAATCAGTCTGATTCTGATTGGCTGGAAGGTAGCTCCAGGTCAAAAAATTTAAGGACATTGACATCTTGGATGACATGGGGGTGAGTAAATTATCAGCAAAAGTTTTTTTGTTTTTTTTAAAGAGTATATTTCTCAGCCACAAGGGGTCAATATAGTTGTTTTTGAAGGAATTAAACTCACAGCTTTGTTGTGAGACACTACACAGATGCAGATTAGTCACACACATTTCCCATCATCCCTCTCTGCGCATGTGCGGGAGTCTGAGTAGTGTGTGTGCGTCTGAGTGATATTTTGGTTTAGTGTATATTTAATTGTCGCCGATTTTATCACTTAGGGTGGAAAAAATGTGGACACATTAAGGTTGTGCTCTTTCAACCACTCACCAAATGTTTGGGTGCAAATGTTTACCTGATGAGTCCATAACAGTTGAGGACTGTCTAATTGCCATCAGCAGCGAAATTTGTGCTTGTTGTGCCCCATCCAGGATAAACAAGTCTGTTGTTGTCTTTTTGAGAGTAGTCTCTTTGGTTCAGCATTTAGCTGAATTTGGTTTATCCATTAGAGATACTTTTTTATCAGTTTTGCCTTTGTTGAATCCTTCTAAGAAGTTTATCCTTTCGAATGTGCCCCCATTCATTTCTAAAGATTCACTCGAGCGTTTGTTAGGACGCTATGGTAAATAATTCACAAAAATCCAGGACTTAAACATGTAATGTCATTTAGACGTCAGACTTTCATGATCCTGAACGCTGAATTTCAAACTTTGAATACGTCAGTGAAAACCACAATGCTGGGTAAAGATTATACAATTTATATCACTACTGAATAAATGAGGTGTTTTACTTGTGGGAAGTACGGTCATACAAAACTGTTCAATGAATGATGAGGCAAACATTAAAGGGATAGTTCACTTTGAAAGTTCGCTTACCAAAGACATCTTTCCGCAGTAGTTTCAATTTTGATATTTCCAAGTCAAACCATTCTTGTCTGTCAGTCATATATTGGAGGTCTATGGTCACCACCTCAAAGAGCATGCACAGAGAAGTCCAAATTAAACATGATTTAATGACTCGTAAATGTAAGTACACATTGATGGCCTAAGACACGAAACGAGCGGTTTGTGTGAGAAAACTAACAGTATTTATATAGTTTTTACCAAAGCAAAGCGCCCGCGCCCTCAGATCACTTGGACGTGGCTGTGGTTACAAGAGGTAAAAACGATATAAATACTGTTTGTTTTCTCACACAAACCGTTCGTTTCGTGTCTTAGGCCATCAATGTGTACTTACATTTACGAGTCATTAAATCATGTTTAATCTGGACTTCTCTGTGCATGCTCTTTGAGGTGGTGACCATAGACCTTCATTATATGACTGACAGAACAGAAAGTTTTGACCTAAAAATGTCAAAATTGAAAATACTGTGGAAACAAAGACACCTACTTCTTGGATGCCCTTGAGGTAAGCTGAAACATACCAAAAATGAATTTCAAAATGAACTATACCTTTAATGTGAATGAGCTAATAAGAAAATGCGCTTCTGCTCCAGTAAATAATGAAGGTGAAAAAAATAACAGTGACAGAATTGATCAGGGCATTGAACTCTATCTTTTCTCTCTAAAAGATGGAGAAAGTGCTGGCAAGCCTATAATGACCGAGCACGTTGACGATTCGGTACATTCTTCCGTGAATACCGTTGTAAGTGTAAATGGCAGCACATCAGTGCAGGCTAAAATGTGCAGCTAACGCAGATCCCGATGGCGGAATCGGTGAACCGGAGCGACCAGTAGAGCGGGCTGAGCTTGTGATGCCTGGTGGCCAGTCAGTCGATTAGCAGGCATCAGGATTTAGCCTGTCTCAGGGGGGATGCTGGTGTGTTGATAGAAGGGAGTGAAGTTCAGTCAATGGATTCTGATAGTGACACTCCTGATATAGCAGAAAATCCTACTATTGCAAATTCTACAGAAAATGGTCACAATCTTAAATTAAAACATCCCTATTATACAGTTCGCCAAATTAATGATTTTTCAAGACAATACCTTTAACCAGCGAAGACCAAAACTTGAAAAATACTTTACAACTTATCATTGATTCATGTACATTGGCAATAAGAAAGGCAACACAGGAGGAGCTTGATCAGCCTAAATGCTACAGGCTCAAAAAAACATACGAGTACTGTTTAAAAGCTCTTTGGAAAGCCCTTTGAGAAAAAAGCCTTTGTTTTTAAATCCCCTTATAAAACTACCATCTAATTTGTCTTGTTTTGATCCACTTTTTTAAATGCTTGGGTTCAGTAAAGTAATGGATTTAATTGATTTGACACAATGTCAGTGGTGTTATCACTTGCTGCACAGGTTAAATTAAAATCTGGATAGGATAATCAAGTGTATTAGGGATGCATTAATGTCCTTTATAAACTCAGCCCTGGTAAATGGTTTCTCAGAACTTCCCTGAGGTGAAGGTGATCCCTAAAGTTGGAGGAGTTGGGGGTAATATAAACCAGACTACATTGTTAAAGAGATATGGGGATTTGGTTTTTCATAATGTGGTGAAGAAAAAATTAATTAATTATATTTGTGTTAAATCTGTGCATGCGGGACATCTGCAAGGTAAACAGGTACTAAATGGAGGGCTTAGATCTCTATTAGTGAAGAAGTACATCCATCGTGGAGAGTATTGTATAAACCTCCCATCTCTAAGCGATGTGGAGAGTCCTCCATTGTGCTATAGCCTCAAATATCTTGATTTCAAAATTGAATGATGGTTTTATTATGTCCCTTCTTTACTGCTCATGATACTGTTTTTCATATGTTTTTTTTGAATGTTCAAGACTTGGTCCTTTATTTAATACTTGAAAAATTGATCACAAAATTAGGGTTTTCATATAGTGTCGTCCATGAACGATTCATTTTTTTTGAACGAATCTTTAATATGACTCGGGACTAACGAGTTGTCTCAGAGAGTGATTAGTTTATTTTGTATTAACCACACATGCGCTTTGCGCAACAAATGGGTTCTGAATCTGTACTGGAAACAAAAAGATTAGTTTTAGTAGATGAGTCTTCGGGGTTCGGGGCGGGTCCGAGTCTTTCGTTCTTCCTGTCAGTCCCATAGAGACCCAGAAAGAGAAATGATTAGTTCACACTATTTTGCTATTATTCTGCACTGACACATTCACTAAGCTGAACAGCCAATCAGAGTTCCCTTTCACAGACGGCCGGACGCCGATTCAACGTCGAATCGGCCGAAAAAAAAAAAAAAGCCGACAAGGACAAATCAACGGTGCCGAACACACTGAGAAGACTTAGTCGGCCGACGCACAATAACTGCCTGACGAACGACCGTCGGCTTGGTGTGTTCCAGGCTTTAGGTTGTTTGCACCTTGTGCAATGCGAAATTAGTTTACTGTAGGAGTTCTCAAGTCCAGTCTCAAGTACCATCAAAACGCAAAGCATCCATTGGCTAATGTGGAGGCCAAGCACTGATGTAGTGCAGGGGAAGAGTCGTCGTCAAACTACTTTAGCAATGATACCAACTATAATAGTAGAACAGCTTTCTCAAGCAGTTTGTGATGCATTTTGGAAACAGGAGATGAGCCCCTGGTCTAAAGCGCCACCTGGCTTGAGAAACCTTACTTTTAGTCATTGTTTGGGTAGCACACATTCTGAATGCCTTCGGGAGAATTCAAATGAGCCATTTTAATCTAGACTAATTCCAAGATTACAGTGAGATTAATCTAGATGAATTTTAAGATTACAGTGAGATTAATCTAGATTAAAAAAAAAAAAATCTATACCCACCGCTAATTAGGATATAAATATAGAAGGTCATGGCAACAACAATGTGTTCTAGCCAATTTTTCCATTGGCCAAGCTAAATTGGCCATTTTGAAATCCCACCAGTGTAAAAATGCAGGAAAAGAAGTTAATATCTCGAGTGACCATTGAGTATACATATGTTGCTTTGTTTGAATGGAGATGGGGTGTGAGAGAGGCACTGGTTAGTTTTTAATTGGTAAAATATTTGTTTTTAGTTAAATTGTTTTAACTCTCTCTCTTTCTCTCTCTCGATAATTCAAATAAATGCTATAATTCATTCATTAAAAAATGTAATCTTACACACTACTTCATCCCTGTGTCTGAATTAAAATGCGTTGCAAACATCAATAACCGCTTTAACTTGTCAATTTTGGCAATTTACCATGGTATAAGCAGGTTAATCCACAGCTAGCTATGCATTAATCGGTTTAAATGTAATTTACTTTGCATTAGGTTGTTCGTTTTCTCCACATAATGCCTTAAAATCATTTAAAGGTGGGGTAAGTCGTGTAAAAAAGGTGCATGGAAGTTAGTCGGGCCGAAACAACAACAAACATGTAGAGGGTGGAGGACAGAGAACAAGCAAGAGGGAGATTTGAACTGAAAAACAAAAAGACTGCAGAAATAGAGATGAGACAGAATACAAACGAGAGAAACTCAGAAGAAAGCACTGAAAAATACAGGGTTATGTCTGGGCAAGAGCTTTCGGACCTGCGTTAATATTAATATTAGAAACGCTGTCCAGCGCTGGAGAGAGTTAAGTGGGAGGGCCTGAAAACAGACGCGGACGTTGCTTTAATTAACACTGGGCTTGAGTGTCATAGTGTGTCTGGAGCTGCTGTGCTGTTGGCAACTAACAAACAACTTGTTGTGTTCACGGCTATACACTGTGAATGCGGTGTATACAATCATTGTTGGTACATTGGCCAAAGGCCTATTTAAAAAAACAACTTAGCCCACCTTTAATGCGCAGCTAGCACTTGCATATGTAATGGACTGGTGTGCTAATACAACTGATCATAGCGATGAAGAGCAGTATTAACTTTCATATTTTAATATTTTCATACATTTTATTTATTTATTTTACTTTCAAATAAAACAGGTAGGTAAAGTTCTAAATGTCTAGATGTTAAGCTGTGTTAAGCTACTTACGTTTCAATATTAAACCAAAATCCAATACAAAAAGGCAATGAAAACAATAAGATGCCATGGTAAAACCACGAATGAAGAAGTGAATGTCTGTTTTCGAAAATTCATGCTGAAAATTTGCGCTGAATATTCATGCTTTGTGTGAAAAAAGCTTTAAAAGGGCTAATTCTAAAATGATTATGTAATTTTATTTCATTTGTTTTGAGATGAATACTATTGCTGTAGGTTTACATGTACTGTAACAGCATTTCCTACTCACCAGGGATCTCTGGTCATGGGGTTCGGTGGAGGTGTTGCTGTTGCGCCGTGATTGGCTGTAGATGTGTGACACCTCAGTTCTGGGTGTGGCGTTGAGTTGTATGTGAGGTGGCATAGACGCTCGAGGTTCCAGGTGTCCGTTGGAGATGGGCATTAATGTCTGCATTTTCATCTCTGATCCTAATATCAACAGGAGATTAGCATAAATGAATAAAGCACATTAACTGTCTTTGTGCACAAAGACATGTACGACCACACACACACACACCTGATTTTAGCAGTTCTCTCAGTTTGTCCTCATCACCATAGTCAGACGACATGCCATCATCAAGGTCTGATCTGCTAGCATCACCCTGAAAGAGATAGAAATGACATTTAAAGGCTAAAATTCAGAATTCATGATAATGATTACATGTTCATATCAAGCCAAACAAAACAAGGCCAGCATAAATAAATGCAGAACAAACACAATTACATTTGCTCTTTCAAGGGTATGCAATTCTCTACCTTCTACTTTCATGCTTAGTTTTTCATTTTGTCCTCGTCCTATTTCCTGCTGAGTCATTGAACTTCCATTTCCAATGCATTTAAATCCAGCATGAAACGCCTATTTCACTTTTAAAATGTGGCATTCAGAGGTGGTCAAAACTGGTGGAAAATAGACATCTTCACCCCCTTCATTCAAATAGTATTAAGTGTTTGTTAAAGATTTTGTAAGCATATTGCGTAGTTGTGCTTGGAGTCAATTGTTTTATTTGTGATAATAACGCAACGAAACATGGCAAATTGTGCAGACATAATTTTTGCCCAGGCTGTCATACAAAGGAATTATGATCACATCACATGCAAAAACAAGAAAGACCCAATGAAATGATAATAACTGATTATGCTGTACTTAATTTTTAGATTTTTCCTGCAGAATTATTCCTGTAAAAATAAACCTGTAACTGTTGTTTGTCTTTTATATATAAAATTATCAGATAAATACCTTAACTAAGTAATTATTTAAAATATTTTACTTTTTTATATTATTATTTTTTATAATATTTTTTAATAATATTTTTTTATAATATTTAAAATATTTTTTATAATTTGATGGTCATTTAAAACAAATATACCCTCTGGACATCCATTTTGGCCAACACTGTATTATTTCTGGATGAATCAGTATATTTCACTAGAAAGAAACCTACAAGGAATTAATTTTATTGTAAAAAGCGGGTGTTCAATACCAAGGCGAACCAGAAACATACATCCAGGATGAGTTACGCCACACAAAGAATGGCTAGAGAGACTTGCTTCTTTATACCTCAAAATGTATTGTAAATCCATGGAAAATGGATGTGAATGAATGAGAATTGGCATTTTCATCCGAGTAACAACAGGAAAAGTGTGTGTAAATGTGTATTGGCGTATTGTGTGAGAAGTGTCCAGTGTGTGATATTACCTTGCAGACAAAAGAGAGAGAGAGAGATAAAAGACAGAGGGAAAAAAAAAGGAACAACAGAAGGTTTGAGTGAAAGCGTGTTCCTATCACACCAGCTGCAGCCCGGCGCCTGCGCTTATACACTACAGATGCGTCTCATCTACATCAAAATTACACACACAAGCCAAACATACACCGATCCACACAATCAATCTCTTTGATGTGACACCAATAACGAAAAGAAACAAGAGCATGTTTTTGTTCATTTCCATGTGCGCTCAAAGGAAATCCCTTCTTTCTTTTTTTTTCATGGTGTGCATTATGGTTACTGTGCTGTAATTGAGTCACAGTGCAATAATTCCAGTCCTCTGATAACATCTTACTCTTAACTTGAACAATTCCCTCTTGAAACTCAATTAAATGCAATATGGCCACATCTAATTCACTCGTGCGGAGGATTCACACAGATGTTGAAAAGTAGAGGAAGTAGTTTAAACGAGTTTGTTACAGTAGTAGCCCCACAGAGTATTTAGAGATTTAAAGAGACACTCCACCCATTTGCATTAAGCTTTCCATTGTTAGAAACCCAGTCATACTATTGAATGGTCGTGCAACACTCTCATTTTCCCCTGAGATTTTCCCTGATTTTCCCTTGTTGTCTTTCATCCACATAAGCCAAAATACATTTTTTTTGGCTTTTCTCAGTCTAGAAAGCTCCAAATTCAAAAATAATTTCACATTTCTTCTACATAAATTACCCATTTTAAATATACATTCATCTTTCCAGAGGTGGAATGACACTACGAGCACACTTTTCAAGCAATGAGTCCCTAGTTCAACATCTGACCTCTTACCTCAGCTTGGAAGCCCTCTACTAAGATGGCAACCAGCAAGTTGAAGAGGACGTAATTCCCAAAGGTCATCAAGGCCACAAAGTACAGAGCGGCCAATGGGGAGGTGGAGGCCATGCCGTTATACAGAACCACATTCCAGTCCTCCTGGGTCAAAATCTGTCAAGACAAAGGGGCTCAAATTTCACTTTTTAAACTATTGTCTCACACTGTGAGTAGGTAAATGACATATAACCATAAACACCTTTATCTAAATTCTATTAAAAACATCAAATTATCATTTATTAATTACAACAACGCCTCTATGTGTATACAGCATGCCTGGGAAGAATCAGAATTTATCTCAGTTTTAACAAAAATTGGTGATTTATAAATGATTGCATATTTATAAAATTGTTTTTAAATAATAATAATAATAATAATAAAGAAAATAAAATCAGTTTGAGAAATGAATGTGCATGACGTCACTCACTGCCCACAGAATGTTTCTGACTTCATCAAAACTGACCAGATTAAATATAATCTACAAGTTTTACAATATTATGATATAATAACAATAATTACCATTATTAAAATATATTTGTGTTTTATTTAACAGCTGCAAAGATGTATTTGATTTAAAACACACTATTTCCACACACACAAAAAATTAAATTTATAACTATTTATAACTAAATAAAAATATTATATGATTAAAAAAAGCAAAGTAGCAAACTATTCATGATGTTTACACTAACGAAAAGTTATTTGACTAAGAAGTATTTTTTACACCAAGTAAAACAAATGTAAACTTATTTTTTTGTCCTAATTTAAAATTCAACTTCAAATGCAAAGAAACGTTGTTTTTCACACATTCACAACAGAACCCGAACCCATCTCTGCCTCTTCCTGCAGACTGATTTAGAACAGAGGAAACACAGCAGGTTCAGTCTGGAGTTTATATTCTGCTTACAAACACACACACACACCTACACACACACCGACAGAAATAGAGATTAGGGAAATTAAAGGCTCCCGGTACTGAAGAAACCCTGACTCCGGTGGCTTCCCTCAGGGCCTGGAGTTAATACAGCACCATATCAGTATTTGCACAAGTGTCACCCCCGGTGACCTCATCACACTGCCCAATACTGCAGGGAGAGGGATGATGACCTCATCGTGTCTGCAATATTATAGGGCAAGGATTTGATGACCTCGGCAATTTCAACTCTGACACAACTTGTAGAAGTTTGAATAATCCCAGTCTTAAAAGTAAGACTTATATACACATGCACTCATAATACAGCATGCGTGCATTTTTATTGTTATTAAAAGTAGAATGGAGAAGAAAAATGAAAGTTTGCAAATGATTTTCGAATCATAAATATAAATGTACAGCGTCAAAAATGAGATGACAAGGATTTGTTAATTTAAGGGAGGCTAAATACCCACAAACCCTTGCCTCAGCATTTTTGCAAAATGCTGCAGTTTCCACATTGAGGATTGAGTATTTAATCAAAACTTGCCTCCGAAGACTAAATATGATATTTCTGGGCTGTAAATGAATACAAGCTGCAGTAAGTTCAGTAAGCGTCGGTTTAGTGACCTACTCTCGGTGGTCAGTGAAATGTAAGGATTTCAGTTTTATCATTCACTAAAGAGGACCTTTATGTTACTTAAGCAATAATAAGTGAAATATTTCTACCTCTGAAAAAATAATTGACATCCATATATTGTTCAACATTTTTCTGACCTGGAAAACGGTGACGATGGCCCAGAGGAGTGAGTCAAAATTCTTCCTATCAGACACCGTGTCCCCATTCTCCAAACGTAGAGTAAACTTACACCCAAACAGATGCATTCCCAGTATACTAAACAGAGAGAGAGAGGAGAACAAGAGGGAGACAGAAATAAAAAAAAACGTTTCAAAAACAAAATGCCTACTGCATTACATGATGCAAGAATATCAGGGTCATTTTCAGGAAAGTGTGTCCAATTTATATATAATTATCAAGATACAGAATAAAATATCATACTTTCACTTTGAAAAGGCTGTTATTTGCCTCACTATTATGACTCTGAAGCTGAAATAATATTATTTCAATATAATTATTAATAATTTATCTGAAGCTGAAAAAAAAGAGTACCAGACAGCTTTATTATCATTAAATAAAACAAAAACCATTAACAATGACCTGAAATAGAATAAAATATAAAACTAACATTTTATTTCAGCTTTTTAAGGCCACATTTCTTATTTTCATTTAGTTTAAGTTGAAGTACTAAAAGGAAATGAACTAATAACGGAAGTAATAAAAACTTTACAGACATATTTAAAATTCCAAAAACTGATAAAAATGACAAAAACACAACAAAACTACTAAACAGAAAATATTAAAATGAAATTCAAAATATTAAAATCTATATTAGTATATCCAATAATATTAAAATTAGTATTATGAAATTATGAGCATATTAATTCCAAACTCGCTGTGATGGGATTGAAATAATCCTGTGCTTGAGGGTTATTAATAATAATGTGCAAGGCTGTAACCACATATTTAAAATCAGCATGAAATGTATTTCTAAATACACATGATAGATCATATTCATATCCATATTCATTCATCGGTGTATGTATTGTTTAAAAAAAATAAATAATGTTTAGCCTAATCGAAATGTCATAACTGAAGTTTTTCTTATATATTCCGTTACACTTGTATATGTCACGATATAAACACCTCTTGCTACTTTAAGAATATGGACTAAGAAAAGTTTTCATATATTTTAATAATGTTAAAATTGGGTAATATTAATAAATCTGATTACGTGATTATCAAATTTCATTGCGACTCCATTGCGCTTGCGTGAGTGCAGTGACTCCGCCCACACGCTCTTCTGATTGGCTGTGATTTTTGAATGATTTTGTAGGGTCTCACTGGCGTGAACAGACAAATTGCTTGTTGATTGGAGCGCGAAGCAGTGTCATGGTCTACATGCATAATCTTGTTCTTGTATGGAAGCACTTTCATTCAAACCTAAAGATGAAGATGAAGAGCATCAGCAGCATGCAGAAGGTGGCCACATTGTCCATGGTCTTCATCAGTACCACCAGCTGCCTGCGCAGAGCGGGGAGGAACCGCACCAGCTTTAGCACCCTGAGCAACCGGAACGTCCGCAACACCGAAAACCCTCCGTCCCCTTGTCCGACGATCTCACACACACTGCCGAAACCAACAGGCGTGGTCAAAATATACAATGAATTTACCACAAAAGAATCAGAGCGTGAATGAAAGCGAACAGAACCTGATGATAACGATGATCCCGTCGAAGATGTTGTAGGGGTTGCTGATGTAGTCGAACAGACCGCAGGCCGAAAGCTTCAGGAGCATCTCTAACGCGAACAAACTAGTGAAGACAATATTACTGATCTCCAGCACGTCCGTCAGCTCGTCCGGCTACAAGATAAAGACAAGGAGAATATGCAAAACTACGCGAGTTTTATGTTTCTGTCATTTGTCATAGCCAACCAATGTATATTTGTGTAAAAAAGTTTTCGCATGATTTGAGGTATCATTCATATCTGTAACACATACGGTCCTGATATGAACTTAATACAAAAGATTGACTAAAGTGTTGTTACTAGCACGACATTGTATTTGTGCTTCTTCTCTTTCTCTCCATGTGGGTTTATTTCTTTCGGAGGAAGAGCAGGCGCTGTTATTTAACCGTGTCTACTGTAATGTAAATAATCATTTCCCTGGCAACAGCGTGAATGTCCTCTGCCTCAAACCGGTTAATCTCAGACTGCCTCTTGGTGTCACACAGACACGCTGATCCTAACCAAGGGGGTTCATTAAATGCAATATAAGCCATAAACATGCATGCAATCGCAGCGCAAACAGCAGTGTATGATCACTTTGTGTTAGTGTTTTTTGACGCTAGGGAATTTATGTGTACAGTATATGCCAGCGATGACACTAGAGGAAAACTGTATTGCTAAAAAGTTTCATAGTTCAGGTGATTAATTGAAGTTCTCATTATGATTGTTTCATTTGTATCAATTATTTATCATAAATTATTTTGTAACAGATTATTGTTTACAGCATGCAATCAGTTTAAATTGGTAAAGCATAACTTGAAATAGAACATAATACATTTGAATTAGGACTACATTAATAATAATAATATTTGTTTATACGATGCACAGATTCAGATCCAAAATGATGTTATTAGAAATGATGCGTTACCATATCATATAACATCATCCATTCATTTAATTGCATGATTTATTTGATAATGTACCCATAGTCCTTATTTCCAATACAACACTTGAACAAAGCCTTACAAAACATACAATAACAATAATAGTCATCATGTTAAAAACCATAGCAACCGCCCTGAACACCCTAGCAACCACCTAGAAATGCCCTAGAAACCACCCAGAATACCCTAGCAACCATCCAACACTCCTTAGCAACTGCCTAGTAACCAACCAGAATACTTACTGCCTACCAACACCATAGCAACAACCCAGAACACACTAGGAGCACCTTAGCAACCTCCCAGAATACCCAAGCAACCGTCTAGCAACCACCCAAACACTCTAGCAACCACCTAGAAATTTCCTAGCAACCACCCAACACTCCTTAGCAACTGCCTTGTAACCGTCCAGAATACCTACAGCCTACCAACACCATAGCAACAACCCAGAACACACTAGGAGCACCTTAGCAACCTCCCAGAATACCCAAGCAACCGTCTAGCAACCACCCAAACGCTCTAGCAACCACCTAGAAATTCCCTAGCAACCACCCAACACTCCTTAGCAACTGCCTTGTAACCGTCCAGAATACCTACAGCCTACCAACACCATAGCAACAACCCAGAACACACTAGGAGCACCTTAGCAACCTCCCAGAATACCCTAGCAACTGTCTAGCAACCACCCAAAATACCCTAGCAACCACCCAACACTCCTTAGCAACTGCCTAGTAATCATCCAGAATACCTACTGCCTACCAACACTATAGCAACAACCCAGAACACCCTAGGAGCACCTTAGCAACCACCCAAAATACCCTAGCAACCACCTAGCAACCACCCAAACACTCTAACAACCACCTAGAACACCCTAGCAACCACCTGAACACACGAATAAGCCATATCTCACCACCAGAACATTGTACAGACATGGTTGTTGGCTCGTATGCGATAATGTACCACACTCTAGCAACCGAGCGGTGAGTTTTGCCACTTCAAGAACCACTTCACATTTCCTTCTGGAAATATACATTCTAGTTATTGTTGTATGTTCAGAAGGATGTTGTCGTATTGAAAATACAGTCCAGTAAAATATTCAAAAATAATGCATTAGTATTATTATTATTCTTGAAAAAGCTAAATTTAATTTTGTGGAAAAGATTTCCTATTTTCAAATATAATTGATTTAAATATTTGTATAATTAGGTTACATATTGTAGTGATCTCTTTTAAAACTGCAGGATACTTAATCTTTCCAATGTCTATTAGAAACAACTCAGATATTGAGATCTCGTTTGTGATTTGCGTGTAAATGAGTGTATTGTTTTCACCTGTTCATGGTACTCCACACCCATGCTGAGTGTATTGATGAGGATTGCTATCATTATCCCTCTGTTAAAGTACTTGCTGTCCACAATCCGCTTCAAAATGGCTCTGGCATAATGAAAACACACACACACACAGTTCACATTCCCAGACTCCTTTTCATCCATGTCTTGGTTTCTTTTGCTCTGTTCCGAGCTGACGTCTGGCCCCTGCTTCTCTGGGTCCGATTCACCGTTGGAGTCGCAATTAACACCATCACTTTCCTGGGCGCAAATCGGGCAGGAGGATGACTCTGAAGACACCAGCCCCACCCTGCTGTCCGCACACACACTCAAACATGTCCCTGGATACACACCTGCAGTGAAGGACAATGGTATTTAATATTACACATGAGTAGGACTGGGGCAAGTTGTCACATTAGATGTCAGTAATGAGGACCAGTTTACACAAATGCTTGCTTTCTTATGCGTCTATTAAACTGACTCAATAATATCTACCCCGACTACAAACGCTTGAGTAAATAGTATGGCTAGCCCCAGCCACTCACATTACATCCAAATTCTCCAAATGCAACCTAATTAGACAATCCAGTGGTGCATTAGTGTATTGATTCCAGTTTAGGGCACTGCAGGCACGTGTCATTAACACACATGCACACATATGACAATAGTGATCGATACTGTCTCTATTTTGTAATCAGGGCAAAGTCTCTCTACACCTGTGTTTTGAGACCCATCTGTTGGGACTGAGCTTTGATCATCTCCAACATGTTTATGATTTACGATTAATATATTTGTTGATCATTTCAAACAGATGGAGGACACCAACCCCAGTTAAAATAAATATATGTACAAGATTTCATGAGAATGTTTTTAATCATAATCTGGCACCAATCCTTAAATAACCCTAATGGGACCAAACTGAATTTTTCTAAGATGTTATATCTTTTAGGATTAAATAAAATACCAAATCCTACCGTTTACTGTCTTTATCAGAACACAACATTTATTTTGTGGAAATAATATAATAAAAAATATTGTTGGTTTAACTTAAAAATGTAAGTAACCTGGTTGCCTAAAAAAAAGTTGATTGAACAGGAAAAGGTGAGTTAATACAATGAAGGAGATTGATTTAATCATCAGAAACTCAAAATAATAAGTTATCTAAACTAAATAAATTATTTAAGTTGATTTGACAAAAGAAAAAAATGTTGTGATATTTTTTTTTTACAGTGTGGCTACTGGCCTATAAAATCCCACCATATAGGGAGTTTTAACATTTTAAATGATATTTGCAAAAGTTCTGCTGATATGTTCCACCAAACATCCTGTTTCCCAAGAAAATACACTACCGTTAAGGTAGTTAATTTTGTTTATCAAGTAAAAGTACTAAAAAAAAAAAAGTAATAAGGTTTCCACAAAAATATTTATATAGCAGCTGCTTTCAAAATTGATAATATTAAGAAAAGTTTCTTGAGTACCAAATCCATCCCAGGCAATTACATGAATAAACGTGATTACGGGAAGAAATCATTATATATATATATATATATATATATATATCGAAGAGTTCAGATGCAAAAGCCTCTAAGTGCCATTTGAAATTTTCTTCTAGAATGATAATTTTTATCAAGCTTGTATATTTAAGTTCAGTGATTTCACTTAAATGGCAATGATAATTACCTATTAATTGTTATTTAAGTGAAATTACTGAACTTAAATATACAAGTTTGATAAAAATCATCATTAAAGAAGAAAATTTCAAATGGCATTTAGAGGCTTTTGCATCTGAACTCTTCATGTATATATATATATATATATATATAAAATAACACCTGTCTAAGAGCAACCTGACCACAAACCGCATGCTTAAGTTTTGCAATATCTATTAAATGCAATTTCACAGAAGTATGGGAAAGAATATACTTTGGAAGTTTAAAAAAAAATCAAAGATATGAATATATTTTCACCAAAATGTTGAAAATCGCAAGGCTTCCTCATCAGGTACAATAATTTCAGGCCAAAGTCAAGAGGCACAAAAATAATGTCTAGACAGAGTGTGTGTTTGTGCAGACGGTTCCCTCAATTCAATTTGGAATTATTAGGGCATGACAAGTGCGCAAAGCTAAAGGAAAAAAGTATTTCATTATCTATGTTATTAAGTTAAAACCCTAGAGACAGAATTTACTTTTAATCCACAAACTAAGTCAAGACAGCAGGCCCAAAACACTTCAGTTTTTGCATAGAATTTGCATCATTTCTACTTCATATTTTTTACAGTATGTACACTTAGTGGCCCAAAACGCATTTGTACATTTAAGCCACAATTAATAATTGAATGTAATAGCATTAGATAACAAAACACTGCTGATCTGTGTTCTTACCGTGCTGCAACTTGTAAGTATCATGGTATCCACTACAAACAGAGATCTTCCTGCTATAGAAAGCTGGCGCTTTGACTCCTCCGGTCGAGTGTGAGCGAGTATGTGAGTTCGTGTACATTTTGGAGGGCAGGATGGTGGGATAGTTCATACCGAGCCTCAAACCCTTTAAATTTTGAAGTGCAAGTGGGAGTGATGGCGACTTTTTAGAATCTCTATCGAGATGAAGGGTCTTCATTTCTATGCCATTGCTGAGGTAATGTTGATTCTGATGGGGGTGATGATAATGCAGCATACAGTATTGGGTCGGACCCATCTTTGATCCATTGTCACTCCAATATCCATTAGTCCCACCCACTGAGAGGGAGCTGCTGGGATTGGCCACGCCCCCGTGTCTCTTAGGGCATAATTCGCCGTAGAGGCGTGAGGCGTGACGGCAAAGTTTACGACAAACGTGGACGAGGTACTTCAGCATTTCTTCGTAGCAGGATCCTGGTTCGGTCAAGCTCCCTAAGGTGGATTCGTTACTGCGGAAACGTGCTCGCTGCTCCTTCATCAGCTGGTTCTCGCGTTGTTTGGTCTCGGAGAACTGTGTTGCAATGACGACTAGGCACAGGTTGATCATGAAGAAGGAGCCTACCTGTGGACAAATCAGAGATGTTGAAAACATTACAGGATCACATATAGCAACTGCAAAATACTGATGTTGTGCACATTTCAAAACACTGATCTTACTTTTGTCTTGGAAAGCGTTTGAAATCCCTGCAGAATTAATAACATCTTTTCTAATATTATCCAATTTAAAGCTCTAAACCTTCTTTTTCCAGTAAAATTTCTCTAACATTTTCTTTTTTGTAATGTCTCTCAGCCATCTCTATTTCAACAGTCTTTCTTCAAATCTCCCTCTTTGTCACTCTCGCTCCTCATTTTTGGACACGCCCCTTACTGCTGATTGGCTGACTCTCTCTCCTCCCCCATCATGAGTAGACACGCCCCCTACTGCTGATTGGCTACAAGTGTGTCGTGTTGCTCAGTCCAATCCACGTTCAAAAGCATTTCTCAGAAATCACTTTCAGGGCCTTTAATTGTGCATTTAAAAGTAAAACCAAAGCCAAAGGACATTTTCTCAATTACTGTAAGTACATTTCAAGCACAAACTGTGCAAGTCGACCTGTTTAAGCACAATTTTGTGAGTCTCTAGGACAGACTGAAACCTCTTAATAGAAAGTGTTAAATTGAGCTTGGTCAGTTATAGACTGACCTTGGTTGAACTCAATGATTATAGGTAAAACAAAAGAATGTGATTTGACTTGTTACTTCAATGAGACAGAAAATGTTATTATTTCACACATGATACAGTAGATTTACAAAATGATGACCAGTAAAATATGTACTTTAAGGGTCTAAGGGTGTAAAAAGTGTGATTTTCTCTGAAGTGTACTCTAACTGAGTACAAGCATTTAGTTTCATTAGTGCTCAATCACAAATTCTCCGAAATGATTTAAATTTGCATCTCTTTAAGTATAGTTATAAAGTGAAATTACTCCAGTAATTTATATCTTGATGATAGCAAAAAACACTTGCATGCAACTAATGAAAGACTCCAGCAGAGGTTAAATGAAAGGAAGATGTATCCATTAATTAATTACTGCGCACTTACAATGATAAGGAAGATGAAATAGATGAAGTTGTAAAAGGAATGTGCATCCATGACATAATACATTATATCCACCCATCCCTCTAAGGTGATGACCTGATGAGAAAACAGAAACAGGATCATAAAGGTTACGACATCCGCAAATATAGCCCTAAAACACAAAGGACATCTTCCAATATTGTCCATCGCTTACAGAAAACTAGGTCAGGAAACATTGTATGGAGTGATAAACGTCACGCTGTGGTCGATTGGATTTACTCAGAAACCTGATAAATGTCCATGCACATTCCCAATCAGATCAGTGAAGAATATGATGAATATTGTTGCACCTAAAGATTAGATTAGAATGGAACATGATAAAACGTGATTTTCCTGGGACAGATAAGTTGGTTAATGATGTAATAGGATTCACTCTGGCTGTAGCCCCTGGCAACCATTCACTTCATTTACCAACTCTGAAAGTAAGTGTCCTCTCTGTGCCAAAAGAATATGTGAGGATAAAAAATATCAGCGCCTGCCAGGCTTAATATATACTCAGCGAAAATTGTAATGCACAACTTGGAGCGGATGTCTAACACGCAAGTCTTGAACTGCCTTGAAAAAAAAAGATGACTTTGCTTTTTCTTTTTTTACATAAACTCATTCTATACTCTTTAAATCTTTTGCCAACTCACAAACATGCACACACACCTGAAAGATAGCAATCCATGCATATCCAATGTTGTCAAAGTTGATAGCCCCATTATGGGGGTTGTGTTCGCTTGCTTCGCAGATGTTGTAGTACAAGTTCCAGTTTACGCATCCATGATGATGCGGTTCCTTAAAAACCAGATCTGTGACATCATCAGGCGTGAGTTCACAATCAGCCCCTCCCACTCTGCGTTTGGGGATATTGTAGCAGTGCAACATTCCGTTCTCCCGAATGGTGGAGCAAATGAAGGGGATGTCGTCTGTTTCGTCCAGTCTGTAGTATTCGTTCACAGACTCTGAAACATTATACAGCCTGCAGACAGACCAATAAAATAAGCATTTAAAAAATATATATATACTGTATGTACACACACTGAACAAAATTATAAATGCAACACTTTTGTTTTTGCCCCCATTTTACATGAGCTGAACTCAAAGATCTAAGACTTTTTATATGCACACAAAAGGCCTATTTCTCTCAAATATTGTTCACAAATCTGTCTAAATCTGTGTTATGTAATCTGTGTAATCTGTGATGTACATTCGTGACTCTCCTGTTCGGACTCGTTTATCAAAATGAATGAGTCAATTCGTTCATTTCGTTTGTTGAATGAACCAAATGATTCGAAAAAAGATTTGTTCATTTTCATGAACGAGTTCGAACAGGAGAGTGATGAATGCGCATCACAAAAGAGAGCAAGGCGATCATTTGAGTTTATAAAACTTAAACTTTGTTATTTTTTTTTTTTTAAATGAGCGATCGTTTCGCTTGATAAGACCCTTATTCATCGTCTGAAATCGTTTAAAGCCCCTTAAACAGTTTGCAGTTCGCACTTAAACTGTCTTGTGGACCTTGAACCGTTTGGTTACCACTAAAGTGCATTATATGGAGAAAAATCCTGGAATGTTTTCATCAAAAACCTTCATTTCTTTTCGACTGAAGAAAGAAAGACATGGACATCTTGGATGACATGGGAGTCAGTAAATTATCAGCAAAAGTTTTTTTAGATAAAAGATAAAGATAAAAATCAGGTCAGACAGCAGAATCTATGAATGATAAAACTCTACATCTGGTACTTTCCACAAATATGGTACACTTTACAGGCATAAAATTTTATGATTTATAGTGAGAACTAACACATATCTAACATAAAATTGGGCAAGTTTTAAAGACATCAAAAGTCTGTATTCCCACATTAAATTGGCGATTTGATCTTTTTTTTAATCTGCTGTATCCAACTATTTAAATTATTCAACGGCATCATCATTTTGTGAAAGTCACATTCATTGTAGTAAAACCAGATTTAAATTATTAGTTAATTTACTAACTATTCACATTATTTATTAACATGCATTGTCGTGTATAATATTTAAAATCTATTTTGACCTTTTGAGGTTGGCAACCAATATTTTGTTGCTTTTATTTGAGCTTATCTAATTTATTCATTTGCTTTATTTAAAAAAAAGACAGCCTTTTGATATAAAGCTGTACAAAAACACTTCAAAGCAAAAACACTGAATGCAAATTTATTTGACATTTAATATTGCATTGCAATGCATTACATCTTGATTTAGCTTTCATATATGAAGTGTCTAATTAATAATATTCTAGCAACACACGCTTAAGACTCTTGTGACTCGTTCTAACGGAAGCATCCCTCTGTGACCACCTCAAAGCTACATAATAATGGGTGATAGTGAGGAGCATTTTGTTCTCTGAGCATTTACAAACCATTTGAGCCAAGTGAGCTTCTGCTTTGATCCGTTTCACTTCTTGCTTATTAAACCGAGAGAGCCAGAAGAGCTTTCAGCTGAACTATTAGGTAATCACATCATCTGCAAACATGTTTATATTAGGTTTTCAGAGAGAAAGTTAAAGATAATGGCCCATGTGCTACATAAAGCATATCTGAAATAAAGCAGCATTTTTTTTTTAATTTGTAATATTTGCAATCATGCAACATGAATTGTAAATGCTATAGACTTAAAAAAGGACATTCTATGTATATTTTATTAATGCACTAAACAGATCAAAACAGATTACTAATTTATTTGACATTTAACAGAAAAATGCAATGCATTGCATCAAAAATTTACATTGTTAGAAACAATGTGCTAAAATTGTACCTTTAGGGGTACAACAGCTTGTCCCTGTGGCAGTACCCTTAAAAAGACAACTTATAAACTTGCATTTTAGGTCCCTAAAGTAGTAATATGTACCTTTATGGTACTGTACTTGTTAAATTATTAACTAATTAATACAAATACACAACACTTTTAAACATAACAGACACGTCAATCAAAATATCTTTCGAAATCAACAATAACGCAGTAGCACTATTAGAGAATGTTGAGTAAAATTTTGTTAATTTTCTGAAACTTAAATAACCAACCCTTTCCACACAATAAACACACACTAAAGGGTCTGCATATAGGCATTCATCTGCAGATTATAAGCCAGTAAATTCAGAGGACTTGAATCCAAACCATAAAATTTGTCTGGTTCTAGCTTTGTAGCCTTTTAGAAAAAATTCCTTCTTTTGTGTTTTGTCCCACTAAAAGATTACCCAGAGGTCATCTGTTTTACAAACTCATGCACTGAATGTATTACACTCTGCAGTTTAGCAAAGACCTGACAGAAATAAGACACACGTTACCTTATAAATTCTGTATTTAATTGCATCAGGGTTCACACTGCTAGTTTTTTGGAGGATATCGAGATGTGGGGGTGGAGGGCACTAATATGATTGCTTTTCTCAATTTAATTGGGTTATTAGAAAAGAAAGAAAGAAAGAAAGAAAGAAAGAAAGAAAGATGCAAGAAAATTCCATCAAGGCCAGGATAGTTGTTTTTCTTTGTTCAAAATTAATTAAAATTAAAATAGAAAGGAGTGGACTCCCTTATTAGATAGTGCCAAATCATGTGGGAACCAAAACTGGCTGCAGGCTCCGGAAACAGCGAGAAGACGTGCAAACAGACAAATTTGCACATCCAAGGGGACTCACTTAGACAGAAAACTATTTTCACACCTGTGTAATATGACTGGAATTTCTGTGTGTGTGCTGCAAGCATGGTACACATTTATTAACTGGGTCATTCTCTGAAACGAGTGGCTTTCCCAGTTTTACATGGTTCCAGTGTTTAAGTGTTAATCAATTAGATTGTGACATCTAAAGCCAAATTAATACATTTGAATATACACTGTGATGTAATTATCAGTGTTGTGCAAGTTACTTCCAAACTGTAATACATTAGGTATTACTTGTTACTGTTATTTAAAAGTAATTCATTACCTTACAATATTACTGTCCCAGAATTGTAATGCGTTACATTACTCATGTATTACTTTTGAGTTACTTTCACCAAAATAACTAAGTAGAACTTAACTTTTGGGCTGTAACGATATGCAATATGAAACCGAAATCGCAATTTGCCACACGACTCAGATCCACGAACCTACAGAATCGCGACACACCTCTTCCAACTCCAGCGTTATTCTCCTTACCGTCAATTTCCAATGCTGCCTTATCTTTAAATTAGGCTATTAGTATTATTTGAAGTTAACATTATAAAATACGTAGACCTACACCACAAAACTAGTTGAGGATAAATTATTTAAAATTGGGGAAGTCCAGCATTATGGACATGACATTTGCAGTCAAAACTTGAAATAAAAATTTTCAGAAAAAAACATGCATTGAAACATATATAGGCTACTTCCTTAAAGGACTCCAGACATTAGACAAATATCAGTCTATGTTTTATTTTTAATATTAGGGAAAAGACACACATTCATGCGTGACAAAAAAAAAGGAGGCAAAATATATTTTTTGTAGTTCTGTTAATTACACTGCGCAAATCGGATGAGGAAGGGTTGGCTCTCCAGTCTCCATAGAACTTAAAATATTCATTTTATTTTAGTTTTCGTGTTCGCATTTATGAGGAAAAAACAATGTTACAGACGCGACCGCTCTGATCTGGCACTAAAAGTCTGCTTTAAAACTTTCACATAGTCTGTTGCCTTTAAGAAGTAAAAGCAGACAATACACTGTAATACAACTGTAATACAAGCCTCACTGAACATGTAACGAGTAAAATATTACTGAAAATTGATTAGTAATGCCTTACACTACTGCGTTACAGCAAAAAGTAATATGTTACTGTAATGTATTACTTTTGTAATGTGTTACTCCCAACACTGGTAATTATGCCCTAATTTTTTTACCTTAAAGGACAACTCAGGCGCAAAATGAACCTTTGGTCTAATTACACATTGGAACCTAGTCGACCATTCTCTGAGATTTGTTTTCATGATAATCGAATGTAAAGAGTTTTATCTCTAAAATCTCTTTAACGTATAACGCTAGTAAATGGGGCAAATAATAAGAGAAATCGCTAGTTTATACCACTAACAAGGCTCAAAATAGCCCCACACTAACACAGTAACATAATGAGGGTCAAAAAACGGTCGACTAGGTACCAATGTGTCGTCGGAGTTCTCCTTTAATGAAAAAAAAAAAAAACATCTCTTGTTTACTTCTCGAAAACACGAATTTTAAGTCGTTAGAGAGAGAGAAAAAAAAAGGCAAATGCTACCTGTTATTATTTTTTGTGAATACTTACCATTACAACAAAAAACAACAACAACAACAAATGAAGAAAGATGAAAAATACAGTGAAAGCTGACATGAGTTATTCATTGTTAAAATTATTTTTCAACATACTGTAAGGCACACAATACACCCACTTTTTAGAATGACACAATTAAAATAAAAGTTTCAAGAAACGAGTCAAAGGTAAAGGCAGAATCTTCTTTCACTGCAGATAGCAGCGGATGGACTGAAGTGGATATTGCAAGTGGTTTTTGACAGACAATGCAATAAATGTTGTATGCACAAGAGAACTGTGTTTTAAAAAGGGCAGCATAATTTGAGTGAGAAGCGTTATCGTAACAGACGTTGCTTGGATAGTGTTGGGCTTTGGGGAAGGGAGCTGGAGAGAAGCAGTGATGCACCTGAACGGGTCAAGGCTTCTTTCAGCAGACTGGCTTTCTGGTATGCAGTACATCAGGGTGGACAGTTGTCAGAATGATTCACTGATGCAAACTGCCTTTATGGATAATCATTATTCAACTCTCTAATTTGTACACTCTGTTTGATCAACGAGGCCCTTATGGCGTATGTATTGTGAGAATTGATATCTTGTGTCAGCACCAAAATAATATAATGCAACATTTAAACTGGGGATTGCTGTAATCTGCTAACCTAATTTCTTCATTAAAAGGCAATTCCAGGTCTATTAGCACATGTCCCTTAGTTTGTAAAAGCAATGAAAAATGTGAGAAGAGTAGCAGTGGAAGTCCATCTAGTCAGTGATAGACATTTAAAATATAAAATATAACTTTTTCAATGGTATACAACTCTTTAACAAAAATACGTATGTTTATGTGAAGCACATTACTGTACACACACTACTTATTTGTGCCTGTTTACAAACTCAATTAATACTATTTACTATGAGAATAGTATAATAATTATAATACAATATTTTAAATTAAACTCCGATAAAAGTCTGGACAGTGGCCTTCAAAAAGTAATTCATTCATCTGATGAAACAACATAAACAGGTTTCACATAGTGTACGCATGCATGCAATTTCAAAGCATTTATTGTTGCAACATTAATCTTGACACCCAAGCCTATTTTTTTTCAAACCCCTGCAATCTGCATGCACCGAGTAGCTTACATTAAAACGCATTCGTTTAGCACTTACTTTCTGACGTTGCTGTCAAAGAAGCAGCGGTTTCGGAGAAGCCCCGCCCACAGCTGCACGCCGACGATCCCGAAGATGAAGAACACGAAGAAACACAGCAGCAAGACGTTTCCCAGCATCGGTAGAGTATCCAACAGCAATGTCACCAGGATCCGCATGCCTACGAGACACACAGATCCATGATGTCACAAACATGCATTCAATAACACATGCAATGAAGCATCAAATCCATCGAGGTTCACTAGACGCATTTAGAGATGAAACTGTGTTACATTTAACTTTGATAACTCTGATCTGACATTCACATACTGAATGTGTGCCTGATGTGTTCAGTAATTGAGCCAAGAAGTGAACACACACACACACACAAACACAAACTTGCGAGGCTTTGGCTAACGCTCGGTGGGTTGAGAATAATCGAATTGGAAACTTAACAGCCATGGGCTCTCACTCTTCACTGAGTCCAAAATCTATTACTGCTTTGCTGAACACACACACACACACACACACACAAACTTATTTGTAATGTGTAGACAAAAGGAGTGTGCTATAAATGGTAAGAGTGCATGTCAAGAAATTACAGTCTCGCCCTACATTAAACAAAACAGACACTTACTTTCACTGTTGGACTCAATCCATGACTGTAACACACACCAGCACCTCTCTGAAGACTAATAGCAAGCGTGTGTGAGTGTTTGTGTATTATTTTGTGGTCCATCAACTATGAGATGTTGGACTGTAGGCACTTAGCGGCAAGAATCCGCGTCAGTGACCATTTAATACATCATGGGAGTCTTGTCTACTCTTTGCGTGTGTGAATCTATAAATACAGCAGGCACATCTTCTGTTTTCAGCACGAGTCCAGATCATTTGCTTTAAATCAATAGCTGGGTTGTAGAACAGTGACAGTAAGAGAGGACCGAGAAAGATACAGATGGAAACAAAGAGAGCGAAAACAGTACTCACTAGGAACTCTGTTGATGGCTCGTAAAGGTCGGAGAACCCGTACGGTTCTGATGGCTGAGAAACTAACATTATGACCATCTAAAGAATACTCCAACATCCTAAAACATAAGCAACAGAAATTCATCTCAACAAACTTGAAATGCAACACAACAGGGTAATACAGATACTATAGAATTATCTGTAATAGTTATCTGTGATATAATTAATTCTATATTATAGATGACATCATATAATATATATAATTATATTATAAATATAATATAATAGTCATGTGTATAGTCTGTTTTGTTTTTGTTTTGACTGTGGGAATCATTATTTCCCTTGGTCTGTTTGTATTTACACCTTCAGTTCATTCAGTTCATTGTCCGGTATCGTCTTTGTTCTGTGTGGTTGTGTTTATTTTATTTTTTCTTCTAAAAAAATCTTCTAAAGAGTGTTATTATGGACAGTCTTAGTTTGGAATAAAAAAATAAAAAAATAATTATAATAATTAATTAAAAAATAAAATAATTATAATAATAATTAAAAAATAAATATATGTGGGTGCACTGTGTATAATTATTTTATATATATATATATAAATACACACAAATGCTTGTATATATTTAAGAAATATTTCATGTATATAGATTTATATATAATTTGTATTATATATAAATATACATATTTCACATATATAATAATATTTTTTTCTTAAATATACATGCATGTGTGTATTTATATATATATATATATATATATATATATATACATACAAAGTATATATATAAAATAATTATAAACAGTGCACCCACATTTGTATTATGTAAACACAAACTTTTATTTTGGATGTGATTAATCACGATTAATCGTTTGACAGCCCTAATAATAATAATACAATAACATTAAATAATGAAATAAACACAAGTCATATAATTATTAATATGATTTGAGCAGTTTCATTTATATGTAACAAAATATTAATAAGCAGCAGTATTTATCATACTGTAATGCATACATTAATGTTCAAAAGTTCGGGGTTTGTAATTTGATGTATGTTTTTGATAGTCATCTCTTATGCTCACCAAGGCTGTATTTACTGTATATAATGGAAAAATACAGTGAAATATTTTTCGAATTTAAAAGAACTATTTTCTATTGTAATATATTTTAAAGTGTAATTTATTTCTGTGATAGTAAAGCTGAATTTTCAGCATCATTACTTCAGTCTTCAGTCACATGATCCTTCAGAAATCATTCGAATATGCTGATTTACTATGTTTTTGCTGAACCTTCAATCAATTAAAAGCATTCTTGCTGATAAAAAAAGGTAGTGTATATATTTTTACTGAAATGTTTAATACATGAAATGGCAAAGGGGATTTTGGTTCAGTTCTAACATCATGTTTACTTGTACATTAAATTTAAAACAGAGACATCTCTCTCTTACTGCTCATGCACAGCAGCAAGAGAATATTTAATGTTTCCAAATTGATTTCAAATATTTATAAGTTCGCCCTGCTAAAAGTGAAACTAAGGCCAACGTGAATGTCTATGCTATTTATACTAGTTAGTGTTGGTTTAGTGCTCTTATAGCCACGCTTTTCACATAATATTTCTGGTAAAGGGGATTTATGGAGGAAGTTAAGCTAATTAAGAAGTCTAGGGGGAAACCAGAACACCAGCATCCCAAAATGCTTTAGAAATGAGTTTTAATGAGTGATCAGGAACTTTAGATTGAGCTGCCTTTTGGAAAGACAGGAAAACTTGTAGAAATCAGTGTCAGTGACAGTGCAAGTGACAAGAGAGACAAGATACATACAGACACAGAGACTCTCGACTGGTGGTAATTGTCATTCATGAGCTTAGCTGTGACACATCGACTTGACATTAGAACTTGACCTGACATTAAAACTGGATTTGACATTAAACAAACACACACAAATGCACGCACACACACACACACCTCGTAATAGTTAAGAGTTTAATGACTCATCAAATTCTTGGAATCACCCATTAATAGTTTACTTTTTAGATGGCAGTTTCAGGTTTGTGATTGGTCACTCACCCAGCCATGACGATAAAGAGGTCAAGGCGGTTCCAGGTGTCGCCAAGGTAACATTTCGGGCCGAATACCCCCAAGGCCACCATTTTTAACACCATCTCCACAGCAAAGAATGCAAAGATGAAGTCATCGAAGGCCTGCAGAGTGAAGAACTGTGAACACATTCAACCAATACATGGGAAAAGGACAAATGACCATGCCATTTATTTAAAGTGCATTTTAATATCGGTCTAATCGAAGGTTTATTAAAGGTTTTTGGTTCAAACCTCTAAAAACTGTTAATAGTTTAAAGGAGCATTGCGTTCTTTAGAAGTTCTAAAGTTCTAACCGTTACTGACACCAGTGGCCGTTAGAGAAACTGCAGCCAGTCTCATGCTCGTTCTCGGTGCGTATGCTCGTATGAGAGCTCGCAGAGTCCTTTTGAAACACCACTGCTAGAAATTGCCGCTGCTTAATAAATGGCTGCCGTACGGATGTAAGCCCAAGTAGACGAGAACGCGCATGACGCGCCAATTCGGACCCGACTCCTCTACACACAATTGAGCCTACAGGCTGATAGAGGCAACCGTGGTGGACAGTCAAGGTGTCATTCTTTCTATTACATTATGATTGGCTTATAAATGTACAAATGAAAACTCAATCTTAAATTTTTTCTTTTAAGAAAAAACCTACACATAGCCCCTTTAAAAGCAAACCACACTCCCCATAAAAAATGTAAAGTTGACTGCATAAAAAAGTTGACTATGCAACTAAATTATTTTTTTATAAACAAAATGTTTTTAGTTTCATCTGAAAATTCTACTTTTCTTTGTTTACAATTAATATAATTCTCTAAAATGTACAGTCTACTATACATTATGTTGGGCGAATGTGAACCAATCCAGTACTCAAATTATTTTTTAATGTAGATATTCTTGAAAAAGTAGTTCCCATGATGCTTTGCATGGGACTTACAGGGAGGACTGATAGTGTTTAATGTTGTGTTGGGATTTTGAATGGCAAAAGCTTGAAACTGCATCATGTCGCATATCCAAAAGGTATTTATTTCAATACAAAATATCAGTCTAAGTGGCATATGCAAATAAATGATCCACCTTCAATTTCAACAAACTGGTCCCAGGGTGATTATCAGCGGATTTTCTTTCTCTAAATTGATCTCATTTAAAGCAGCGCTTGTCTACTAAATTCACAACCTTCGGCACTACATTTCAAGAAAATCTCAGTCAGACGTCAAATTGCCTGTTGTGAACAATGTTCCTATTATTATGCAGAATCTACAGGTTATTTTCGAGATTAAAGAAGTGTGTGTTGCTGAGTCTTCATGGTGTCGCTCACGACAGTTGACTGTCCAACATACCGGCCGGTTCAACATAACAGTTTCACGCTGCTCCGTATTATAACTTCTATTCTACTTTGATAGTGTTGTACAATAAAATATATAGTTAAAAATTATCTAAGGTCAAGTTTTTCTTGAAAAGTGTATTTCTACAGATATCACTTGGTTTGATATTTTGTTCAATAAAACATTTTAAATGGGGTTTAAATGTCAAATGTCTAATTCTTCAGGCCAATGTATGTACTTTCTTTTCTAACTAACTCAAACAAAACAACAGATTAGATCAATTAATCACAGAGATTAAAATCTTTAAAGTGCACCTATTAAAGGTTCCTAATTTTGTTTTAGATGTCTCCAACAATCTACATGCATCCAAGGTCAAAACCACTTACATTTTCTCATAATATATTGTACAGTCCACCATTACCTCTTTTATCAGTCTGAAACGGTTCAAAAAAGCATTCAGTTTCTTAAACATCCTTTCTGAGAGCCTGCTCTGTTCTGATTGGTCAAATGGCCCAGTCTACAGTAAGTGATTAATTACAGCTTACAGCACGTGTCGGAAACCAAACGCCCATTTCAGCTCAGCTTGATACACAGTGTACGAACAGTAACAATGGTGTCGGTTTTACTGTCTCAAATCGAGTCCAAGTCCTCATCCATCCAAAGTGGATTTGCTTTCGCAGCACAGACATGTCGACAACATGAAACAAACTCGTCTCAGCTACATCCGGTGTTTGAGGACGTGTCAAAGTAGATGTTGTCCAATGAAGACATAGCCTGGCATTATGTAGATTTGTGATGTAGCCCGTTCACAATCGGTTCTTTCATTTGAGAGACAATAAATCCATTTGTCATGTACTTTGTATCACGGAAAAGCATAATATGGGAACTTTAGTTAATCTAACCATGTGTGCGTGTTGTGTTACCTGCAGTATGCTGCACCTGTCAGAGTGGCACTCCAGGTCTTGGCAGGGCTGAAACATGCCGAGTGTGATGCAGTTGAGCAGAATAACCAGCATGCTGATGCGCTCAAACCACGTAGAGCTTCAGTTAAGGCCAAGACAACTCACAAAGAAAAACACATTCAAATATTCTTTTCACAGTCACATAAGTTCACATAAATATCATGTTTCATTTACTCTTGAGGTCTTTTTTCAAGTAAAATGGCGTGTCTCTCAACACAGTTTACCGTTTAAAATCAAAACATACACCATTTTTTAGTTAAAACTTAGCATGGCAGCTCTCCAGTAGAAAGATGGATTCGTCTTGAATTATGTCATGGAAACTAGCATGTATAAACCTTAATTAAACAATTTAATACTCAATTAAAAAGGATTTACACCTGCGTGATATTACACTGTAGCCACATTGGACAAACAATACTTTCTGAATAGGGCTAAAGTCCAACTAAAACACAAGCAAAACATGACTAAACATTTTACTCAAACTTGTGATTGGAAGTGAATATTATAGTAGAGAAGAAACAGAGCAGAGTTAAATAAGGTTTAGCAGAGAAAAGCACAATAATGATACACAATTTTTTATCTGTTTGGAGAACTGCTTTTATATTTCCTCATCAACAACTGATTGAAGTGTAGAAAATAGAATAGAATAGAATACCTTTTAACACAGAGCTAAAAAAATTAAGTGGTGAAATGAGACTGAGCATGAATAATGTAAGACATTTGTAGATTAATAATTGATTTTTGTTCTCAAGGTTGAAATAACAGAATTTGGATTGCATAAAACCCACCACATTCCTGTTTTAATAAAATGTCCTTTTTAATATGCTCAATTTATGTTTGTGACCATAAAACATACAAAATAATAAAATGCAATAAAGCCATTTTGTTTCCATATGCATCTAATTAAAAAAAAAACGCAATTACATTTTCACTTTACAGCGCAGCGATCTAAACACATACCTGCTGCTGTAAAGGCGGACTCAGCCCCACAGGCACTTTACCTCATTAATCATAAACCTGCCACAGCTACACGCATTTCACACCCTTTCAATCACCACGGTAAATCCTGCAGCTATCCTCATTTACACCAGGACACATCACACCCCACTTATGAGCCGAACAGGATTTAAAATGCTTCTTTAAACTCTAAAGACTGTATGCATCTGTGTCTCAGTGCAGCATGAACCTGATCAGGCCCCTGCTGTTTCCTCAGGTCTCTGTCTCTCCGAAACCCTTCTGGAATTCCAGCAGACTTCCCTCTCAGTAGAACTGGGACAGTGTTCCCCTCATCAAACATTTATCCAGAGCACACACTAATTCATACAGACAACTCCAGCTCTCGTTTCTCATCCTCAAGATTGTTGTGGTCAGATTCATGCCACTTCTGCTGAGGATAATGATGATGGTAGAGAACAGAAATGGGATAAGAAAGTTACAGTAGACGTTCTGTCTTGGAACACAAAAGAAAGAACATATTTAGAAAAACTGACACCAACTGACACCAGAACTGCCTTAAATCCATGTGGCATTGATTCAACAAGGTGCTGAAAGCATTCTTTAGAAATGTTGGCCCATATTGATAGGATAGCATCTTGCAGTTGATGGAGATGCACATCCAGTGCACGAAGCTCCCGTTCCACCACATCCCAAAGATGCTCTATTGGGTTAAAATCTGGTGACTGTGGGGGCCATTTTAGTACAGTGAACTCATTGTCATGTTCAAGAAACCAATTTGAAAGGATTTGAGCTTTGTGACATGGTGCATTATCCTGCTGGAAGTAGCCATCAGAGGATGAGTACATGGTGGCCATAAAGGGATGGACATGGTCGGAAACAATGCTCAGGTAGGCTGTGGCATTTAAACGATGCCCAATTGGCACTAAGAGGCCTAAAGTGTGCCAAGAAAACATCCCCCACACCATTACACCACCACCACCAGCCTGCACAGTGGTAACAAGGCATGATGGATCCGTGGTCTCATTCTGTTTAAGCCAAATTCTGACTCTACCATCTGAATTTCTCAACAGAAATCGAGACTCATCAGACCAGGCAACATTTTTCCAGTCTTCAACTGTCCAATTTTGGTTAGCTCTTGCAAATTGTAGCCTCTTTTTCCTATTTGTAGTGGAGATGAGTGGTACCCGGTGGGGTCTTCTGCTGTTGTAGCCCATCCACCTCAAGGTTGTGGGTGTTGTGGCTACACAAATGCTTTGCTGCACCTCGGTTGTAACGAATGGTTATTTCAGTCAAAGTTGCTCTTCTATCAGCTTGAATCAGTCGGCCCATTCTCCTCTGACCTCCAGCATCAACAAGGCATTTTCGCCCACAGGACTGACGCATACTGGATGTTTTTCCCTTTTCACACCATTCTTTGTAAACCCTAGAAATGGTTGTGTGTGAAAATCCCAGTAACTGAACAGATTGTGAAATACTCAAACCGACCCGTCCAAACAACCATGAAATCTCCTTTCTCTCCCATTCTGACATTCAGTTTGGAGTTCAGGAGATTGTCTTGACCAGGACCACACCCCTAAATGCACTGAAGCAACTGCCATGTGATTGGTTGATTAGATAATTGCATTAATGACAAATTGAACAGGTGTTCCTAATAATCCTTTAGGTAAGTATATACTACTGTAATAATGACAAAAGTACATAGCAAAACCAGTTCAAAATATCAATAAATATACTATATTATAAATAATATACTGTATTATCAATACTTAAGTCAAGACAAACAGACAAAGCCTTATTTTGAGACCAGTGCCAAATTCTCTTCCAAAACTTATCTCTTTCAGACTAATTGAAAGTTAGTCTGGAAAATATCCAAAATATGCATTAAAGTGTTTTTAATCTATTACACCATATATTTGCGTCTCTAGATTTCAATTCATACCTTTACAGACCGTTTTCTCAAAATGAGTTTTCTTCTCCTGCACTTAGCCAGAAATCTCCACCTCAGTAGCACTTTTAACTTTCAGTTGACTTCATAAATCAGAAAATATTCTGAAAATATAATAGTGATAAAATAAGATATCCGAAACTATCTCTGTAAAAACCTTTAACTCTAATATGCCAAAAAAAAAAAAAAAAAATACCAAGAACTGTGAACTTGGCTTCGTCCGGTGTTGAGATTTCTGTACACGTCTATGTTTAATAATGCCTAATTTTTCATATTTAAACATATTTCAGGTAACTTGCAACAGTCCTAATATGATAAATCAACTGTAAAGTATGGGGATATCTATTAGTTAGGATTTTCTATATTCACCTGTGGTGTCTTGCCTTAAATAACACTGACACATATAAACACAGAGATATGCTTTAGTCCAGAGTCTTAAAAAGCCAAATGAATGCCTGGAGTAGTCTGTCATAATGCATTTGAAAATTAGGAACTCACAGTCGCATCAAATTAGTGCAATAGAAGCGATGTACTCCTAGAATTCTTTTTGTAATAGTGCATAATGGTTGAAAAAACAGATATGAGATTTCTTGAGATCTCCAGGACCTAATGTGCTGGAAACAATGATTTGGTTCATGGAAATATGGTCAGATCCCCATTCCACCAGGAATTCTATAGCACAGACTGAAACAAACTATTTTATAGTGCAAAGAATTTTTCATGCAACTACCTAATGAAAAAAAACCCCTGATCTTAAAGGAGTAGTTCACTTTAAAAAAAAAAAACTTTTGCTGATAATGTCATCCAAGATGTCCATGTCATTCTTTCTTCAGTTGAAAAGAAATTAAGGTTTTTGATAAGAACATTTCAGGATTTTTCTTCATATAATGGACTTTACTGGTAACCAAACGGTTCAAGGTCCAAAAGACAGTTTCAGTGCAAACTGTTCAAAGGGCTTTAAACGATTCCAGACGATGAAGCGAAACGATCGCTCATTTAAAAAAAAAACAAAAAAAAACAAGGTTTAAGTTTTATAAGCTCAAATGCTCGCCTTGCTCTGTTTTGTGATGCGCGTTCGTGACTCTCCTGTTTGAACTTGTTCATCAAAATTAACGAATGGAGTAATGATGCTGAAAATTCAGCTTTTCATCCAGGAATAAATTAAATTTTAAAATATATTAAAAAAGAAAACAGTTATTATAAATTGTAATAATATTTCATAATATTAATGTTATACTGTATATTTGATCAAATACTGTAAATGCAGCCTTAGTGATCATAAGAGACTTTTCAAAACACACACACACACAATTCCCGACCCCAAACTTTTAGTGTATACCGTACTGTATGAATACAGTCAAATGGAAACTAATTTGGTATTTGTCATAATTTATTAAGTCTAGAAGAGATGACTCTGGGAAAAAGTAGAACTAGCACATACACACAGTGTGTAATCTCAGTGGGTCGATCGCGTTTGCGCAAGCGTATGCCATGTGCTTATTTTTATCTTCCCGAGATCCATCTCAGTCCAAACATAAACAAAACGCATGTACTGTATAAACACAGTGCATACACTCATTATCATGATTACTTCAACAAACCATTATATACAACTGTTTCTATGGTTGCTTAGTAACAGTTTGGTGGCTTTTGATGTGAAGTGAAGAAAAAGACAGCTGAAAAAAGTGAGGGCTCAGTGGGTTTCATGCACTTCAAGTCAACATATTTAAAAGGTCATTTCGTGCCTGGGTGGTAGAAAAACAATCTAAAATATAGCTGCGAGCAGCGATGAAGGGCCCAAGCCGGTGGCACCGCAACCCCGGTTCCTTAGTTACCTAAAAGCACCAGGGTGGCCATGCCACTGGCTTTGGCCCTTCATCGCGGATCACAGCTATATATATATATATATATACTGTATATATACATATATATATGAAGCCGGTGGCACCGCCACCCTGGTGCCTTTAGGTTTATTGTGCACGACATGCAAAATGTAACCCTGCTTTGACTGATGCAAGCTCTACAGCACAGTTTATAGTAAGAAAGAATATAGTAAGAAAGAAAAGTAAGCTGTTACTCTGAGATGGTTTGGGAAACAAACATTCATCATGTCGCATTGGTTTTAGTTACTTGTCCTCGAACAGAGCCCTAATCTGTTTATATTTCAGTTA